TCTCCTGGACTTACCCTGTTGGAGTATAGGACTATCGATTAATATTCTTTTACAAGAGATGTTTTGATATCACAGTCTTACTCAGCCCCTTTTTGAAAGGTTTAGCCAGCACAGGAAGATCTGTAGTGATATGCCCAAGAAAAATGAAAATATATTCACACAAAAACTTGTACACAGATGTTCACAGAGGCATTAACTATAAAGGCTGAATAATCCAAATATCCATCAACTGATGACTAGATAAATAAAATTTTCTATATCTATACAATGAAGTATTATTCAGCCATAAAAGGAATGAAGTACTGACACACGCTACAGCATGAACATTGAAAATATGTTAAGTGTCAGAGTTCTCCAGAGAAATAAACAATAAGTTTTATTTTAGGAAGTTGGCTCAGGAAGTCTGAAATTTGTAGGATAAACCTAGAGACTGAGAACTCAGGCAAGAAGAAATACTGTAGTCTTGAGATAGAATTCCTTCTTTGATAAATCAATTTTCCCTTTTAAAGCCTTTAATTGTTCTTAAGGCCTTCAATTAGGGCCTCCCTGGTGGTCTAGGGGTTAAGTCCCAGTGCTATCACCACTAAGGTCTGATTTCCATCCCCAACCACAGAGCTAAACCAATGCCGTGCAGGAGACCTGTCTCACCTGCTGCTCACTCCCCTTAGCTGTGCATTCCAGTAAGTCCTCCTGTTCTGCTGCCCACTCTGTATCTGGTGAATCCTCTCACACACACTACACCCCACATGTACCTCTGGCCTACCCATACTCTCTGGTGTAAAATTTTCTACCAAAAAAAAATGTGTGTGTGTGTGTATGTGTAAAAGGCCTCCAATATATTATGAAGGGTAATCTCCTTTACCTAAAGTCAGTTGGTTGTAGATGTTAACCACATCTGCAAAATACCTTTGTCGTAACAACTATTGGATAGTTGGTGTTTACTTGAGTAGCTAGATACCATAGCCTATAAAATTGATCATCACAGTCACATATTCTGTGATTTCAGATTTTTCCAAGTTTTATTTGAGCAAAACAAATTTTTAGAAAAGTTTGTACTAACAAAAGAATGAATTAAATCATCATCTTTTAAATTAACTCACAGATTTATAAGAAAATTTACTTCTATATTATTTACATAATTGTCATTTTTGAAAATGTAGGTATATTCTGTTTTTTCTCAAATAATTACGATGCCCTTGCTAAATTATTTAATGGTCATAGAAACTAAACATTCTCAATTTTAGTTAAACCGGAGGAATAATTATTTTTCTGTTGAAGGATGTTAGGAATCTCCAAAAGATGTTAGCATTGTCCAAAAGATATTCTGTTGGCCTTTGAAAATGTCTATTTTTTAACTTAATAGTAGAATCAAATGAAAATTGACATCGGAGTTTCTAAATAAAAAAGTTACATATTTTGTATAATATGGTCTGTAGATTTTTACTTTATGATAAATGTCACTATGTCATGGTATGCTAGGCATATAATTTTATTTATATAATGTCTAGAATTGACATATTCATAGTGACACAAAATAGTTTAATGGTTGCCAGGGAATGAAAGGAGAAGGGAATGGGGAATGTCTAAAGAGGATAAGGGATTTAAAATGTTCTGGAATCAAATTGTGGAAATGGTTGCATAACTCTATGAAAAACCAGTGAATTGTACACATGGGTGAATTTTATAGTGTGTGAATTATATCTCAAGAACAATGTTAAAAGATCATCTGTGGAGATTCAAGTATTCCCCCTTCCTGCCCCCATCTAGGTTTTATGACTTAAATTTTGCCTTAGAGAATCTTTTAATATTCTCCTAATATCTGCTTTTGAGTGCTATGGAAGATGCAGGCAACTATTAATTAATACTTAGTTCATGTCAATGAATAAGATTGATTCATCAAATAGGACCTCAAACTACTTAAATGTTTCCTAGCAGACTCATGAAATACACATTTTGTGAATTTACTGAATTTCTTTTCATATGGAAAGAACAAAAGTACTACAGAGTTGTTGGGTTAAATGTGAGGCTAATTTTCATAAGAATCCTTAAGGATTGGGGCCTCCCTGGTGGCGCAGGCAGGCAGTTGAGCACAGCGCTGTGAAGCTGTGAAGTTGTCCTCAGCCTCTGTACCCACTTGGCGAGCAGACCTCTCCTGTCTTGCTCGCTGCTCCCCTCAGCAGTGTATTTCATCAGTCTGCCTGTTCTGCTCCTCGCTCTGTCTCTGGTGAATCCTCTCACCCTCCCGCACATCTGGCCTGTACCCCGGTTCTTAAGGATTAGAGGTGTTTTTAAAATCCTGAAATTGAAATTGGCATGGAATTGATGGAAATGATGTACAAATGGGTGAAAAAAGCTAGAAATAATTTTGTAATTCTCTTTAGAGGGAATCCGAGTTACTGAACCCCCCTCTTGTTTCTTGCTTGTGTTTTACTTTTTCTTTATGTTCCTTAGTGTTTCCTATAGTATTGCACATAAAGCTTGGGCTAGTCCATAATTTTAGGTGATGCACAAATGTATTTTATTCTGATTTTTTAAATAGTTCTATATTGGTCTGATCTGGAAAATACAGCCTTTTGGGCTAGTCATTTCATCGATATTATTGCTTGAGTTAAAGCTATAATGATAGATTATAGTCTTAGGTCTATTTTCTTCAATAAGTAAATAATACACATGGCATACTAAAAGGGCGAAAATTATGAAGTAGGCATGTGAATGACTGAGTCTTACCATTAGAGCATTAGACTCTGCCCTGTTGGCAATGTCATTTTCCCTCTAGGCACCTGTATTCAGGTAAGAGTAGCTTTTCTGCTAGTCATATAGCCCATCACCTATCTATTGATGCCCCAGGTTAGGAAAATAGGTTTCTGTCCTAAAGTCAAATTAGGAAGTGCTCATTGCTGTAACAGCTAGCTAATAAACCAACCCTGTTTTAAATTATTAGCACTAACGTGTATGTTGGCATTTTTCTGGGGGAAATCCTGTTTCAACTTTGATTCGACAAGATCTGGACTCTAGTTGTCAGGGACAGGAAATTAAGTCTTGCCAACAAAACCCCACCCTTCCTTTTCCAAGTTACTGATAACATGGAGTAGAGTTAGTCTGTGCCTCTGCTTATGAAAGGCTATCTGTCTTATACACCATGAATTGTATTCATGGTGGCCCTTCCATTGTGGAATATTGTAATATTCTCCTAGTATTTGCCTTCAAATGCATAAGACCTGTGTTTAAGTTGTGAACTAGAACAATTCTATACATCTAGTTAGGCACACATTATTACTACTTTTTCTCCTTATTCTCCCTTCCCCTCGTTTTCTCCTTGTAATATTGGGCCCCAATCATTATGGAAAGGGAGTACAACTAAATATACAAAGATAGGGACTTCAAAAGGATCTCATTGTGAGTCAGCTAAAGTGACTAGGAGACAAATGTAGATGCTGCCTTTGGGATTTCTCTGTCAGGGATGTGTCAGGACTCGGCATTGCTATCATGCAGGATTTTCAGGTTTGATTAGGGCCTTGCCCAGCTGTTTTGTTGGTAGACTTGGTCAGAACATCCAGCCTGTTTCAAGATGTCTTGTATTTGACAGTTGTTTAGTAAGCATGAATCCCTTGGCTTTCCTCCAGAAATTTCAAACACATTTTGGGATTCACTTTTTTGATTTCTGAGTAGGTTAGTTTGTTCTCAGAAGTTAGTGTTTGTAGCTTAGTTTGTTCTCAGAAGTTAGTGTTTCTTTTTTTTTTTTTAACTAGCACAGCAATAGGTTCAGTGGGTAAGACTGTCATCTGCCTAACAAGATGAAAGGGAGTACTTTAAAAATCTTATTTCCCAGTACATAAATTTAATGAATTTAACTTACGTTCTTATTAGAGATGAATCACCCTGGTCAGAGTGGTAAGTTCTGTTTATCATAGTTCTCTAATGATACTGACAAAATGGAAATATTTTTCCTTTCATAGTTCAAATTAACATTATTCTAGTTTTTTTTTTTTTTTTTTAAAGATTTATTTATTTATTTATACAAGCACTGGGTAAAGTCAGAAGCGCGGGAGGGTGAGAGAATTCACCAGAGCCAGAGCAGGGAACAGAACAGCCAGAGTGACGAAATACACTGCTGAGGGAGCAGCGGCGGCAGGAGAGGTCTGTCGCGCCATATGGGACCCTCGCCCAGTGGCCGGGGATTGAACCCCCACTGCAGAGGCTGCGGGCAGCTTCGCAACCCAGCGCTCAACCGCTGCGCCACCCAGGAGGCCCAACATTATTCTAGTTTTAATCATCTCCTGATACAGCTACATAAAAAGCAAAAGCCCAGAGAAATACCATCTGTGCTACTTTTGGTATGATATGGAAACCTGTTTAAAAGAGTTTTGTGTGGCAAGTTAGTATTTAATGAACATAGAGCTACCATTAAAAGATACAGAAAATTAAGCTCTTCTCACTGCTTAGATTTATTTAAAAACACTTTTTAGCTATGATTTGCCCTAAACTTTGCCTGTTATGGTCAAGTGAAAATCTCAGTGTTTTTGTTGTAAGCAAAATGACTTATCTACCTATAAGTTCCTACTAGAAAATCATCAGGAATGGGGTACTCGGGAGAGAAAACAATTGTGGATAGTTGTTTTTTCTGTTTGTTTGAAAAATTCAACTTTGAATTGCTTAGTTCTGAGGAAAACTCATTTTTGATCAGTTTGTAAAAATCTATTCTAAATGATTTCTTTAGTCACCCAGTCCAAGTATCTTTTTGGAAAAATAGCCTGAAAATAGTGCCTCTTGGTTCATTTAAGCATTATTTAGAACGTTTGCACCTAAAAATACTAATGCATAATAATATTTAGCCTAAAACTGTATAACTAAATTTTAATGTGGGTTGTATGATCTCTAGTCAGGATTGGTTTTTCAGTCAGCATTTAAACTTCTTTTTGCTTGGCACAGTGCCTTACACCTAGTAGGAAATGTTTTTAAAGTTGGATTGTTTACAATTTTCATTCTGTTTTTATTTTTAGAAAAGGTACAGTTTGGCAGTGGGGCCTCCCAAAAAAGACCCAAAAGTTAAGGGTGTCCGATCTGCAGCTGTACAAGCTTTTCTCAGAAGAAAAGAAGAGGAGCTCAGAAAAAAAGGTATGTAGCTATAGCTTTATTCTCAGTTTCAAGGTTTTCTTCCTTCACAACTTAGTTGTAATTAACGAGTGGATCTTTGTAAGAACAAAACAGGCTAATGAATTCGTTGTGCCTGAATGTTCTGTACCATTATTTATAGCATTGTGTTGGGGTCAGAGTTTAGGGGCTGGACTCTTAACAGTCCTACAGATCTTTTCTCAGTGAGGAAAGAATTCAACATGGAGACTAGAGTTAGGCAGAAAGGCAGGAGATTTATTGTCAGATAAGAAGGGCAGGAGGGCCTCCCTGGTGGCACAAGGGGTTAAGCACCGCACTATGAAGCAGTCTGCAACCACTGCAGCATGGGATCGATCCCCGGCCAGGGAGGTGACCCACTTGGCGCGGCAGACCTCTCCTTGTCTCGCCCGCTGCTCCCTTCAGCAGTGTGTTTCAGTCAGTCTGCCTGTTCTGCTCCCCACTCTGTTGTCTCTAGTGGATCCTCTCACCCCCTGCACCTCTGGCCTATACCCCAGCTCTTATATGCATAAATAAATCTTTTTTTAAAAAATTTTAAGAAAAAGGACAGGAAAGCTCTCTGAGCAGAGAGGGCCCCCTAGGGTGTTGCCAGTGAGGGGGCAAGTAGCAGGAGTCTATATGGATATGGTGGGCAAGGAGTGAGGGTTTGGACATTGGGTGTCTCAGCATTGTGTCTCATAGATTGGTTTAAGTCTCCCAGGTTACTTGATCTGTTTTCCTGGAACCAGCTTTGATCTGTTGCTTCGACATTGTATGTTTTCTGAACACTCAGTTTTTTGCTGAGTCAGGGCACCCTGACCCTACCTGACTGCCTGATCTCAGCCTAACTTCCTTATTCAGCATTACACTAGTTCTTCTAGTATAATGTGTTCTTATGTTGATCATTTGTGTGTATGTTATCTTTTATTAGCAGTGCTGTCTTAATGAGCCTCCCCTGGTGGCGCAGCGGTTGAGCACTGGGCTGCGAAGCTGCCCGCAGCCTCTGCAGCACCGGTTAGCCCCAGCCGCCAGCAAGGGTCCCACATGGTGCGCAGACCTCTCCTGCCGCGCTCACTGCTCCCCTCAGCAGTGTATTTCGTCAGTCTGCCTGCTCTGCTCCCTGCTCTGTCTCTGGTGAATTCTCTCACCCTCCCGCGCTTCTGACTACCCAGTGCTTGTATAAATAAATAAATAAATCTCTTAAAAAAAAAAGTTAGACTAGGAACAGTTTATGAAAATCAGTAAACTCAAGTAGTTTAATACATGCAAACGACAAGGAAGCATTCAATAAATTTAAGTATTGATTGACTCAACAGTTGCACTAATTGGGTATTAGTGGTACTTTAGCATCATATATTTGGTATTTTCTATATTTAAAAGTGAAAAACAAGCCCCTTACTTGATTAGTCATATAGAAAAACACATGTGACCCACTCATTGTGTAAAGGTGACTCAATTGATACTTGTTCAAATGACTTCCTCATTTGATTCCTAGATGTCTTTGAACTGTGCTTGAATGTTACTTGTATTGAGACATCTATTGACTACAGGTGAACATGCTGTTATTTTGAGACCTTGGATAATATGTTCTTATTTCTCCCTTTTAGCCTTAGAGGAGAAAAGGAGAAAAGAAGAACTAGTGAAAAAGCGAATTGAGCTGAAACATGACAAAAAGCAAGAGCTATGGCCAAGAGGACAAAGGATAATTTCCATGGTTACAATGGGATTCCTGTTGAAGAAAAATCAAAGAAGAGGCAGACATTGGAAACCCACACTAGCCAGAGAGCAGACCAGGAGTATGAGATGGACGAAGAGGATGAATTCTTAGAATACAATCAAGCAGAGTTAGAGCAGGAGTATGAGGAAGAACAAGAACCTCCCAAAGTTGAAAGCAAACCAAAGGTCCCCCTTAAAAGTGCCCCACCACTCATGAACTTCACTGACCTCCTCAGGCTGGCTGAGAAAAAGCAATACGAACCAGTGGAGATTAAGGTAGTGAAGAAAACGGAAGAGCGGCCTATGACTGCCGAAGAACTTAGGGAGCGAGAATTCCTTGAGCGAAAGCATAGGAAAAAGAAAGCTGAGACAGATATAAGACTACCTCCAACTAAAAAGGCACCCCCTCAAAAAGAAAGTATGGGCACAAAACTTAGCAAAGGTTCTGGGGACAAGCATCCTTCTTCCAAGGGTACTCCCCTTCCTCATGCTGAGAAGAAATCCAGACCCAGCACAGCCAATGAAAAACACATAGGTTTATCTTCATCCAAATCCATGCCAGGAGAGAGGACCAAAACAGGACTTGGCAATTACTCCCAACCCCCACTTCGTGAGGGCCATGACAGACCTGTTTTCAATGGGATTGGAAAGCCCCACTCCAGCACTTACTCACCAAGTGTCCCAAAGACTTCTGCTAAAGGGACTCAGAGATCTGCTACTGAGCACAAAACCAAAAAATCTCATCCTAGCCTTTCCAAACCTGGGCCTATGGTCACCCCATACAATAAGACTAAGAGTCCAAGTGTCAGGCAGCCAGGCAGCAGCTCTAGCTCAGCCCCTGGGCGACCCAGCACTGGGACTGGTCGGCCCGTAGTCAATTCTGGCCCCGTGGTCAGGCGCCAGAATGGCACCTCCAGCTCAGGACCTGAGCGATCAATCAGTGGAACCAAGAGGCCAGCCAGTGACTTAAATCCCTCTGGACGGACAGTCGATGGTACAAGTGGCCCTGGACGACCTGCAAGCAGCTCAGGTGGCCCTGGGCGACCCATCAGTGGCTCAGGTGGTTCTGGCAGATCTGTGAGCAGCTCTGGTGGCCCTGGGCGGCCTGTGAGTCGTCCACATGACCTTCGTCGACCAGTGAGTGGCCCAGGCCCCCATGGGCAGTCACTTAGTGGCCCTGGGCGATCAGTAAGTGGCTCAGGTGCAGCTGGAAGAACTGTCAGTATTTCAGGCTCCCAAAGACCAGTGAGCAGCTTGGGACCTGGGCGAACAGTTAGTAGCTCAGGTCCCAGCTTGAAGCCCAAGTGCACTGTTGTCTCAGAAACAATTTCTTCTAAGAATATAATTAGCCGGCCCAGCAATGGACAGATGAATGGAATGAGACCTTCCTTATCTGGCTACAGATCTGCCCAAGGTAAAATTGCCCTTCACCCTAAGAATATATATTTGTCACTAAGAAATTGGAAAGAGTAGTTTTATATAACTAGAGACCCTGCTATAACTCTTCTATGTGCCCTTGAAAAACAATTTTATTGGAATAAAATTGTAAATCTGTATAGCATAATTTGACATCTAGCTATGCTACTTTGTATTCTCTACCAAAAGTCTGGTTCCCATCCACCACCGTGCAGTTGTCTCCTTTACCCAATCTGCCAACCCCCCAATTTCCCGTCCCCTCTGGTGGTGACCACCATTTTGTTTTCATATTTTAAGAGTTTTTGGTTCATTTGTTCGTTTCAATTTTAAATTAAGGTATAATATAAAGTTCATTGTTTTAAAATCTGTATATACTACGTTATGATCACTACTAAAAGTCTGTTTTATATCCAACAACACACAATTGAAACCTTTTGCTATTTTTCTCCCTGCTTCCCTCAGCCCCTCCACATTGGCAAACATTCTATTGTCAGAATATAAAGATTTGTTTTTGCCTTTTGTTTGTATGTTTGCTTTATTTATCTTACACATGAGCGAAATCATACAGTATTTGTCTTTCTCTGATTTATTTCACTTAGCATAATAATCTGCTCTGGGCCCACCCAAAGTCAGACTCAGTTTGAATAATTATCCATAATTCTGAGACTTTCATATTTTGTTGGACTTTAAAGAAACACGTTGTTCCAAAGGGCAAGATTTTATCTTTTTTATGCCCTAGTAGTGTTCCTTTGGGTATAAATAGAACATCATCTTTATCCATTCATCTGTTATGTGCCCTTTAATGCACTTTTGCAGTGATAGAATACTGATGTTTTGTCTGTCTTGTGCCTGAGACTTCCCTTAATGATCCTGACTTGGAGGTCTTTAGAAAGTCGCTTATCTGTTCATCCCTTTAATATCTCCATGTGTAGTAAACTTAGCTATTTCATTTGTAAGACAAGGGGAGTTTATATGCTTTACATGGTTCAGTTCCTCTTAATTTTTTCATGAGGATTGGCAAAACCTGTGTTCAAGGATTAGAGTGTATTTATAAGCTCCAAGACTTTTGTTGCATTATTTACTCATATATTTGTTAAGTACCTACTATGTACCAGGAACTGTTTCAGTTTGCCCTTGACTTTCTGCTGCTTATAGTAGGCAACATCAAGGACCTGCTGCTGGTCCATTGGGAGTCTACTGTCCCAAAGTCCAGGATCATCGGTAGCACCTTCTAACTGCTAGGTCATAGCTTTTTCATGACAATAAGCATTTGTTAAAACACTTGTTAGGTACTATGAAGAATGTTAAAAAAAAAAAAAAAAAAACAATAAAAATCCATGGTATAAATGTCGTAAATCAGCCAGAACCTTGGTTCTCAACCGAGGCAGTTTTGACCCTTGGTGAACATCTCACAATATCTGGAAACATTTTTCAGTGGCATAACTAGGGAAGAGATATTACTGGCATCAGTAGAGAGGTAAGGGATGCTGCTAATATTACTACAATTCACAGGGCACCCTCCGCACAACGAAGACTTATCTGGCCAAAATGTCAGTAATGCTGATGTTGAGAAACTGAGTAAGGGGGCAAAATGTACATATTAAAAAAATAACTGTAGGGCCTCCCTGGTGGCTCAGGGGTTACAGGCAGCACTATCAATCTATCGCCAGCCATTGCAGCACAAGTTAGATCCCTGGCCAGCCAGGGAGCAACCCACATGGCACAGCAGACCTCTGCTGTCGTGCCCACTGCTCCCCTCAGCATTGTGTTTCAATGGATCTGCCTGTTCTGCTCCCCATTCTCTCTGGTGAATCCTCTCACCTACCTCGCGACTCTGGCCTGTACCCCAGTTCTTGAATGCATAAATAAATCTTAGGAAAAAAAAATAACTGTAGAACAACAAAGGGAATGTTTTTAATCAAGAACTAGAAAGCAGTTGTTCCAGATGCTTGTCTGTTGATTCATGCTTCTCTTTGCAAAGTTTTTAATCATTCTTTTAGCAGGATGACCAAAACAAGGATATTATAATGAGTTTTTCCTCAGTCAGACTCAGTTTGAATAATTATCCATAATTCTGAGACTCTTTCATACTTCGTTGGACTCTAAAGAAACAATGAAACTTGGTATAATGGTATATTGTTACCTTTGGTGTCTTGGTAAAATTTGAAAGCTTGTGATGTTATAGCTATTCATAATTTTTTAAAGACAATTATCCTGCAGAAGGATGAGAACTGCGAAACTAGAAAATAATAGACATTCCTAGTAAACCCTGAGATAATAGAAATTCTAATCCTTGTGAATACCATGAAGCAGCAGAGATGTTATAACAATGACTCCATCCTGTGGGCCAGCTTGCTTGCTCTGGTTTTGAGGACACCATCTTAATGATTTCTCCAAATCTCCAAATACATAGGACTTTATTGGGACTGTTGAAAGTTTTAATGCTCTTATAAATAATGACTTTACTATTCTTAGGTCCTCAAAGGCTTCCCTTCCCTATTGGTTACAAAAGGCATCGAGATTATGAAGATGAGGAAGAGGAGGAATATGACTCTGAAATGGAAGATTTCATTGAAGATGAAGGAGAACCTCAGGAAGAAATATCCAAGCACATTCGGGAAATCTTTGGTTATGACCGCAAAAAGTAAGGCTAAATAAGATTTAGGTAACATGATACACATTTTACTTTGAATAACTCATGCAAAGGAGGAGAAACATTAATAGTAAAGGCAGTGAATACAATTCTTAATTTAGGAACCTTGCATGATTGTTTAGAGGTATTCTTTTGGGACTTAATATATAAGAATTAGATCAGAATGTTAGTATAATTATTTGCATGAAGGCCAAAAATACTTTTAAATTGTCCTCCTTTTAAGACGTATATTTAATGATAGTAAAGCAGCTTAATGTAAAAGAATTAAATTGGTTTTGATATCAGAAAGCCATGTACAGGGCTGTATTGAAAGCTGGTCAGGTCTGACACCCGCTTTTTTTTTTGGTGTCAAAAGCTTTGGACAATAGAATGGGACCTATACTGTTGACATCACCTGGGAGCATGTTAGAAATGCAGGCTCTCAGGCCTCACCTCAGATCTACTGAATCCAAATTGGCTTTATAAGGCTCCCAAGTAATTCATGTGTACATTAAGGTTTGGGAAGCACTGATATAGAGGAAAGATCAAGGTTTGAATGAAGAGTCACAAATACTGCATGGTTAAATTTGAGTAAATTACTTTTTAAGAAATGACATTTGGAAGGATTACATGGAGTGTTTATGTAAAACAAAATCAACTTATCACAGTGCTTTGAATCCAGGGATATGAGAAATTAGAAAGCCATCCTAAGAAAAGGTCTTTTTTTAAAAAAAAAAAAGACATTTAGTAAAAGAATTGAATAAAAATCAATTCTTGGGCCTCCCCGGTGGCGCAGCGGTTGAGCGCTGGGTTGCGAAGCTGCCCGCGGCCTCTGCGGCACCGGTTCGATCCCCGGCTGCTCCCCGGCCACCGGAGGAGGGTCCCACATGGCGCGCGGACCTCTCCTGCCGCCCGCTGCTCCCCTCAGCAGTGTACTTCGGTCCTTCTGCCTGCTCTGCTCCCCGCTCTGGCTCTGGTGAATTCTCTCACCCTCCCGTGCTTCTGACTGTACCCAGTGCATGTGTAAACGAAACAAAACGAACAAACAAACAAATAAATAAATAAAAAAAAAACATGCCTCTATAAAAAAAAAAAAAAAAAAAATCAATTCTTGATTTTTATCTAGTATTAGATAAAACATCTAGTATTAGTAATGTCATTAGCTGGCTCGCTGTGCTTAAGCCTTTAACTTACTGGCCTTAGTTCCACTGTTCCTACCCTATCTCATGATGATTGTGAAGCTCAATTGAGAGTAATATATGCAAAACCATATTCATGTGCAGATGGTCCCAAGCTTACTGTGGTTTGACTTACCAGTTCGACTTTACAGTGGTGCAAAAGTGATATATTCCTTAAAACCATACTTCAAATATTCATCTTGACCTAGACTATGATACAGGTAGTATGATTATCTTGTGATGCTGGGGAGCAGCAGGGAGCTGCATTTCTCAGTAAGCCACATGATCATTAGGGTAGCCAACCTACAATTTGCAGTATATGCAAGTGGAAGTGTTCTGAGCACATTTAAGGAAGGCTAGGCTAAGCCATGGTGTTGGTAGGTTAGGTTGAGTAAATGCATTTTTGATCTATGATATTTCTGACTTGCAATGGGTTTACCAGAATAAGGAGAGCTATATATTATGCTTTCAATACTTCAGTATCAACTGTCACATGTGGTGGTGGTGAGTCAGCACTGTTGCCTTGGTATTTCATCAACATTAAGATTGGGAATAGTTGCCTTCTGGGGGTAATTAGGACTCATTTATCTTAACTTCGGAAATTGCATCTACCCATCTTTCACCCCCTTGTTTCTGCTAAGCAATGTTTTGATTTAGTCATAAAAATGTTGATTTTAAAGACAGGAGAATGTAAATCCAATTTTTAACAATTTTTGTTTTCTTTTATCAGATACAAAGATGAAAGTGACTATGCCTTACGTTACATGGAGAGTAGTTGGAAAGAGCAGCAGAAGGAAGAAGCAAAGAGGTAAGTGCAAAAGTTAACCTATTTGTACAAAAAAAGTCCTGAAAGTTCTTCAGTGTTTGCTGCTTCAGTCACACCATTGGGAGCAGGGCTTTGGACTAAGTCCTGAGTTCCAATCCTTGCTGAGGGACTTTTAGACAAATTTCTGAGCCTTTCTAAATATGTGTTCTCATTTGTAAAATGTTTTTGCTCATTGAAGTATAGGATTAAGATAATATATGCACAAGTTGCCTAGTGTTGAGTCTCACTGATATAAGCACACAATAAGTAGAGGCTTCCCTGATCCCTTTGCAACATGTTTTTCTTTCCCCATCCTTAATTCCCTTTACATATCACACACATCTCTTTTTTTTACGATTTATTCATACAAGAGCCGGAGTACAGGCCAGAGGTGTGGGGGTTGAAAGGATTCACCAGAGACAGAGTGGGGAGCAGAACAGGTGGATTGACTGAAATACACTGCTGAGGGGAGCAGTGGGCGAGACAGGAGAGGTCTGCTGCACCATGTGGGTCCCCTTCCTGGCTGGGGATCAAACTCATGCTGCAGTAACTGCTGATTGCTCCATAGTGCTGACGTTCAACCCCTTTTGCCAGCAGGGCGGCCCACACACATCTTTTTCTTGCTAACCTGTATCTCTGCTGGTCTCAGGGACCTGGTAAGGGATGTTAAATTCCCTCTGTCTTGTTCCTTTTGGCTACCTGATAACTAATTTCTTGGGTAGTAGAAACAAGTGATCACTTTGTTTATATAGCATTAACTTGGTGAAATAATTCACATGTCAACCCAGAATGTTAAACTCTTAACTCTCTTCTTATTCTCCCATCCTGTAACTAGATAAAATATCAAACTAAAACATTGGGAAGGGACAAGAGAAGAAGGTTATTTGTTGAAAAATGTTTTATTTTTTAAAAGCTGTTAGAAAATAACATTTTATTACTTTGATGGGAATATTAACATAGTTTGTGTTGTGGCTGTATGGGAGGTCCTATTTCTACTATAACTTGAGTCAGTTGCTACAGGTGAAAAATATTCCATCTAGGCTTTTTTCAATGATAAGGGATTGAGGGACTTTTAGTACACCAGTAAATTCCATGTAAGCTCAAGCTTAAATTTCATTCTGGCTTTTTAAAGAAAATGATTTTGTGTGTATTGAGAACCACAATTTTTTTTTTTTTTTTTGACAGTTTAAGACTGGGTATGCAAGAGGACTTAGAAGAAATGAGACGTGAAGAAGAAGAAATGAAACGCCGAAAGACCAAGAAGCTAAAGAGGCATTAGCTGCTGCTTTTATTTATTTTTGTGAAATTCTAGAGATAATCTATAAGGAAGTCCTGCCTTCTGACTGAAGAAGCCCCCTCATCATTTTAGTTTTCTATTTAGGTACTCAAGGAGAAGGAATGCATACTGTCATTTGCAGGCAATCATTTGAGCATAGAGTATTTGCAAATACTTTCCAGGGTAAAATCTGTAATGCAGATGATAAAATGCCCAGTGAGTGCTCCGATGAAGTTAACTGTTCACAGGTGCCAGCCTTGCTCCTGATGAGCTATGCACTCTGCTGTGGGGCCACTCAGCAGTCAGCCAATCTCTTGTTCCTTTGCTGCTTTAAAAAGGAGAAAAAAAAAAAATTGCCCCTTGACTTCCATATTTCTGCTGATGTATGAGTCAGGCACTGTCTGGCTCCAAAACTTATTTTGTCTTTTTATCAGGAACCTGGCCCTTCTGTGAAAGTTGCCAGCAATAAAGTGACCTGTCTTTGGACTGAGAAAATGAAAATGTAGAGTAGAGTTTATAATTAATTATACGGATGGCATCTTTGTGACTTTGAAGTGAAAAGTAGAATAAATTATATTGCATCGTGCATTACTCATGGATTGGATGCTGAGCATTCTTATTCACTAATTTAGGCAATTAGGCAATTAAAAGTTATTCCAAGTTAAGTACAAGTTAACGCTATTTCATATATTCTTTTTAAAGTTTTCCTTTCAGATTTGTTGTTACGTTGGTTTTTGTGTAAAATAGACAAGGTCACTGTGCTGATTATCAAAAAAAAAACCATTTTTGTATTGAAGAAAAAATATTTTATTCAAACATTAGATTTGGAAGATAAATAGCTTAAAAAATAAGTGGCATGTGAGGTTCCCCTCTCCACTCCACTCCTCCCCCATTATAAAGATATTTTGGAATACAAGTTGCCCCTGTATCTCTTGATAGTAATTCCTTTGCATTTTTATCTCGAATTTCTTAGCAATTAATGGCAAATACCAAAAATAAATTATGTGTATCGAGAGCACCACCTTCTCTTTTGCCCATATTGCACTTTTATTTCAAGCTATGCACTGTGAAGAGATTATTTTCCAGATAGAAAAGGATGTTTACCTGTTACTGGTCTTTTACTAGGCTGTGGAACTGTCTTCTTATCCTTAAGTCCTAGCTAATAGATTTGATATCTCTTAAGCGTCAAGTCCAAACAATTCCAATCATACTGACCTTGGTTCTGGCTGGAGAGAAGCCAAGTCTCAAGGAAAGTCAGCTATAGAAAATGATACACGATACTGAAGAGCATTCTCAGTGTGACGGGTTAGGGACAGTGGAACATAAGCTTATAAAACAGCTCTGCAATAAACATCATGGCCATCCTACACCACTGAACAGTCATGATTAGGAAATAGGAGAGGCCTACAAAGAATCCTTAACTCTTCAACAGGTCCAGAAGTTATTTCTTTTTATTCAGTTTTCTGTATTCAGGAAAATCCATAATAGATGGCCACTGTACTGGTAATCCCTAATAGTCATCCCTTAATGGGACAACTACATGACCCAATTCTTTAAGACTGATTCATTTTGAAGTGATTTTCAAATTTTGAACATGTAAGATTTTTATTTTGAATCTGACAGGTGTCTCTTCACTACTAATTGAGCACCCTTTCTAAAGCTCCACATAGAACTGACTAGTGGCAGAAAATCAGTCTATTGACTGCCTATCACCCATCTCAAATAGCTTCAGTAAAATTAAGGGTAGTGTGATGTCCCATGTAATAAAGGCTTGGAACATTATTTCCTTTATTGTCACTTACATGCTTTCTTTTCTCTCCCAAATGTTTTTCTTGGATTTTTAATATTCAGACACATGTCTGTAATCTACAATTGTAAGTGCTTGTCATAGCTGAAAGATTTCTGGAAGCTTAAGGTTTGCTAGCACTTTACTTGATATTGTACAGTTATTTGTACAGAGGCAACCTGTGCTAGATAGACATTCCAGAATTTGGTAGGAAGAGTCAGGTTATGTCTATGTTGTCTATCACTTCTGAGTACATTTCTTCTGTAGTACAGATGTCGATTTTTGTATTATTCAACTCAACATTATAAAAGGGTACTTTGTAACTTTTTCTTTAAAGTTCCGAGTCTTAAATTTATCTTGGCCTTTCTAAATCGTCTTCCATTTTGTTCTGCAATTCCCAATTAGTAAAAAAGCTCACAAGCCTTTGAAGAAACTGGAATAGGCTGTTATTTTATCAAGGTTTACAAATTAAGTGCTTGATTTTTAATGTATCCTCTACTGTTCTGATTTTCAGATTTTATTAATTCAATATTTGAAAATGTGCCTTTTATTGGGTAATGTTAATTCACGAATGTAGTAATGTTATCTCACGATGGTAATGTTATATGATCATGGATGCAGCATTCTCTAACAGATGATGTGAAAGGAAAGTAGTTTTCATAAAACTCACATGGCTCTGATTGCACAGTCCCACTTGCTTCTGATGTTGCTATGTCAAAGCAAGGGGCACTTTTAAGGCTACTTTCAGAAAATTTGTCTTTGTATTTTCTCTAAAGTATAAATGCAGTTATGTCCATTGGGAGGCCAGGGTTCCACATGTCACAGGCAGCCTTACATGTGTGCCGTGAGAAGATTCAAAGACTGTTAACAAAAAGAAAGTCTATGGGAACTTGGAATTTCATTTTTTTAAATATGATCCCCAAGATTTTCTCTAAGAAATAATTAACGGTTTTGTATTTTGTAATTTAAAAGCAGCTATTAGTACTTTTCTGAGATATAGCAGGAGACCAAAACATGTTTAGAAAGAGAATATATGAAGAAAGACTGGTTGTTTTATTTTCAATGTACTGGATATATTAGACTATTTATTTTGTGAGTGGATGTAATGAAATATTCAAGTGTTTAGTGTATAATTAACGAGCGGGAACTAGATTTCTTTGAAGTTATTAAATCCATGTCTTTTTATAGAATGGATAAATCAAGTTAAAAAAATTTAATAGTTTAGCTTGTTTTCTGGTGCTGTTGACTTGCAAGAGAATCTACTTTTGCATATACAGGTAAAAGTTTTGCAACTTATGTGTAAAAGAAATTGTAGGCATTAAAAATATTTTATTGATATTTTCCACTGATTTGCATTTATTTACCAAAATTCAGATATTCCTTATCTCATCACCTGGAATATTTTTCTAGTTAGAAATCCCAGCATACTCATTAGCCTCAGAAATACGGTTTGCCTCCTTAAACACAGGCCTCTGGTCATTCTCTCTTACACGTTCATGTCTGCTCAGCCCCTGTCATTGATACCTACCCTCTGCCCAACCACCTACTTAGGGTACTGTCCCACCATCACAAAGCCAACTTGTAGAATTGTTTGGAGGTATGCTCTGGGAACCGAGGGAAGTAGAACTGGATATATATTTCCTCTTGTCAGGAAAACTTGAGCAGGTTCTGATTGTCTATATAGAAAAGAGCCTGCCATGGCTGAGGAAGTGAGTCCTTAGGAATATATGTGAGGAAAGTAAGCACAGCCATGCAGTCAAAGGATCCATACACTTAATGTGTTGCATCAAGGTCAAGAAGTATAAGATACTAGTATGCTAGATTCAGAACTTAACCAAGTATTGCTGATGGGTTTTGAATCTACTTTTCTTTGCGTAAAAAGAGGGCAGTCCATTCAGTGCATAGAGTCCCTTAAAAATAGTTCAGCAACCGTGTCAAATAGTCAACAAAATTGACTATATTGCCAAAAGATGTACTTTGCTGGTAGGGTTGCACTTTAGAACAATGGAACTATCAGTCTTCCTGGAGCAGCCACAGAAAGGGAACAGTTCCATATAGCTTGTTTTTAAAGTATTTGCTCTTGTGAGGTTTTCCCCTCTTTTAGAGTCTGAATCTAAAAGCTCCAAACCATTTTTTAAAACGACATATTAGGAATATCCTAGGGCTCAAACCCTGGGTCTTAGATTACCCATCTTGGGTCACATAAACACCTCTCCTTGCATCATACTGAAATTGAACAATTAGGTTTATACACATGTGGCCTATTTTGGCACTCACTCCAAAAAGAATCATCAATGTCTTGGCTGTTCAGGTGAGGAAGACATTTGAGCCAGAAGGCAGTGAAACTCTTGAATATCCATTTGCATTTGACTCGTTTGGCTCCTTTTTTGTGTCATACAAAAGCAGGCAAAGGAGAGGCCTGGATCTCAACTTTGTGCAACCTCGAGTTGTGTGGGTTGCTCAGGCACTAAAGCCTCTCAACTTCACTTTTGCCATTTTGTAAATGAGGATAGTATCTAGCTCAGAAGGCTGTTATAAGGATTAAAATATGTAAAATTTATCTAGTAGCCAATATTGAGAGACTTCCCAAACATGGTGCATGCTTTGGGTTCTTGATAATAGCTGTGAAAAGGATGAAGAGAAATAGCCTCAAAGAATATAATCTTCATGTTGCTGCAATCTACCCATTTATAACATTCTTTCACCAGTGGATCCTGGACCCAGAAACCAGGTAGGATAAAGGCATTACTTGGGAAATGGGTCTAAAGAGCTATAGTTTCTGTCCTTAAGGACACAGAAATCGAGAGCAACTTAAACTAGTTATTTAGTCAAAGATGTCATCTCCCATCCAGCCCTACTACCTACCTCCCCCCCACCTACACTCCATCTCACTGTTTGCTAATAGAATACCAAGTCTTGGAGTTAAAAAGGGCGGAAATTTTTTACATAAAATGACAAATTAATGTGCAATTACTTTATAGGAAACCAACAACAGGAACTGTACAGCTGGGCAGGTGAGCTTCAGAGCTGCATGACTTCACCAGGATCATCTTTGGTTATTTCCACCGGGGTCTGGGGAGAAAAAAGTAGGTCAAGCGGGTCTTACCTAGTGTTTGCCAGGTTGTGGGCCTGGGCCAACTGTTCCTTATGAAGGACAGACAGAGGTGGCTGTGTGCCATTCTGTTTGACCCAATGACTCCAACCCCAGCTGCCAGCGGGGCTTAGCAGAGTGACAAGAGGCAGGACACAAAAACATCCAAGATCTAAGAGGAGGAGGAAGGAAAAGGGATATGTCTCCAGAACCATTTTATAGGCCAGTGTTCACTTAAAGAGCGAGTTACATGTGGGTTTGCCGGAGGGGCCTGATTTGGGAAATGCTAATGAAGGTTAAACATACAAAATGTCCTAAGCGCACAAGGACAAGTCACCCCTGTCAGACAGCTTTGACACCAGGCCTGATAAAGCTTTCCCTCTACACCTCCAGTTTAGTCATAAGAAACTGAAGAACTTAAAAAGTAAATATTCTTAAACTATGTTGATCACATGAAAGATGAAACTCTCCCAATTCTAAGTAGATAAGAGAAATAGATAAGTTACAATAACACTTTTTAATAAAGAATATTTAAAGTTACTAGATTTGGATTTTACTGTTTAGTTCATTTATCTGGGGGGAATATGTTCCAAAGTAGGAAAAGAGGGCAAAAGGGCACACTTACCCCTCCTGGGGGATACTTATATCCCTTCCACATTGTTCCTGCAATGAGAAGCATCCATAAGACAACAATCATTGTAGCGTTTCTTGCTCAGCTGGTGGTGTGTGAAGGGAAAATGGGTGGTTGTGAGAGCTGTGGTGTTTTAGTTCCTGAGTCCTGGGAACAGCACTGTCTTCATTCCAGACCGGATGGTAGATGGCCCAGCATGATAGGACCTAGCTGCAGAGCTCTGTGGTCTAGTCTGAACTGTAATGGCCCACCATGGCTATTTTGGGGGGCAGAGCTCAGACACCAATTGTGACATCAGCTCCTGTGACTATGGGGACCAGTTTCAGAGTGAGTAGCTATGGGACAACAGGCCAGAATGCCGGGTGTGTTGGAGCTAGACGCCTTATCAGAAGGTAATGCTGACTATGTTGTTAGGATCTAAGTGGCACTAAAATTCTGACTACTGACTTTATGCAAAGAAATGCAAAGAAAACATTACCTTGCAAAAACAAACAAAACCACCCTGTATTAATTGGGAGGATTAATGGTTAGATATACTATGTGCAATTGCTTTTGACTTTAAAAAAGAAATATCTCGCATTTTGTGAAATGGCACAGTTAAACCTTAATCATGCAGGGTAAGCCACAACTTTCCTAAGAAAGAGAAGGAAAATGGGCTGTTACGCTCATTTCACAGCAGGAGAAACTGAGGCACAGAATGTTTCAATGGTTTGGTCAGCATCACAGTGTGACAGTGGCAGCTAAACAGGTACCCAGTGCCTCCCTCCACACCCCGAACCCCACAAAGGTCTGTGTTAGGCCAGTGCCCTCATAGAAATTCTGGGGAAGATGGAGGAAAACACCAAAATAGCCATCAGGCCTTGCTCTTAATACATCTGGGCGTGGGACTTGACACTGCCTTCTGGGTAGCTTCCTAGAAAACCTGCTCCTGTAACCAGTATATCATTAAGATTCTCAGAGTTAAGGATAACAGTGGGGACATTTTCTGAAAAGGTCTGAATGAGATGGGTTGGGATGCAAGAAACCCAGAAGATAGTAGGCTGAAAGGATGATGCTATTAGTTTCCTATGGGGAGGGGGGGGACCTCCCTGGTGGCGCAAGGAATTAAGTCTCAGCACTACAAAGCTATCCACAGCCACTGCAGCACGAGTTTGATCCCCAGCCAGGGAGCTAACCCATATGGCACAGCAGACCTCTCCTGACTCGCCCACTGCTCCCCTCAGCAGTGTATTTCAGTCAATCTGCTTGTTCTGCCCCCCACACCTCTCACCCCCCACACCTCTGGCCTACACCTCACTCTTGTATGCATAAATAAATAAATCTTTAAAAAAAAAAGTTTCCTATGGGTGGTCTAGTCCAGTGGTGTGAGTGTGAGAAGCTATTAAATGCAGATACCTAATCTTGCAGTACAGCTTCACAAGCCAGCTGGTTTGTGTGTCCTTGGGTAAATAGTTGCAGTTGTTGTCAACAGCAAATCTTTGTTAACTGGTTCATGTTTTGCTTAATTGTGAAGTTAGCATTTACTAAATACTAATTGTCAAGCTTTGGGTTAAATGCTTTATATGGATTCCCAATGTAATCTTCACAAAAACAGTAAGATAGTGAGATATCTCCACTATGCAGATTTAGAAACTGAGTTTCTGAGAGATTAAATGTTTCCAAGCTTTCATAGGTAGTTGCAAAGTTAGGACTTGAACTCAAACACATTAACTCCAGTTTCATGATCTGCCGAAAGGGACTTAAAAATTCTGGTTGTCACTGGAAACCACCCAAATGCCCAAAATTAGATGCCCAAATGCCCACATCAAGAAGATGTGGTAGGGCCTCCCTGGAGGCGCAGCGGTAGAGCGCTGGGTTGCAAAGCTGCCCGCGGCCTCTGTGGCGCTGGTTCGATCCCTGCTGCTCCCCACCAGAGGAGGGTCCCACATGGCGCGCAGACCTCTCCTGCCGCCCGCTGCTCCCCTGAGCAGTGTGCTTCGGTCCTTCTGCCTGTTCTGCTCCCCGCTCTGGCTCTGGTGAATTCTCTCACCCTCCCGCGCTTCTGACTGTACCCAGTGCTTGTATAAATAAATAAAAATAAATCTTTAAAAAAAAATAATAACAGTACAAAACACAACAAAGCAAAGACAAACAATTATCAATCAGAGACATCCTGCAGGGGAGGAGGAGGGAGAGGGATGAGAGGGAGGGAGGGAGGAGCACAGGGGACTGAGGTGATGGTGCACAGGTGCATTGGGGAAGGAAACTCTATGGGGACTACACCTGAGGGGGCGGGGGGAAGCAAATATTATTTTAAAATGAACACTGATGTAAAAAAAATTAATATAAAAAAATTCTGGTTGTCAAACAAAGGGGCAAATAAACTTTAAAATCAACCCTTGAAACTGAACATTGACCTTCGGCTTTCAGAAGGGGAGGGGGAGGAGAGAAAACAGGGGAATGAGGGGAAAACACAGTGAACCATGGTGGAGGACAATGGGTGCTCTGGTAGGGGGAGGGCCATGGTGAACATACTTGGTGGTAGTGGTGGTGTTGGGGTGGGGGGAGTGGAGACCCCGATACTGTCAAGATACTAGCAAGGATGGAAAATAACGGTACTTCAATAACAATAAAAATGAATTTTAAAAAATGTCAGTCGTATTTATTGTAAGTTTGCGAGGAGAAAATAAATTAAGAGGAACATCTGAAAAGTATACAAAAAATAATTTATGAGAAATGGTTATTTCTGAATCTCAGTCTGCTGCCCTCAGACCTTTTGAGCCCTAAGTTCTCTTCCACTGCCATATAGTTTATGGTACATTTCCCCTTCCATGTTTATTGTATTTTCCACTGGAATATAAATTCTCCACTGCGGTTTCAGGGTGCTACCAAGTTCTCTGGAAATGAAGGAATCCAGTCCAAAAGACCCATCCAGGGGCCTCCCTGGTGGTGCAAGGGGTTAAGATGCAGCACTGTGAAGCTAGCCACAGCCTCTGCAGCATGAGTTCAATCCCCGCCCAGGGAGCTACCCACATGGCACAGACCTCTCCTGTCTCGCCCGCCCACTGCTCCCCTCAGTAGTATATTTCAGTAGATCTGCCTGAATCCTCTCACCCCTCCACACCTCTGGTCTGTACCCCAGTTCTTGTATGCATAATAAATCTTAAAAAAAAAAAAAGACCCATCCACCCACTCACAGTTTCACATCTTCATCCAAAGCTCGGTTCCTCAGTCGTGCCCTTCTCTGATGAACAGGCCACCTCTCTCTCCACTTCAGAGTTGGAGGCTAAATCAGAAAGAAACTTATAGGTGGCTCCACTTGACGCAGTAGGTAATTGCCTCTGTACGGTGACTGTAAGGGCTGCTGAAATGTCCGACCAACGCCCATGTTCCCTTTCCTAGCAGCACTGCTCCACTTGGCCTGAAATCTGGAAGTCAGGCACTGTCTCCAGCAGACCCCTTATAAATCCGATGCCTAGAAATAGGTGACATCAAGTACCCATGCGGGTAGGTATATTAAAGAAGGGGGAGACTTAAAAGAAAGATGTCCCCATGAGATGGGAAGTAGCCTGGAAACTAACTTTTGTTTCCATGGTATCTTGACTTCTAATTAGTGGTGAGATGTCAACGAACTTTCCCATTTGGTCCGAAACCTCAGATGGGAGGGTTGGTCAGGACTGACTACCAGGGGTTTACAGGCAGGATTATTACTTACCATGGACTCTGGAAATGTACCCATGTAACATGCAAGTCCAACAAAAAGCATCCAGCCAAGCACGATCATGATAAAAAGTAAAATCTCTCAGACACAAATGCACAGTGAAAGACTATTCACCAAGATCTTGGCAAAGGAGAATATTCATGAAACCCTCAGCTGATAGAGTTCTCGCATGTCAGCTGCAGTCCTTGGCTCCAAAGGATCCGTGAACTCCCTAGTGGAGAAGTTGGAGTCTAGTAGGGCATTGTGACATCACTGGCTAAATGGCCCAGATTTACCACAGGTCAGAGATCCTACCCAAGGATAGTGTAGGCTAAGCAGCAAGCCAAGCTCCATGTATGTATGCATTATCTCACAGCAACAATGTGAGGTAGGTAATCTTATCAACCCCATTCCACTAATGAGAAAACTGAGGCTTAGAGCATCTAGTAACCTGCATTAGAGCTCACAGCTGAAGTTCCAGATCATGGCCAGGATGTAGGACCCAGCTGCCTCGCTCACCACCATCTTATTTTTATGAGGTGATTCTTCAACACCTTTGATTAGTTCCTCCCCATTGGTTCTCTTTTCTTAGCTTTCAAGAAGCCACAAGTATTCTTGTCCTCTCCTTCAAAAGCCTCCAACTGGTGCAATGGCTCCCTCTTGTCTTGATTCTTCATTTCTTTTTATAACCAAATTTCCTAAACAAGTGGGCCACACTCAAAAGCCATTCTTTCTTCCAACCCACATCTTTTCTTCTTGCATTACATTCTGACTTCTGGGCCCCATCCCAATATTTTTTTTTTTTAAAGATTTATTTTTTTATTTATTTATACAAGCATTGGGTACAGTCAGAAGCGCGGAAGGGTGAGAGAATTCACCAGAGTCAGAGCGGAGAGCAGAGCAGGCAGACAGACGAAGTACACTGCTAAGGGGAGCAGCGGGCGGCAGGAGAGGTCTGCGCGCCATGTGGGACCCTCCTCCAGTGGCTGGGGAGCAGCCGGGGATGCGGGCAGCTTTGCAACCCAGTGCTCAACTGCTGCGCCACCGGGGAGGCCCCCATCCCAATATTTAGACGCTATGTCAGGGGTTGCCAAAGCTCAGGGTTGTTAGCTCTGGCTGAGGTATATCTAACAGATACTTACCCCTTCAACTCTTCCCTATAATCTTGTCATCTCCTGTCTCATGGCTTCCACTCTTGCCCACACTAGTCTCTTCACAACACAACGGTCAAACTTAATTCTTTTAAAATTCCATCATATCATTCCTCTGTTTAAAGTCCTTCAAAAGCTTCCTTTTTTCTCTCATAGTAAAAATCTGAGAAAGAGAATAGCAGCCCTTGACATTCGGGAACTGCTCCGATCCAGCCAGTTCTCAGTGTTGTCAAACACTGTGCTAGGCCATGTTATTTTCCTTTTGGATATAAAACATTTCACAAAACACCAACATCAGACAGGCTCACTTGAACCACAATAAAATGAGACAAAATAAGATTACTTCATGATTTTGTCTAAGCAGAGGCAACAAAAACATCACTGTACAGTCCAAAAACCAAACATCCTTTTCTCTCTGCTAATATGAGTGCTGCAGCTTTACCAATTACAGCTTTATCCTCACTCAGTCTGGCCATCTTGTATTTATTGAGACACCCATTCATAGAACAGTCCTCACTTTCTGACAAAACCCAATCTAAAATGACGCTTTGTTTCCTTGAACCCTCCCCCAAACCACCCAAAGCCCAAATCCTATAATAGGTTCTTTCAAACACTTTCCTTCTGAGCTGTCTCAATTGCTCTTCACAGCATCTGCTCCCTTGCTGCAAGGATTAATCACCACACCTTAGTTAACTACAGGTGTATTCCTCCTAATGTCTTGGCTGAAAGGCATTGACATACCAGGTCACAATGGCCTATAAAACCTCCCACCAGTTCTCAGACTTTATGCATTTCTATTACCTGGAAGGCTTGTTAAATCAGATTGCTCAGGTTCCATCCCAAGAGTTTCTGGTTTCTGATTCAGTAAGTCTGGGGGGAAGCCTTAGATTCTATATTTCTAACAATTTCCTGATGAAGCTGAGTCCCAGTCTGGGGATGGCACTAGAGGAATCACTTCCTAAACCATCTGTGCCGCCTTCATATTTCTGTCTTAGGCTTTCTGCTTCCTCACCTCTTATTTCTTTCTACTTCAGCCATGGTAAGTCTCCTTGCTGTTTTGAACCTCCCCAAGCAGCCACCTGTCTTAGGATTTTGCCTTGACTGCCCTCTAATAGCTAAGGAAATCTCTCACCTCTCAATGAGAACTGCTCTGATCTCCTTACCCTGCCTTTAAAATAGTTTCCCCAACAATTAGTCTAACATTCAGTAAGCTTTACTTATATTTTTTCTCATCTACTAATGAAAGGATGACAACCTTATACAGCTGATATTTTTGTCTATTTTGTTCACTGCTGTATCTTCAGTTCTAGAAAAATACCTAACAAATAGCCAATGCTCAACAAAGTTTTTTGAATAAATGAAAATGTTCCTTCCAGTTTTTCGTTTCTCCTAATTGAGTCGCAGCATTCCTGCCTTTGGCTCTTCCTATAAACACAATCACCCTCCTGCCCACCCCCCATCCCCCACTCCCCCACCACCTCTTGACAATTATAACATGCAGCTCCTGCCATTTTTTAGGCCCAGTGGTCCAAGCCAGGGAAACAGACCAGGTAAGTAACTCAAAAGTCAAGAAGACCAGGGACTCCCTGGTGGTGCAAGGGGTTAAGCACTGCACCATGAAGCAATCCACAGCCTCTGCAGCACGAGTTCGATCCCCCGCCTCCCAGGGAGCAACCCACATGGCACAGCAGACCTCTCCTGTCTCACCCGCTGCTCCCCTCAGCAGTGTACTTCGGTCAATCTGTCTGTTCCCCACTCTTGTCTCTGGTGAATCCTTTCAAACCCCCAACCCCCGCATCTCTGGCCTGTGTCCCAGCTCTTGTATGCATAAATCTTAAAAAAAAAAAAAAAAAAAAAGTCAAGAAGACCAAACAAGGCCAGAAAATCCTATCTCTTCACCCTCCATTCCCAGATGACTTTACCCACCAATCTACCTCTTCTATTTTCAAACTTTTTTTAACCTGGATTTTCCCACTCTGCCACCAACAAGGTTTTGGCGCCACCTAGCCCAACCACCCTCACCTGGTTGTCCTATCTCCCAGTTCTCCAAGGCTCTTCCCGACTCCGTTTTCCCTCTCTAGAACCTGAAGTTTTGCTTTTGCTGATCCACTACCTCTTCTTTCTAAATCGAACTGCAACTTTCAGCCTTGCTCTTTCTCGGTACTCTGCTGAATTGCACATCCTTCCAGAAACTCTTCCAGAACAATGCAAGTTGCTTCTACCTCCTTGACTGCTTCTCTCCTCGGTGCTTCCTATTCTTCGCCTCGCAGAGGTCCCCAACTTTCCTTCCAGCAAGTCGGGCCATGGTCCCCTCGGCGCTAACCTGCTTCTGCTGACTCTCGGAGTCCTGCCGGGTCGCACTCCGGGTGGAGCTGCGGCGGGAAATGCTGCAGGGAAGGCGACTTGACTTTCCAGTCTGGGAAGGGGCGGGGCCTTGGGCCTCCGGACGGGTTGGACCTCGGCGGCCCCCGTCCGAGCTTCAGTTCGGAAGAAGGTCCCGGGCTTGGGGTCGTGTCACCTGGCTGGACCACCTGGCTGGATATGGAGTTCGACTGCGAAGGTCTGAGACGGCAACTCGGCAAGGTGTGCGCCGCCCCCTGGGCCGGGTCTGGGCTCAGGGGGGGGTCTCCGGGGAAAGGCCTGAGTGGGGCTCGTTGAAGGGCTTGGAGTGGGGTGAGCTGCCTTGAAGCCGACTACCTGGAACGGCCTTAGGGGGTAGTGGGGGCCTGAAGGTGACCTCCCGCCCCCCGAAACCGGGTCCCGGGCTCCACCCCTAGCACCGAGGTGCCCCAGTTTCTACCCAGTGTGAGACCTCACGCCACCAGCTTCTCTGATCTCCAGCAGCTCCCAGCTCTCACCTGTTCTTTTAAATACGCCTTTCTCTCCTCTGAATGGCCTGCCCTTCTTTTTCTTGATTGCAGTGCTCATCCTTTGTAAGACTCAACTCAGATGCCACTCCCTGGAAGACAGAATTACTTCCTTCTCTCTACTTGCTTTCAGAAATACCGATTATCACATTGTAGAGTAATTTTTATTTACAGCCTTAAGGTGCTCTTGTATTCCCTTCACCTCGCACAGGGCCTGACAAGCGTGGAGGTGCTAAATAACTGCGGTGGATCAAAGACCTAAGTAGATTTAGGAATGAAGACAGACCTTGAAGGCCCAGAAGAGAGCCTCTTAAAATTGAAAAATTGAGTGGGAGGGCTGACCCAGCAGTCTGACCTACATTTCTGGGACTTGCCTGACCCCCATTTCTAGGCCCTCTGATTCTCCACGTTAATTTGAGGCAGTCGGCTTTTCCAACAGTTTCCTAGTTAAATAATTTTTAATGCTTCGTAAAACTACCCCCACAAAGAAACCATTAGTTTACGCCATTTCAATTGGATTTGACTGTGTCTTTGTTGGAGCAGTTTGTTAAACCTGTGTGATATTTTGAAGATTCGTGATTGAAATCGATGTCAGCTCCCTCCAAATTGATAAGCGTCAATGCAATTTCAGTGAAAATTCTAACAGGTTTTTTTGTTTTTTTTTTAAAAAGATTTATTTATTTATTTATACAAGCAGTGGGTACAGTCAGAAGCGCGGGAGGGTGAGAGAATTCACCAGAGCCAGAGCGGGGAGCAGAGCAGGCAGAAGGACCAAGTACACTGCTGAGGGGAGCAGCGGGCGGCAGGAGAGGTCTGCGCGCCATCCGGCGCTGCAAGGCTGCGGGCAGCTTGGCAACCCCGCACTCAACCGCTGCGCCACCAGGGAGGCCCATCTAACAGGTTATTTAGGGAAGTTTTCAGAATGATTCTAAAATACATTTGGAAGGGAAGAAGGCCAAAAATAATTTTGGTATTCAGTAGGTATGGGACCTTGCTCTACCAGATGATAATTAAGATTTAGTACACCATTGGTGTAAGATTGACAAATTAGCAAGTGGAACAGACTAGAGGGCCTAAAATCATATTCACACGTTTGGAATCACACTATAAAACAAGAGGGATTGCAGATTAACTACAGAAAGGATGCAGGGACAGATTATTCAATTGAGGAAAAATGAAATGAGATCCCTACTTTTACGAAACATAATTGCCTGTAGATTATAGATTTAAATGTAAGAAACATACTTTGAAACATAAATGTCAGAGATAATGTGGACTCAGTATATATTTTTTGAACAAGACAAAATATTGATTGATATATTTGACTACAGTCAAGTTAAGCACTTCAGTATCAAAAGGTACATAATGAAAGTGAAGAGGCAAAATTGCCGGGGACCAGCCTCCGGCAAAACGTCGTGTCAGGGGTTCCTGAAAGGATGAGACGGCATCGGCAAAAACGAAAGATCTGAAACTTAGGGGCTGAGGGGAAGGGGATGAGGTAGAATGAGGAGACACTGACACTTGGTGAGGTGCTAGTATCTTCTGCCGAGAGACTCAGCAGGTCTTTTTTTATTCATTATTAGTAATAATAATAAGGAAATACATTATCATGTGTAAAGCAAAAACAATTAGTATATTATGTTTCCCATAGACTACTGGCCCCTACAGGTCTCAGCTAGACGGCAGCTTTCAAGGTTAATAGATAATAAACCAGACCTAACATTAAAGCTACTTATTTTTTCATTTAGACAATTATTTAAAACAGTGAATAACCGCCAGTGCATCCCTATCAGCTAAAGCCTAAGCATCAAAGGACTATTCTATTCACATGACCTTCAGCCGGAGACTAGCTGCTGCTTAGTTATCAGAACTTTTTTTACCTACAAACTTTTTAACACAGTTAACTTCATTTAAAAACTTTCCTAAGAAACTTCTAAATAAAAAGGAAACTTCTAAAAATCAAAACAAGGATATACTATAATTGTTATGCTGGATTGCTTGTCAGATATATACAATAAATTGTCTCCCATTGTTAATTGGGCCGAATTGTGTAGTAACTAATTTCTAAACAGGTAATTTTCTGTGCCAATTGCTTGCAGTCTGCTGATACATATAATTTATAGCCTAATGTACTTTTTTGATAAATTTTTCTCTCTCTATGACCAAGAACAAAAAGCAAAGGGATGCCAGATCTTCAGCCCCACGGTGTGAGGCCTTTTCTCTTAGCTGCTTGTCAGTATCCTATCTGGCTGGAGCAATAAGGCCTCCTGCAGCACAAAATATAAACAAAAAAATCTGTAGTACCACCAACAAAATATTAGTACCAGAATACATAAAATATGCCTAAAACCAAATGTTAAAATCTGTAGAAAATTGGACAGACACGAATAATCATTTAAAAAAAGAGCACGGGCCTCTCTGGTGGCACAGCGGTTGAGCGCTGGGTTGAGAGGCTGCCCGCAGCCTCTGCAGCACCGTTTTGATCCCCGGTCTGCCAGCGAGGGTCCCACATGGTGCGCAGACCTCTCCTGCCACCCGCTGCTCCCCTCAGCAGTGTACTTTGTCAGTCCGCCTGCTCTGCTCTCCCCTCTGGCTCTTGTGAATTCTCTCACCCTCCCACTCTTCTGACTGTACCCAGTGCTTGTATAAATAAATAAAATAAATCTTAAAAAAATAAAAAAATAAAAAATAAAAAAAGAGCACAGGCTCTTTTTTTTTTATTTTATTTTATTTTATTCACATCCTCCAAATTATGTAAAGTTAACTTATGCCAATCAGGTGAGAGCAAATGGTGGTTTACCATGGTCTTCATTTGCTTTTCCATGATTATTAATGAACTGTAGAAACATTAAAAAGTTTCTCAGTCACACTAGCCACATTTCAAGTGCAGGTAGCCACATGTGGCTTATGACTGCTTTATGGGATAGTCCACATACAGATCTTTTCTATCAAGATGGAAGTTTTATTGGACATACTGTTCTAGGTCTTATATGGGTGGATTGATTCATGTGTATTCCTCAAGATGTGTGTGTATGTACAACTTAGAAAATTCCTATGGTTCTCTAATTCTTATTTTGTACTTCCCTCACTGAGTTACCTTCAACAACGTAAATTTGCTCACTCATAAAATGATAAGATTGGACTTGATCTATAGAATCCTTCCTTTTAAAAAATTTTTATGAAGTGTTGCTACAGAATATTCCTGAATGTGTCCTACATTTGAGCAATGTCATACAAGAGTATTTTTGATGTTCATAAATATAATGTACTAAATAAAAATTCTGTAACAGATAAAGTTAAAATTTTAATAACTTCCAAGTTTTTCAGTATAATTGTTCTAGTTTTAGAATCTTGTGAGTCATTTTTCTTCCTGAAGTGAAAAGTCTGCACCCTTTATGCAGTTGACACTGTCTTAGAGCATGTTATGCAGATTTCTTTTGGGTGATAAAACAAGGAGTCTATTCAATATGTTTAGTGTTACACTAAAACAATTCTGTTTTATATATAGTGGTAGTATGTTTTCAGGACAGATACAATACATCCCTTTTTTTAAATATGTCAAAAAGACAGATATTTGACTAGTAGTGACATTTGGGTTTTCAAACCCTAAGGAGTGTTTTTGTTTATAATTGACAAACTCTTACAGTAGTTTTACAATTATATCAATTCTTATATCTATCCCTATATAGTCAAGTGATACAGAATGTTAAAGACCTAAAAACAGCTTAAAATATTAAGAAGAAAACAACAACAAAAGTTTTTGTTATAGTCAATACATATATTCCAGGTGACAACATGAAGCCTTCTGTACATTTGTGTAGTGTTTGGAGTTGGGATGATTTCATTCACTTTTGGTTACACTGAAGCAGGGACACTGAATCTGGGACACTTTTAATTCTGCTCTATTTAATGCTGATCAATTCTTAGTTGTAATTATTTTATTGTCTACAGCTTTATTATTATATGCTCATTTTTCTCTTTTCAGTACAAATTCAGGGATCTGACTGTGGAAGAACTGAAAAATGTAAATATGTTTTTCCCACACTTCAGATATTCCATGGATACCTATGGTAAGGATCATATCTTCTAATTTTTGCTATATTATTTAAACTATTATTTCTTCCTAGAGAACTACAAAATTGTAATTTCTTATTTCTCTTTTATCCTGATTTTGAGTTACACTTTATTATCTGTGTTTTCTGAGGAAATTTAAGTTGATACAGTTTAAACTGTATTGATTTTTCTATTGCTTCCATAACAAATTAGCACAGACTTAGTGGCGTAAAGCCAGACAAATTTACCATCTGACAGTTTTATAGGCTGCAGATTAGAAGTTTGGGCTAAAATCAAGGTGGTGTCAAGTTTTAGTTCTTTCTGGAGGTCCTGAGAGAGAATGTTTCCTTGCCTTTTTCAGTTTTTAAATGTCACCCATGTGACATTTGGTCTGGTAGTCTTTTCCCTCCATCTTCAAACTCATCAATGTTGCATCTCTCAGATCACCCCTCTGTAGTGAAATCTTCCACAGCTATAAAAGACCCCCTGCTTTTAAGGACCAATGTGGTTAGATTTGCCCACTCCAATATTATGGGGTAATTCCCCCATCTCAGGACCCTTATCTTAATTGCATCTGAGAAGAAATAATGGTACTTAGAGTTTATGTGTGTTTCTGTGTCTGTTCATATGCATGCATGCACTCTAATAAAGTTCCTCCTACTTCTGATTATACATCTTGGGCCTTTTTTCTTCCAGTTTTTAAAGATAGTTCCCAGAAAGATCTACTGAATTTCACGGGCACTATTCCTGTGATGTATCATGGTAAGTGTGGAAATTGAGAAAATGGGAATTTTCTAAAAGAATCGTTTAATAAGAAGTCACACTTTAATTTTTATTTTATTTTTTTAAAGATTTATTTATTTATGCATATAAGAGCTGGGGTATAGGCCAGAGATGTGGGAGGTGAGAGGATTCACCAGAGACAGTGGGAAACAGAACAGCCAGATTGACCGAAGTACACTGCTGAGGGGAGCAGTAGGCGAGTCAGGAGAGGTCTGCTGCGCCATGTGGGTTGCTCCCTGGCCAGGTGGGGATCGAACTCATGCTGCAGAGGCTGTGAATTGCTTCACAGTGCAGGGCTTAACCCCTTGCACCATCAGGGAGGCCCAGAACTTACACTTTTTTTAATGCCATAACGTTCTCAGTGCTTCATATACATGTGACCCAATCAGAAGCTGATTGGATATAGGAGAATGCTCTCCCAGTCAAGGAAAAGATGATTAATATCAACAAATTCAATTCATCTGGACAAATATTTATTTATTGAATGTCAATTATGTGTCCACTTCTCTGCTAGGTGCTGAGGTGCAGAGGAAAGCAAGACAGACATAGGCTTGCTCTTATGGAAAGTTACCTCTGCTTTCCATAACAAACTGCAGGAGTCCCACCTTTCCCTCCAATACATCAATGTTTTGTTACCCTTAGAAAAAGAAAAAAAAAAAGAATTCTTACCCATCTAACAATAGATCAGTTGATTGATTTCATAATTCTTACCCATCCCAATGATTGCAAGGGTATGTACGTATTAACAGAGGGGTTTATGAATTTGAATAAATCATTGCTTAGTTCAGTTTCCGGCACAGTGTGGGGAGATAACACTGCTAAGATAAAGGTTATTTTAGCCCTTCATTGACCCCCTGCCTCTTCGAGAGCCATGGAGCTATGTAGTTGGATCTTATGTGGATCCTCTATGGTAGTGTTGGTGCCTGCATTATCTTTTGTTTTGCAGTACATTTTTGCTTTTAATGCAAATTTTTTGAACTCACTGTGATGTATACTGGTTATTTTTTACTCATCAGAGGTCAGAATGTATTATCTTCCTCATCTCTAAATGGCCCCATTATAGACCTTTATCATAGAATTGCAAGGATTAAATGAATTACTAAAAGTAAAGCTCTTGGCATAGTGCCTGGCAGATAGTAAGTGCTCAGTAAATGAACGTTGTCTATTATTTGTTATCAGCCTATATTACTTTCTCTTTACTTGTTCTGTTACTAAAATAACAACACATACTCATGCTAAAAAAAAAAAATTTAAACATTTGAGAAGGGATGAGGTTAAGTTTTATCTAACCTTTCATGGTGTCCTTTTCCCCAGGTGAATTTTCTGTAGCTATTTCCCTAGTTACAGAAATTTTCTGGATTATTTATCATCCCTCCAAGATTGTGTCAAAGTTGTGATGACACTTTTTCTTTATCTACCCATTATTTAGAGAGGTGTATATCATGACACCCATCTAAATTTCATTTATATCTAACTTAAATTATATTATTATGCTAAAATTACTTTAAGTCTAACAAAGGTTAGACTAACAAAGGACTCTAACAAAAGTTTGGACTCTAACAAAAGTTTTGACTCTGGCCTCCCTGGTGGCCCAAGGGGTTAAGCACCGCACTATGAAGCAATCCACAGCCTCTGCAGCATGAGTGAGATCACCAGCTAGCTAGGGAGCAACCCACATGGCACAGCAGACCTCTCCTGACTCGCCCACTGCTCCCCTCAGCAGTGTGTTTCAGTCAATCTGTCTGTTCTGTTCCCCACTCTGTCTCTGGTGAAGCCTCTCACTTCCGGCATCTCTGGCCTGTACCCCAGCTCTTGTTTGCATAAATAAATAAATCTTAAAAAAAAAAAAAAAGTTTTGACTTCAGAAATGAATTACTGAAAGCTAAATGCACAGAATAGGAAGCAAGGCATTTGCTGACAGAAAAGTATGAAAAAAGAAGGAGGGAAAAAGAGATTGGAGAACACTACAAATGAAATCTTACAACTCAGAATGGAAATCTAGCTCACCAGGTGCTCTGCCAGCCTTGGGCTACTACAGTGTATGAATACAGCTTGGCCGGAGCATGGATAGAGGCAGCAGATCCTTGATCAACCAGGAGGATACCTTTAATGTATTTCTTTCCTTTTCTTTAATGTGCAGTGTTTAATACAGAAAGAAACTCCTGTGACTTGGGCTGCCTCTCCAACTCTTAGGAAACAACAACAAAAAATTTACATGGCCTAGAACAATGGCATTGCAATGTTTTTAGAGTGGCCCATGTCAGAAATACTTTTATATAAATACCTAGCATATATATGTGTATGTATATAACTGAATACCATACTACTGTCATACATGGTATTTTCAATTAAATTCCATTTTAAAATATTTGCAGTCTACTAAATCAACCCCATAATCCATTTATTGTCATCAACATTTGAAAAACACTGGTTTGGTGTATGTAACGCTAGACAGAGTAACTTCTAGAGAAATATAATCAAGTCAAAAGCTTCAAGAGTAGGACCTGGATGTTTGTTCAACATGGTTTATTCAAAATTCCTTAACTGTTCTTGTTGTACAGACAGGGCTGAGTATTATATGGTTAGGGAAGGAAAAATCAAGATTTAAAAGTAGCTTTCGGTGGAAGGAGGATTTCCTTAATAAGAAAAGGTACAGAGGGATATAGAAATCAATAATATATAATCCTCTAGAAGTTTATAGTATAAAAGGATAAACAGACTATAGCAGGGTAGTCCCCAGGAAAAGGGGAGGTTCCAGGTTCCCTGCCCCACCCAAGGGAGGGTGGAGCTGAGCAGGGAGAAGCAGCTGGAGAGGAGACTGGAAAAGGGAGGAAACCAGAAGGAGAGCCAGAAGAAGACCTGGAGGAGGCACATGGAGCAGAGAGACATGTGAAGAAACTGTGCTTGCTTCTTGGTCCTGGACTGGTTGAAATAAATGTGGATAAGAGGCTGGTAGGGAGGTTAACAATGGCAGCTTTTATCTTGGTTTTGATTTTACTCTTTTCCTCCCAGACTTGTTTGACTGCTTCTGATCCTTTTCTATGGGTCCCCGCTTAAAGGTGCTTTAGACTTGTGGCAAGCTTTCAGGCCTTGCTTTGGGCCAATGTTGTTTGGCTGGGCTTTTACCCATTAGGGCATGGGTAACTTGATTTGAAAACTATATCCTTTGTTTTTTCTTTGTTGCACACTAATTATATTAAAGTTCCTTTCCATTAAAGGTCTTATATGTTTTGTCTTAATGCAGTAGATGGAAGAATTTAGAGCAGGCAGTTTTGGGGGTCCTGGGGTGCCCCTCTTCCTACCCTGTAACCAGGCCTATAAGCATATAATTTCAGTACAGAATAAGTATGCAAGTAGAAGTATCCACTACCTTTCAAGATAGATGCAGTTAACTCTGCTTGGGTGGAACACAGATTACATAGAGAAAATGTTGTATCCCAAACTCCTCATGCAGTAGATTCTGTAAGTATTTATGAATTAAATTGAATGAACTGGCTATTAGTTAAATTTCCTTAAGTGTTAAACTGGTGCTTTAGTGAGAACCTATTTCCAATGTGAATATGAATGAAATGGGGGGAAAAAGTGTTGATTTACATAAAATCTTTATAAGCTTGACTGGACTACATGTGTCTTAAATTGTCACTGACCTCTGCATTAAATTATATATTTCATTATGCATTTATTTTGTCTCAAATAGGTAATACATATAACATACCAATTCGTTTATGGATTTTGGATTCTCACCCTTTTGCTCCCCCCATTTGCTTCTTAAAGCCAACTGCAAATATGGGCATTTCAGTTGGAAAACACGTGGATGCTCAAGGCAGGATATATTTGCCCTATCTTCAAAACTGGAGCCATGTAAGATCAGTTTGAATTTTCTTTAAAAAATTATTTTTCTGAATATTGATCTCTGATCCCAATAATATGAATAAGTTACTGAATTTTCTTTCAGTGATATTTTTTCATATGGTCTTTAAAAATGATTTGAAATTGAGCTCTCAGAGGTCACACAAGTCGCAGAACCCTGATGGTTGCAGCCTGAATGATGAAGCTGCTCTCTCCAGGTCTGAAAGCCAGCTGTTTTCTCCCTGTCTTTTCAGTTGTTCACTGCTTTATAAAGCACATGAAAAGGAACTAGCTAGGTCCTGGGCTTTATTTCCTAGCCTCTCCTTACTAAATATTCTTATTTCTTATATGTATGTATGTGTCGTTTTGCCTGTTTTTTTACTTTTATGTACTTTGGTTCATCTTGTATGTAATCTTGTGTTATGTGCTTTAACTAAGATCTAAGTCTTTTAAATTCACCCTTGTTGGGACTTCCCTGGTGGTGCAAGGGGTTAAGCACAGCACTGTGAAGCTATCTGCAGCCTCTGCACCACAAGTTAGATCCACAGGCAGCGAGAAACCCACGTATCTCAGCAGACCTCTCCTGTCTCGCCCGCTGCTCACCTTAGTATGTATTTCGGTCAGTCTGCCTGTTCTGCTCCCCACTCTTTCTCTGGTGAATTCTCTCACCCCCCCTTGCACCTCTGACCTATACCCCAGTTCTTGTATGCATAAATAAATGAATCTTTAAAAAAATGATAAAAATCACCCTTATTAAAAAGTATGGATACTTTGATATTGTTTAATATGGAAAAATGCTCAATAAAGTGGTAGATGTAAAATACAGAATACAAAACCTTATAATGTGAGGATTTGCAAAACAAAATAATGAGTTACATATATCAACATGGGTGAATTTTAACTTATTTGTATTCTTTAGCAACATTACTGCATAACTTCCCTTTTGTATGTATTTTGCAGCCTAAATCTGTCATTGTTGGACTAATTAATGAAATGATTGCCAAGTTTCAAGAGGAACTTCCCCTGTATTCTGTGTCATCATCTGATGAGGCACGGCAGGTAGACTTGCTCGCCTACATTGCAAAAATCACTGAAGGTTTGTATTTTCTTTTTTTTTTTAAAGATTTATTTATTTATGCATACAAGAGCTAGGGTACAGGCCAGAGATGCGGGGGGTGAGAGGACTCACCAGAGACAGAGTGGGGAACAGAACAGGCAGACTGACTGAAACACACTGCTGAGGGAAGCAGCGGGCGAGACAGGAAAGGTCTGCAATGCCATATGGATTGCTCCCTGGGCAGCCAGGGATCGAACTCGTGCTGCTGAGGCTGCGATTGCTTCATAGTGTGGTGTTTAACCCCTTGCACCACCAGGGAGGCCCCTGAAGGTTTGTATTTTCATTCATCAGGGTGCCTCTTTCTACTACTTCATTTCTGTAAGTACTTGCATGTTTCGGTATCTGTGTTGAGTCAAAAATTCCTGTACATTTATCATAGTTGTTACCATGTAGTTGCAATTACTATGGTTTCTTAGGATGTAAAATATTATTCTTATATTGACTAATAAACTAATTAGTCTTTTGTTCACAACTACTTGATTATATAATTAGGATCCCAAATCTTTTTTGCTATATGTGTATGTAGGGTTTTTTTTGCCTCATTCAATATGTTATACAAAACTGAAACAAAATACCCATGCTTGCAGAATTTAGTAGAGAGTTAAGCACTTTTTTTTGCATTGTATATCAGAGCAATAAGCATGAGAATGCTTTTCAGAATTATGGAAATCCTATTTTTTAGCTTTATATGTAATATTTTCAAATACTTAGAAAGATACTTTCTAAAGGATAGCCTCTTTTAATAGACTCGTTTTAAAGGCTAGCCTCTATTTTAATATGAGATTCCTGTCACTTTCATTTGTTCAACAAGTATTTTTTGAGTGCCTATTATGGACTAACATGTTTTCTGTCAGTTATTGTAGCTTGGTGGTTTTTTTTTTTAAGATGCTAAAAATATTCTTGATATTTTAAAATTCTCATGATAATTCACTTTTCTTTGTAGGTGTTTCAGATATAAATTCAAAGAACTGGGCAAATCATGAAAATAAAATGGTCAACAAAATTACTGTGGTTGGAGGTGGAGAGCTTGGAGTTGCCTGCATATTAGCAATTTCAGCAAAGGTATGTAAACAGGTTTTATAAATTATCTATCAAAGTGTTATATCTTTAGGCATACAAAAAACAGTGGCTTCATTTTATCATTGTTATTGTTGTCATTGTTATCAGGGAAAACCTCATTTTGCCTTAAAATATATTTAGTAAGTTGACAAAAAAAAAAAACAAAACCCTAAAAACATTCATCAGTGATGTTGCCTTTTAATTAGTAATTAGTCCTGCAATAGGCTTTGAAAAAGTTGTTTGCACAATGGGGTCATCATCCTAATCGTTGAGAAACTTCAACTTGACATTCATCTGACTTCGTCACAAAATCTTTTCTATTTTCTATGTCATGCCACTTTAATTAATCTCTTATTTAATAAAATACTTAATTATAGCTCTTTCTAAAATAAGTGTTTTCTAAAATTGATTGCTTTTTCTTGTGCGATTACTTCTCTTTCTTTAGGATTGTAGTTCCTGATTTGATAGTTTACGTTAGTTTGAGATTTGACTATTTCCTCATCAATCCTTTTTCACTAGATTTTATTCTATATAAATTATTCTCAGAAAGGCTTAAATTCCCTTCCAGAGAGCTTCAAAGGACCCTCCAGGGCCTAGTGTTATGGTAAAAGCATGTCTCTTTCATTCGCAGCATGTAGCCCAGAATAGAAAAACTTCCTCTGTATGTTTGTTTTGTATCTAGCATTTAGTTTTTTTAACTAAAATTTGATTTTTTTGCCATATAAAAATTTCCCTTTCCAATTAAGTTTCATATATGTTTTGGAGGTATGTTCTACTGAGGCAAATAAATTATATCTAAGGAACTAGAAAATTTTAAAAGTTGGCTGCTCAGAATAATATATGCTAACTTTGGACATAGAGTTTGATTCCCCCCACCTTCCAGATAATCTGAATACACTGTTCCCTCTTAATTTGAATTTGAATTGTTTTCTGTTCTTTTGTTACTAAATAGAATGCTTCTATAAACATTGCTTTACAAGATGCTTATTTTCTTGTCTGCATTTTTTTTTAGATGCACATAATCTCAAAAATAGTGCTAGTGAGTCAGAGGGCATCAATGGTTTTTATGGCACTTACTGTGTATTGGTACACTGCTCTTCAGAAAGGCAGAACTAGTTTATGTTATTAATAATAATGTTCACATCAACCTGATCTTTTGTATTCCTAACATTATTGAGCTTTTTAAAATAAAAATTTTTTTGGATAAGTATAGGAAGATACTTTAAAGTATGTTTCTTTGGCAGTTATAAGTCTCATGATCAGTATTTGTCAACTGTCTGGATGGAAAATATTTTCCTTTTAAACATTAATATTTTGTTACAAGTATTCAAATAATGCAGCAATATTCAAACAATGCAATAATATTCAAATAATGCAATAATAATCAAAACAATGGCAGTAGTAGTAGCAGTGGTAACAGCAGTAACTAACCTCACTGAATGCTTGCTTACTAGGTGCTGGGCACTCATCTAAACTCTTGACTCGCTTTTACAACATTGTGGTTTATGTACTATCATTAATGCCATTTTACAAATGAAACCAAGGCAGAGATTACCAACTTGCCAAATGTCACACTGTTAAGAAATAGAGGGAGTGTTTGAACCTAGACAATCTATTTACAGAGCTGTATCCTAGTAACTTACTATTCAGTGTGACTGTCAGAGCAGCACTGGCATCACTTGAGCTTTTATTAGAAATATATAATTTCGGGGCCTCCCTGGTGGTGCAAGGGGTTAAGACGCAGCTCTGTGAGACTGTCTGCAGCCATTGCAGCATGAGTTTGATCCTCAGCCAGGGAGGTGACCCACATGGCGCAGCAGACCTCGCCTGTCTTGCCTGCTGCTCCCCTCAGCAGTGTATTTCAGCACATCTGCCTGTTCTGCTCCCCATTCTGTCTCTGTCTCTCCCTCCATCTCTGGCCTGCTCCCCAGCTCTTATATGCATAAATAAATAAATCTTTTTTTTAAAAAAAAAGAAATATATAATTTCAGGCGACACCTAGACTTACTGATGCAAAATCTGCACCTCAAAAAAATCTCTGGTCATCCATGTGCTTATTGCCCTATTAAGTGGTGATTCATTAAAGCTTGAGAAACTTCTGTAAGCCACCATGTTACACTCACTCATGATTATTGTTGTTGTGTTTTTTTAAAAAAAGATTTACCTATTTATGCATACAAGAGCTGGGGTGCAGGCCAGAGGCGTGTGTGGGGGGCCAGGTAAAAGGATTCACCAGAGACAGAGTAGGGAACACAACAGGCAGATGGACCGAAATACACTGCTGAGGGGAGCAGCAGGCAAGACAGGAGAGGTCTGCTGCGCCATGTGGGTAGCTCCTTGGCCAGGGATCGAACTGGTGCTGCGGTGGCTGTAGATAGCTTCATAGGTTGTGTCTTATCCCCTTGCACCACCAGGGAGGCCCTGATTGTTGTTGTTATTGATGGGCATTTAGATTATTGCTAGTCTTTTCAATGTTCTTATAGATATTATATCATTTTACACATTAAGAAACCTGTAGGATAACATCTGTAAGCAAGATTGGAGGGCTGAAGGAGTTACTGCATTGCAAAATTTTGATAGAGTTGTCAAAGTATTCCACATATTACTTGTACCAGTTTATTTTCAAACGCAAAGTGTATGAGAATACCTATTTTCCCACACTACTGTTAAACTTTTTGATCCTTGCCTATCTGATATATGAAAGTGGTGACTTGAAGTTTTCTTTGCTTTTTTTTTATAAATTGATTAAAAATAATGCCAGCCAGCCTGTATCACCATAATTACTCTTCACAACTACATGAAGTAAGGTCAGATTCAGTGACTTACCCAGGATTATAGAGCTAATGAGTGATATAGCTGGGGTGTTTTCTTTTTCTTTTTTTCTATTTTTTTAAAGATTTATTTATTTGTATGCATACAAGAACTGGGGTACAGGCCAGAGGTGAGAGGATTCCCCAGAGGCAGAGTGGGGAACAGAACAGGCGGATTGACTGAAATACACTGCTAAGGGGAGCAGTGGGGGAGTCAGGAGAGGTCTGCTGCACCATGTGGGTAGCTCCCTGGCCGGAGATCAAACTCATGCTGCAGTGGCTGCAGATAGCTTCACAGGTTGCGTCTTAACCCCTTGTGCCACCAGGGAGGGCCAGTTTTCTTAACCTCTGATTCCTGCCTGATTGTCTGGTAGATCCACAAGTACTCTTGTCTCTGGACTCTAAGGTAGGAGTGATTTACAGGTCCCTTACTTCTCTGGAAAAAGATCTTCTACAAAGGTAAACTGACTCTTGGTAATTTCCATGCTGACATTTACAATTTCATTTACAGTTTCCGTGCCTACCCTGGCACCCAGGGTGGAATATTCTACATGTATGGAATATTGTTCATGAGTTATCTGGAGAAAGCATTTTAGATTTGTGGCTGTTTTCTTTTTTTCTTAAGAGAAAATTAGCATTAGTGTTGACTTTCATGTTAGAAATTATGTGCTAAAATAGACTAAAAAGTAACTCAATTCTTTTATAATGGAAATTATGACACCAGAATGAATACATAAACTCAAGAACAATAACAAGCGTACTGATTGTTACTAAATTATTTTTATTACACATTATCCTATCAAAGAAAACCTGGAAATCTGTGACTTCTGATTTAACCCTGCCAGATCTCAGTTTGCAGTCCACCCTAAAGGAACACATTATTCAAGTTCATCATAACTTTCTGCTTGCTTGTCCCTTTTATTGTTATTGTGTTACTTTTCCTTTATAAGATAACACAGGAGGCCTGTGTAGTCTGGCTTGGTCCTCACTTCTGAATGAATTTAAATTGAGTAACTTAGATGTGCAGCGTAATACTGTTCTTTTTTCTTATTGTATTTACAGGGTATTGCAGACAGACTGGTCCTCTTAGACCTCTCAGAAGGGACTAAAGGAGGGATGATGGACCTTGATATCTTCAACCTACCTAATGTGGAGATCAGCAAAGGTCTGACTCTTCTTGCCTCAAAGATATTTGCCTTGTTTGCTGTCTTATATTTGAGTCTAGAATTATTTTTAATAAACTTTACTTTTTAGAGAAGTTTTAGTTCACAGCAATATTGAGCAGAGGGTAGCGAGATTTCCCATCTATCCCTCACCCCTACACATGTATAGCCTCCCCATTATCAACATTACCCACCAGAGAGGTGCTATTGGAGGACCTTCCTTGACATACTATCATCATCCAAAGTCTGTACTTTATGTTTGGATTCACTTTTGGTGTTGTACATTCTATGGACCTGGACAAATCTACAATGACATGTGTCTACTCTTATAGTAGTTTTGATACTAGGGGAAAAAATGCCGGGTCCTTGTTGCCTCCCACTGCCAACCCAATAAGCAGAGACAGGGATTTTATCTTTTAACTCATGCTCTTTTTTTTTTTAAAGATTTATTTTTATTTATACATACAAGAACTGAGGTACAGATCAGAGTTGTGGGGGTTGAGAGGATTCACCAGAGACAGATCAGAACAGGCAGATCCACTGTAATTCACTGCTGAGGGGAGCAACAGACGAGTAAGGAAAGGTCTGGTGTGCCATGTGGGTAGCTCCCTGGCTGGGGATCGAGCTGGTGCTGCAGTGGCTGCCTCGAGCTTCATAGGTTGCGTCTTAACCCCTTGTGCCACCAGGGAGGCCCTGTAACTCATATTCTTTATTCAGATTTGCCAGCAGATCTGAGAATGGCCAGGCATCATGCCTCAAAGAAACTGTTCTTACGCCTAATCTCCAGCTGGCTGTTTTATCACTATAAAAAACAAAGGCAGTTAATGCAGTGAGTGAGCTTTCACTCCAAGCATTTAACAACTCTGTGAATTTGTGGCGCTCAGTTTCCCCACAGTTCCCTCTTCTCAGACAACTGATTTTTTTTTTCACATTTTATTTACATTTTATTTTTTATATTCCCCATACAATTACGGCACTACCCAGACTGCTGGGACTAATAGGTCTCTGACAGTAATGGCGTCCAGCACTCTTCCAGGAGCTTCCTGGGCTGGGAAGTTAACTCAGAGCAAACAGGGCATAAGTCAAACAATGTGTGCAGATTCCTATATTATGCGTGGTGCCCTTTTTATCGCCTTCCTAGCCCCTATCAGTTTCACTCTTATAAAAATCCTCTGTGTTCTGCCTTGAGTCACAGAATTTTAATGCTCAAAGCACCTTAAAGATCATGCCCTTCATTTTACATATTAGACAATTAAAATTGAAATATATAAAATTACTTAAAATCATACAGAGATTATAATTGACTATATTAGCAAGAATCAGATGAACAAACAACATCCAGATTGGTGAAAGGATTTCTATTCTATCTGTACCTAACATCTTAGTATAAGTTTGTTTTCTCTGATTTCTTCCTTTCTCATATGTTGGTGAAAAGCACTGATTTTAGAGTTAGATAGGGATTTGCATCCTAGTTTGTTACTTTATAGTTCTTACATTTGTCAGATTATGTAATCTCTCAAAATTTAGTTTTATCATCTGTTAAGTGGGAGGAATACCTATCTCTTGGTATAGAGCAAAGTGCTAAATCAAAATTTAAAAAATATCTAATTCACTTTGTTTTTCTTTTGAATGTGTTGCTCAAATAAGTTTTAATAAGAACAAAAAGGACTTTTTATTATTAATAACATTTTAATTGTTAAGTCATTTTTATCTCATTTTTTAAATTAAAATGTTGCATGTATTTTATAGTGTATATATTAGTATAGGCATATATATGTAGATAAATACCACATTTGGGTGTGTGGGATTAAAATTATTTTATTGCCAGGGAAGCACAATCAAGAAAAAATTGGAAGAGCATGAACTAGAGTAAATGTATTACCTGAAACCATTCTGTTAGATTATAGGCAAAGTCAAGTTGTAGTATGTTATATTGGCTTGCCTTTCTTTACTTAGGCCACCTGTTTTCCTTGACCATATTATCCAAATAAAATATTGAGAGATATTTTCACAAGCCTGAAGATACTAAGAACATAGTGGGTCATGAAACTATTCCTATAAGTTATAAAAATTGGATCTAATAGTTCTCACAAGCCTCTGGGTCCCCATAGGATACACTAAGTTCATTTTCCTTCTCTGGAATGAGTACAGTTGTTGCTTTAATGATCCTTTTGTAGGCTTCATATAGAGCTTCCCTCAGGGAGCTGGATAGTCTCTTGTGCATGTCATTTCCAGGTGTTGATGTTCTTAAGGGACACCTTAACTGTCGCAAATCACTTTTAGGAGACTCTTAGTTCATGGACCCTAGAGGTTGTGAGGCTATTTAGGACCTGAGGAAATTATTTCTTCCTTATGTGTCTCATTACCATCAATAACTATTGTTTCGGATAATTGAAAGAATTGAATCCTTGGAGTAGCTGTGTAGTGCATGGTGCTTGCCACCAACTAGGCAATGTTGAATGAGTCCACACTCATTAATTTTGGTTATACTGGTAGTATGTGATTATTGTTACACAAAAATTTTTTAAATATAATTAATATCTCATATTTTTTGATATGGGGAAGTACATTAATAATTTTTGGAAATTAAGCACAATAATTTTGGATATTTTAGTAATGACCCATGATGACAGGCATTGGTGATTATACTACAACTGATTCATCATATTGGAATGGTACTTTGCTACATTTGGGCTTTTTTTTTTTAGATTTATTTATTATTTATACAAGCACTGGGTACAATCTTTAGAACATGAGATAACCTGTAATGTTATTAAGCTTTCCAGATTATTCTTTTTTTTTTTTTAAAGTGAGGTTACTTTTTTTTTTTTTTAAAGATTTATTTATTTATACAAGCACTGGGTACAGTCAGAAGCGCGGGAGGGTGAGAGAATTCACCAGAGCCAGAGCGGGGAGCAGAGCAGGCAGAAGGACCAAAGTATACTGCTGAGGGGAGCAGCGGGCGGCAGGAGAGGTCTGCGCGCCATGTGGGACCCTCCTCCGGTGGCCGGGGAGCAGCCGGGGATCGAACCGGCACTGCAGAGGCTGCGGGCAGCTTCACAACCCAGCGGTCAACCGCTGCGCCACTAGGGAGGCCCTCCAGATTATTCTTAAGCACCCAGCCTCATGCTTGAGGACTCATGCTAGAGGATTGATAGAAATGCAGAACTCCCTATTTGCTCAGAAGCAGGTGAAGGTATAGATAGAAAGACATACATGCAAGACGTAAACAGTAATGCGTGGCAAGAAAGTAATGAGGCAACATAACTGCTTGTCGAGAGAATGACACACAGTGAGGACTCTCAGAGTTGAATGGAGGGAGCCACTGCTTTCACCTGCGTAAGATTGTGATATATACTGAACTTTCCAGGATTTGGACGGTTTCGATGGGTAAAGAGGTAAGGAAAATGTACCAGTTGCTAACCTTATAGATCTTGGAGATGAAAAAGTAAGACATAATCCATGCTCTTGTAGAGTACATAGAGGTTTAACATATAATTAAACATATTTGTCACATGTGAGCTAAGTGCAGTGAGAAGTAGTCCAGATGGAAAGTATTTAAGCAAAAACCAGTATCAGGAAAGAGACATATTCTGGGGAAGAATTCTCAGGGTTGAGAGAAGCGCGCAGGGTGGTCAGGGAGTTGGCGAAAGAAATGAGAAACAGACACACTTCAAGAGAGTGTAAATCTGAGTGCAATTTAATTTGAGTCAGTGGTCAGTATATATATGTTTTTCTAAAGGCATAGGATCGGTTATCAGTGAACTAAACCAGCTGGCTCATAGGTTTAGCTTATCATTGACAGGGCAGTGATCTATGTCTGAAGTTACATCTGGACCTAGCTACATTTCTGGTCGACAGGCTATTAATTCTTTCTTTTGTTCTATGTAATTACTTTTTTGTTTTAATAACTACTCACTACCACTAACTTATTTATTAATTAGCATGGGTGAATATACTTTTCATAAGATCAAAGCTAACAAAGCCAAGGACACAATCAGAGAAATCATGAAACTAACAATTCTATTATTACACAGAGTTTAGAAATGTTTCATTTGAATTAGCCTAGTTATTAGATTACATATGTTTTTTAATCAGCAATGAATGACATTTTTAGACCGGGAAAAGAAAAGATTTTAGAAAGACAGTTATAGTAGAATAAAGTTTGTGGGCCTTGAGAAAGCGAGATAAGGTTCCGTGTGGTCAGCATCCCTTTTAAGTCTTTGTGGCGGCTTCTGGTAGTTGTTATCTCTTGGCAGGCATTCGGCTTCTCTGCATCTTAGGGAGTTTGCTGTTCTCCCCCTGCGTGCATGGTTCCTTGCCCACGCCGGACCTCAGGGACCGTGGCAACAGCCATTAGCCCTGAAGGTCACTGCAGGGGGAGGTGCAGCAATCTACCACTCCTGTTTACTGAAGTCAACATTGAAGGTGAGGACATTTCTATCATTCTAAGTCGAGGAAGCTAAAAAGAGAGAAGAAAGAAATGATCATGGCAAGATAGATTGGGTTGGGTGCTAACGTCATAAATTAAACTATTTACTGATATTTAATAATATGAACAGGTCACCTAGTATCTCCAGATATCAGTTTCCTCATCTTTATGAAGGCATAGGACTAAGTTTTTAAATACAGCATAGTGTTTAATACCACTCTGAAGTCAGACTGTCTGGCGTTGAATGAGGCTGTTACTCACTAGCTCTATACTTAGAGCAAATTACTGATCTGTGCCTCAGCTTCTTTGTCTGTAAAATGGGGATGATATTAACTCCATAGTGTGCTGTGGATTGAATTAAGTGAGAGATTTCAATTAAATGAAAGCTCTGAGAATAGTGCCTGTCTTATATAAGTGGTAAGGAATTGTTAACTATATCCTTCTAGTTTTAATGTCGTCCTATTCTTGAGGATTTGACTCATCACGAAGTATCTATTCTGAACATTAGCTAACAGGAATTTTACTTCAGAGAGTCATGAAGAACCATAATCAAAATCCAGGACTCCATTTTGGGAGTCAACCCCCACCATTGTGTCAGAATATGAACTGAAACTGGATAATGCATTTCTCCATAGACACATTGTGCAAATGTTTCCTTCTGAAGCTTGTTTAGAAAGATGGCCTTACAGATGTAATTAAGACTATAAACTCTGGAATCTACTCATTGGCTCCCTGGGATGCTAATATTCATTTATGAATGTCAATTGGACTGATGCAATTCTCGTTACTGTATCATTTTTCTGTTGTGGTTAAGGCTGATAATGTTTGGCCATTGTTTTGGCACATACTCATTGTAAAACACACTGTGTAATAGAGTAATGTATTTGTAAAATTAGCATATGTGTACTGAGGATCAGTGGATTCCTCAACTTTTCTAAGTCCTTTCAGTTCCTTACATGTAGGTCCGACTGAAGAAGCACCTAAAAACCAAGGACACTGGGCTTCAATCTAAGAAAAAGTCAGTGAAAAATAAACCAAGACATTTGCCTTCATTTAAAGATTTTCAAACCATTCTTTTCCTCTTCGGAGTAGAATCCTTAATAAATAAAATTGTAACAAGAATGAGCTACTCTGCCTGGAGACATCTAAGTATATGGCCTGGAACCCTGTCTGCCAGCTGCCTTTCCACTTATTACTACTCTTCCTGGATGGCCTGAGTTACTTTCAAGGAACTCTAGACTCCTAAACTCACAGTTTAAAATCAGTGATGTGAATAATTATAGGTTCGTTTTTCCTATTACTTATTTTTCAAATGAAATTTGTGAATTATGTTTAAAAAACTATCCTTATTCGTAGGTTCTTTTTTTAAAGATTTATTTATTTATACATGCAAGCACTGGGTACGTCAGAAGCGCGGGAGGGTGAGAGAATTCACCAGAGCCAGAGCGGGGAGCAGAGCAGGCAGAAGGACCGAAGTACACTGCTGGGGGGAGCAGCGGGCGGCAGGAGAGGTCTGCGCGCCATGTGGGACCCTCCTCCGGTCGCCGGGGAGCAGCCGGGGATCGAACAGGCGCCGCAGAGGCTGCAGGCAGCTTCGCAACCCAGCACTCAACCACTGCGCCACTGGGGAGGCCCTGTATTTTAACTTTATTGCTGTCTTTCCCTTTGGGATACACTCATGCTCTTAATCCTCTTTCTGGAGGCAAATCTCAGCACACTATGTACTTCCTCCCAAGGTAGGCTTGACCCCTGGCAAGCATGTCTTTACTTTTTTTTAAAAAAAGATTTATTTATTTATACAGGAACTGGGGCACAGACCAGAGGTGCGGGAGGGTGAGAGAATTCACCAGAGACAGAGCAGGGAGCAGAACAGGCAGATGGACTGAAAACACTGCTGAGGGGAGCAGTGGGTGAGACTGGAGAGGTCTCCCGCACCATGTGGGTAGCTCCTGGCTGGCCGGGAATCGAACCGGCACTGCAGAGACTGCGGACAGCTTCACAGCACTGTGCTCAACACACTGCGCCACCAGGGAGGCCCCCATGTCTTTACTTATAGAAAAGTAGAATGACTTGTTCTTAACATGAACAGTAACTTGATTAAAACATGTATTTTGATCTCTGATTATTTCTTTTTATTCATTAGATTTGTCTGCCTCTGCTCATTCTAAGGTGGTGATCTTCACAGTCAACTCTTTGGGTAGATCTGAGTCCTACCTGGACGTGGTACAGAGCAACGTAGATATGTTCAGAACCCTGGTTCCCCCTTTGGGACATTATAGTCAACACAGTGTCATGCTCGTTGCATCTCAACCAGGTAAAAAGTTTAAATTAACTTATGGCCCATAATACCAGGAAAATTGCCCTTACTGATAAATGTCAAAAAACTAGTTTATAAAGGAACAGCTAGAGTATTGCTCTTATAATAAGCAATACAGTATTTATTCTGTCAACTACTTATTTCTAATGAGTGACATTAACTAGAAGGTTATAGTTTACAATGTTTTATATAATGTGGTATTAAGTTCCAGGTTGCTAGCCATGCCTTCCTCAGTGAGGAAATGGTTAAACACCTAAAAGAAAAGTGCAATGGCTTAAATGAAAGATCTTTTGTTAACTCTAAAGCATCATAAAATGTTAGTGAGCATGCCAGAGTATATTTTTAATCTTTTTTATTGTAAATTATTTTGGAACTGTTTTACATAAAAAAAAGTATTTCTGAAGAACTAGGTAGTACTAAACTCAAATTGTAAACTTTTAAATTGTAAAAATCTAGTAAATTGTAGATTTTTTTAATGTTCTCAATATGAGGGAATGGTGTGTATTTCACTTGTTTTCCTGTAATGAATGGTTGATGGACTGTTCTCTTTAATTCCTGACATGTCATAAAAGAGTAGTTGTGTTTTGTTTTGTTTTTTTCATAATGCTGTGCTGCATAGCGTAGTGCTAGTGGTGGTATATGAATCAGTATTTTAATTTAAAAATAGAAATTCAGCTAAAAATTGATATAAAAGAGAACTTGACCAATAGAAAAAAAGATTATTTTCTGGGTTTTTTGTACCCAGTTTTCATCTTTCTTGCTTATCTATACTAGGAAATTGTTTCCTACTCTAAATTTATATTTAGCAACAAAGTTATATAAAATTAATGCTGAAACCTGGTTAGTTTTTTAAAGTACATTTAAAACATATTGTGCCTCATGGTGCATCTAGGAACTAAGAAGTACTTATAGAAGCTCTAACATGCTTAGTGAAATAAGTATCTTGTTTATGAACTAGGCTAGAAGTATATATTTTTAAATCTTTATATTTTCACCTTGTCTGCAATATTTAATCTTCATATTTAGTGGAAATTATGACCTATGTGACATGGAAACTGAGTGCCCTTCCTGCAAATCAAGTGATTGGAATTGGATGCAATCTGGACTCTCAGAGATTACAATATATTATTACAAATGTTTTAAAGGCACAGACTTCAGGAAAAGAAGTATGGGTTATTGGTGAGCAGGGAGAAGACAGAGGTAAAAAATATGTTTTCATTAGATATATTGATAACTTAAATCATTAGTGGACAATGGCATTCAAATATCAGATATTCATGATCTCTAGGTATTCCAGAATTGTGGTGTTTTCTTTTTTTTTTTTTTAAATCTTAAATTTTATTTTTATATTCCCCCATACAATTGCAAACGCCCCATTCTGACCCCAATCCTTCCCCTCCCGCCCCCCACCCCCCAAAAAGTGTCTCTGGTTCATAGTTTTTTGTTGATTTTGATTTTCACTTTCTTATATTCATTTTCCTGGTCCCTTATTTAAGTTTTCTAGATTCCTGCTATGAGTGAGACCATCCGGTATTTTTCTTTTTCTTTTTGGCTTATTTCGCTGAGCATGATCCCTTCCAGCGCCATCCATGTTGCTGCAAATTGCATGTGTTTATCTTTTTTGAATGCTGAGTAATATTCCATGGTATATATGTACCACATCTTCTTGATCCAGTCATCTACTTTTGGGCATTTGGGTTGTTTCCAAAGCTTAGCTATTGTAAACAGTGCTGCTATAAACATAGGGGTGCAGGTGCTCTTTGGAATTGATGTTTCTGTGTCCTTTGGGTAAATCCCTAGGAGTGGAATTGCTGGATCATATGGAAGCTCTATGTTTAGTAGGTCCAGAAATCTCCACACAGCTCTCCATAGTGGTTGGACCAGTTTGCACTCCCACCAACAGTGCAGAAGAGTTCCTTTTTCTCCAGAATTGTGGTGTTTTCTTCCACATCTGTGTACCTTCTGTGTGACAGGCCCTGAATACACTCTGCAGATATATCATTCTCTTTGATTTTACTTTTCTGTAAGTTTAAGATTAGGCAAGCCCCCAAAGTCAGGATTTAGAATTTTTTAATTGAATTTCAGAGTCCTGGTAATTTAAGTTTAATTTTCTAGAAAGCAACATTTAAATAAACCCTAAAACATATGCAGACTCCTTTACTCTTTCCACCCTTCCACCTTGTTTACCTTTCCTAAGTTCAGTCTAAGTTCTCCCTGGATATATACCATCTGCCTGTTTTTCATCATTTAAACAGAATTTTCCCTTGCTATCCTTTTGGCCTTTCTTCACAGCTTCTTGCTTGCTCCCTCCGACAAAAAAGCATTGACTTTCCTGAATTGGAAATCCCCTTTTCCTATCCCAAAAGAATGCTTCCCCTGTTTGTCTTGAGAATCTCTTTCTCTACTCTTTATCATTTCCCTCATGCTATGAAGTTGGGTTGATCTGGTGATAAAAATGCTGTTTTCATTTTATTGATTTAAACAAGTTGATGGGAGTCTGTTCTACTCACTGCTGTATAAGGTGAGGGTGTGCTATAGAAGAGGCCCAGAGCAGTCTTGTCCATCATACTTAAAAATTATTTTAGGGCAACTAGAAAAGCATTTTTAAGATATTTAACTAGCAATAAAAGTATAGGATACTATTTGATTAAATGCCAAGATGAATATTACAGATATTTATGAATGCTTAGACACACAGTGAGCTTTTAACACAGGTTAAAATGACTAGAGATATAATCTATACAGGCCATATCACTGAACTGGACTTTGGAAGAATGAATAGGATTTGAATAGGTAGTGAAGAGTGGGAAAGACATTCCAAGAATGGGAAATCAGAACCGGACAAAGCTACATAGTTAAGTATGGTGTGTTCATGGGATAAAAAATCTAGACTAGTTCTTTCAAAGTTTCAACCTAGTAAGCATGGCTGAAATCACATTTTGGAGATCTTTGAATACCTAAATGCAGAGTTGGAGTTGATTCCTGGGCTCTGGGAACCATTAAAAGTATTTGAGAGTGATGTGTTGGAAAGGCCACTTGGGGGCTTCATCATTTGAAATACACAGCTATTATTTTATTCACCATGCATCCTAGAGTGTACAGCACAATGTAGAAAAGAATTCAGTCTATGAGGAGAGGTGATCGTTTCACCAGTGAGCTAAAAAAAAAGACCGTGCACATTAAATAGCAATACCCCTCAATTTTTTTTTTTTTTTTTAGTGTTACATCCCATCTGGTTCTATTTTTTTAATACATTTTTTTACATCATTTTTCATTTTTGCACAATGTATGCATTTTCATCTTGGTTATAGTCCCCAAACAATTCCCACCCCCCTGGTTTTGATCCTACTCCCTCCTCCCCTCCCCCAGTGTACACCTCAATTTTTAAAAAGAAGTTAAAGAGGAGTCAGACAGTAGTTCCACTAAGCAAATCACCTCAAAACTATTTTCTTGGAATTTAAAGCTTCCTATATGCTTTGATGCCGTTAAAGCAAACAATGTATTAACAGTGCTCCCGTCTGGATTAGAGAAAACCGAAAAATTTTACTCTTCTGTTTTCTAATTTTGGATATGTAGTATTTGTGTAATTTTTAAGAAAGTTATTTTGATAAAACAGAATCTATTTTAAATCTGTAGAGATCTGTACTGGCTACCTGGAAAGTTCTGTGCTAAAAAGAATCAGGCCATAGAATAAACCTTTACAAAAACAGTGGAACAGAACTATGTTTCAGGCCCAAAATGTTCCCTAACACTAAACACTAATCAGTAGGGCCCCAGAAAAAGGCAGCAAACAAAAACTTGAAGTGTATGTATTAGATTAATGAATGTCTGGACACTTAAACAAGCCCAAAACCCCGAATTTTCCTCACTACTACCATTTGAGTTCTGGCCTATATCAGTCTCTGCTTATCTAAATATTACAAATCTCCCCCATTAGTTTGCTCTTTCTCCTCTAGACTACCCTGTAAATGATGCCCAATTAATCTTCCTAAATTATATTCCTCTTTTCAGAAAGTTTCACTGATTTCCTCTGACTAAAACATTAAATTCCTTTGCTTTGCATTCAAGGAGTCCCAAAACCTTCTTTCCCAGTCACGTCAGTAGTAATATTATAAAGCTGCAAGGGACCCAAGGAGTCATTGATTACATTTGCTTTAGAGTAACAACAATGGATACAGGAATGGCAAGAATGGGTAAGAATTACCTGCCCAAGAGACTATAGCTGTTAGGGTCAAAGAACTGAAACTCAGATCTTGTTTCTAACCTTGCTCTCCTTTGCTTTATGCCGCGGACCAGCGCAGCGGTAGATTAGCAGGGCAGACTCAGGGAAGAGAAGCTGTGCAGGGTGGTCAAGGATTTGGCGCATAAATGACAGACAGACACACTTCTAGAGTGAACATCTGAATGTAATGTGCTCAAATAATTATGCATTTTTATACATTTTCAAACAGTATTAGATTACATAAGATCAACAAAAGGAGATATCAATCATAAATGACATAAGTGATATATTTTCTTGTTTTTCATAAAAGATGTGTGCAGTGTTCCATAGCAAGGTACAATTTTTTAAATAATGATTACAAGAAACTAAGCGTATGTGGTTAACCATATATGAGGTGTAACTATGGCTACATTATTTCCAAACCTGTTTTCCTTGTTCTATACAAGTGCCTTGATTTCCCTGACAAAGTGATGGATACGAACTCCATGGTGACCTTAACTCAATTATATTGTATTAGTGATTTAGTATGCTTTATTTTCTTTTTCTTTAATAATAACTTTTTTCTTACCATGTAGGTAGATGACGTCAGTTTGTCACTGGGATTTTATATTAACTACATTTTTCACAATACCTCCTTGAAGTGGTCGCCATGGATGTCTTTTAATAACATAGAATGTTTCTAAGTGAGGTCTTGGCTGTTGGGGGAAGTTTCCTGACTACATTCCATAATTGTAGTCTATAATTATTAACTTATGAGCCTCTTCTCAGGCACTTTCATAAAACAAGGAAGATTAGAGTTATTAAAAGAATTAGGGAAAAGTTGTTAGTATGAGAAAATTCATTCATAACACCATTACCAGGTAGATTCTTTAGAGTCAAGAGATAAACAGCTAATGGGTAACTTATTCTGCTAGGCAACAAAGAAAACAAACTTCATAAAATGATGACAACGATCAGCAGCCATCTTCTCAGGGTTCAAGGTGTTCCTCCCGCGTGCTCGGTGCCTTGACTGTGCTGAACATCAAGGACTTAATTGTTATCACTTGAGTTCTGCCGCGGGAGGGGGCACCACAGCTTTAGTCACAGGGACCTTTGCCCACTTTGCATTTACCTCCCCCATATTCTCTTCTCACTCTCTCAGCATATTCAAATCTCATCCTTCAAGGTCTAGGGCAAGGCCCCTATTTTTATACTATGAATCTTTTTCTAATCAGATCACTGCACAGTAATTTCTTCACTCATTTGAGCTAGAAACTATTGCTAACTATATGGTAATTAACCATATATTGTCTTATGATGTTTATTTTGTTAAACTTCTGTTTTATTCTGATGCAATTTGAATTTTGTGTGGGCACCTTCTCCCCATTGAAAGTATGTTAATAAGTTGTTCTTCCAATTGAAAGTAATCATTCATTTACATTGCAAAATACTAAATAGTACAAGAAGATATGCAGTGAAAATAAATCTTCTTTCTAAGCAAGACACCTAGTCCCTCTCAGTAGAAGTAATCAGAGTTATCAACTTCTTGTGTAACCTTCTAGAAATAGTGTGTGTATAGGCAAGCACATATATGAAACATACATCATATATCATTTTCCTCCTTGCCCTTTTACTTACTGATTTTTTTAAAATTTATTTATGTATGCATACAAGAGCTGGGGCGCAGGCCAGAGGTGTAGGGGGTGAGGGGATTCACCAGAGAGTGAGTAGGGAGCCGAACAGGCAGATGTACTGAAATACACTGCTGAGGGGAGCAGCGGGCGAGACAGGAGAGGTCTGCTGCACCATGTGGCCGGGGATCGAACTCATGCTGCAGTGGCTGCAGATAGCTTCATAGTGCTGCGTCTTAACCCCGTGCGCCACCAGGGAGGCCCCTACTGATTTTAATTGAAATTAACTGATTTTAATTGAAAATCATTACATAATAACATATAGAGATCTCATTCATTATTTTTAACTACTGGATATATCAAAATGTATTTTACCAGCCCTCCTAAAACTTAATTTTGACTGAATAAGAACACTTCAATATATGATGGTATTAATATGTCAAATTGTGATGACAGTAAAGGATGGTGTGACTTATGAATAAGCCTAAGGTGCTGTGCTGGCTGCATTTGGCGCTATAAATGTGTGAGAACCTGATCCTGTCTTTTGGATACTTTTAGTTTCATACAGGAAATGACTAGAGTAACAGGCAATGCTGACTTTCTATGAGAAAGGTCCAAGAGAAACAGTATAAAAACATAAGAAAGGGACATGGTGGTTCTGTCTTGAACTTTCAAATGGGGACTAGAAATAGAGGGATGTTTGTTCTGTGAATTTGAGATCACTTTAGTATTAAGTAATATTTGACTCTTAAAATACATGTACATGAATGTTTTAAATCATAATAGAATACTCATGAATCCACTCAATTAAGAAAATACTGATTCCACTGAAGATACCTACGTATTCTCCAACCCATTCCCTATCTCCTGATAAGCTACCACTATCAGATCACTTTTTATCCTGTTTTCTACGTTGTTTCAGAGATAATTACATCCATAGTTATTTAAGATATACTTATCTTAGCCCTGAAGCCAAAAATGTATCACAGGCTCCCTCTGCTGGTTTCATTATGTAGACACCTACTGGTTGTATTTTTGCATGTGATACTATCACAATAATAGCAATTATAATTATTTTTTACTGAGTGCCTACTCTTTGTATTATGCTTTGTATATCTCATTTAAATTTTATGAACACCTTGTGATGGAGGTAGTGGTTTTTCAAATTATAGATGTTGAAGCTTAAGACTTAAGTATTGAAGTATTGATAGTTCGCCCAAGGTTATATATCTAGTAAGGGCAAAACTGAGATTTGAAACCAGGTCTGACTCCAAAGTGGTTTTTTCCCTCTGACTCAATTAGATAATCTATCTAGGGTATTTAGTACACTGTCCAGTACAGTGTAAACTCAGTAAATAATAGCTGTTATTACAGTGATTGGCAAAATGATGATAAATAGAAGTTGGCAAAAGGATATGTAAAACTATGTTTTAAAGTAAAACATTAGGATTCAATAACAATTAAAAGAATAGCAGGTTATAAAATTATTCTCTTTAAGTATTTCAGAGATAAATGACAACTACATCCTAGGGGAGGAATCATCTGACATACAGGACCCTTTAGGATCTGTTTCCTGCTTCCCTCCCCAGCTTCTACAATTCTGCCAGGAATTCTATGCTTGTCAAATGGTTACTTTACAGTTCCCCGAATGGTTCATGTTCACTCTCTTGCTTCCTGCCTTTGTACTTCCTGATGCTTCTTTTCCCTGAACATTCACTCACCCTTTAAGACTAGATTTATTTTATTTTTTTTTTTTTTTTAAGATTTATTTATTTATTTACATAAGCACTGGGTACAGTCAGAAGCACGGGAGGGTGAGAGAATTCACCAGAGCCAGAGCGGGGAGCAGAGCAGGCAGAAGGACCGAAGCACACTGCTGAGGGGAGCAGCGGGCGGCAGGAGAGGTCTGCGCGCCATGTGGGACCCTCCTCCGGTGGCCGGGGAGCAGCCGGGGATGGAACCGGTGCTGCAGAGGGTGCGGGCAGCTTCGCAGCCCAGTGCGCAACCGCTGCACCACTAGATTTAAAGGCACCCCTCTCAGGAAGCTTTCCCCATTCTCCAGGTTAAGTAAGTTCATGCCTCTATTGTCACCATTATGAAACTGTTACAATTGTATGTTTACATGTCTTTTCACTCCCTCAGATTGAAAATTCCTTGAGTTGGGATGGCCTCAGTAAATATGTTTTGAAATGAATGAATGATCATGACACCATCTTATTGTACTCAAAAGTCATTCATATTATGCCTCACCAAATTAGCTTGTCAACAGAACATATTCTTTGGTGTTGCTATTTTCAGCTGTGATATTAAAATTATATGTAAAACTGCAGATAACTCCTTCAAGCGGTGTGTTAGAAATTGAAGGACTGGACCTCACTCACACCAGGGTATTAGATCATCTGCTTGGGTATCCATCTTATCTAAGGGGTAGGGCTGTACCTAATGGAAAAGAGCTATTCCATAGTCATATTTTCATTAAAATGTTTGGAACCAGAGGATTATTATTCTTGAGAAACAGACCCAGACATTTAGGAAGTTCAAAGAGCTGTTCAGTAAATAAACAAAAAAATGAAATAATTAATTCGGTCTAAACTTAGTTGAAAATTCTAATGACTGTGTCACAAGCAAATTTAAACACAGTAAAGCTTCTTTCCTCTCTCCAAACATTCTTTTCTCATGGCTCTTTAAATTAGGACTCAAAGAGGAAGGATTAAAGAATGTGATCCTTTGTGTAATGTATAGTGCAGTAGTATTCAAATTTAATTTCCAGATTTTTGTGGGTCTGTTATCTTTTCTTATGCTTACCTTGCCCCTTTCATTCATCTTTCCAAAGTCTGTACATGCTATATTTCATTTAGCAGATATTTCCCTGCAATTTTCCATTTATCAAGAATATACTCATGTATCAACATTTTTTAAGAAAATAATTGATCAAGCAATACATTTTTTAGAATCCCTTAATCTGCCCACATATATTTATATTTGTATATGATAATTTTTGGTTCTGCTTTGCTTTTTTGTACTTAACATAAAAACTTTAATTTTCCTTGTTTTTGAACTTGACTTGTAGCAAGTATGTTTTCCTCAGTTGTGAAAAACAACTATGAATTGCATCATCTCCTGTGCATTCTTTACCATGCTAAAGAGTAAGTGTGAGAGCACACAAAAGGACACATGGTATCTGTCCCCAGGAGCTTATGTTCAGTTTGAGAAAAAGAGAAGCATCTGGATCCATATGGTGTCATTTGTGTTGACACATCATTAAATGGCTTGTATTCTTTTTTTTTTATAATAAATTTTATTTTTATATTCCCCATACAATTGCAACCCCCTTATTTTGACCCCAATCCCTCCCCTCCCGCCCCCCACCCCCCATAGAGTGTCTCTGGTTCATAGTTTTTTGTTGATTTTGATTTTCACTTTCTTAAAGTTATTCATTTTCCTGGTCCCTTATTTAAGTTTTCTAGATTCCTGCTATGAGTGAGACCATCCGGTATTTTTCTTTTTCTTTCTGGCTTATTTCGCTGAGAAATGGCTTGTATTCTTAATGCAACTTAAGATTTATGTCTTAAACATAAGATAGTCATATATAGATAAATCTTGTTTTGCCTACTCAAAGATTTGTGTCAAAGAATGTCTTCCCATAGATGAGAAACAGGTGAATATTAGAAAGGTTTTGAAATGTTATTCTCAATTTAATATTAAGATCTAGTATAAATATCTAGTTCACATTCACAGCTTTTGAATTTTTTTATATTAATCTTATAAATGGTGCAGTGAGAAGAAACGAGTAATCCCAAAGACACTTAGAAAACAGGGCCCTAGGGTCTCCCTGGTGGCTCAAGGAGTTTAAGTTGCAGCACTATGAAGCTATCTGCAGCAACTGCAGCACGAGTTTGATCTATGGCCAGGGAGCTAACCCATGTGACACAGCACACTTCTCCTGTCTTGCCTGCTGCTACCCTCAGCAGTGTATCTCAGTCAATCCGCCTGTTATGCTCCCCACTCTGTCTCTGGTGTATCCTCTCACCGCTCCCCCCCACACACACCTCAGCTCTTGTATGCATAAATAAATATAATAAATCTTTTTTTTTTAGATTTATTTATTTATTTATTTATTTATTTATTTATTTATACAAGCACTGGGTGCAGTCAGAAGCGCGGGACGGTGAGAGAATTCACCAGAACCAGAGCTGGGAACAGAACAGGCAGACTGACGAAATACACTGCTGAGGGGAGCAGTGGGCGTGGCAGGAGAGATTTGTTGCGCCATATGGGACCCTCGCCAGCAGCCAGGGATTGAACCGATGCTGCAGAGGCTGCAGGCAGCTTCACAGCCCAGTGCTTAACGGCTGCGCCATCAGGGGAGGCCCTAAATGTAATAAATTTAAAAAAAAAAAAAAAAAGAAAGAAAGAAAAAGAAAACAGGGCCTTGCCTTTCTAGCAACTGTGGAAGCCTAGCCCAAAATAGGTGACCAAATTATTTCTCACCCTGTGAAAGAATTACTCTTAGTGTGATTCCCAACAGAACAAATGCTAAGTATTTGCATCATTTAGGAGACTAATACACATAGCCTACTAAGGAAAGAAAGTTTTCTGCTTAGATAGTAAAAAGGCCCTTACACAATTGTGGATGAATGAAAACAGGTTAGACTTTGGGGATCATTTTTTGGAGTGATTGAAGTCTTTTTCATCCAAGGTAATTGGTATAGCACATTCACTGCCATAGTTGAAAAATGTAGCTGTTGCCAGAGTGGGTAAAATGTTTTTGTAAAGCTTAATACAGGTACCTTTGACTGCAGTCATTTATTACATCTTAATCCTAAGAGTTATTGACAAAATATAATTAATTTTCCATTTTATTTTTAGTACCCGTGTGGGGTGGCCAAGAAGTAATGAGTCAAAACTCTCAGGTGCAGCTTTCCAACAGGTAAGAGTGAGTGTAGATTTGCATTTATCCAACTGAAAATTATGTACTTCCTGGCTAACATAAAGCTATTTATACAGCATGTACTTATTAGGCTTCTGCAAACAAAATGAGCTAGTATGGACATATCCAAAAGTACAAGGGAACAATGTTTTCTATTCTTTTATTTTCTGAAAGTACATCTAAGGCTGCTTTACACACTTTATTTCAGATACACAGTTGATATTTAAAGGGTAGAGCTGGCTCCTTATTTATAGACAATAGTTTATTGCTTCTGGATCTTAACATGAGGACATTGGTAATTTTCTTAATGTAGAAGAGAATTTGACCATACTACTTAAAAGTGATATTTATTAATTACATATAAATATATTTTGAAATACAATTAATATGAGTGGAAAAGCCATATTATAGGCTCAGACAAAAACAAAGTAAAATGAGCAGATCCTTGTATTTTTTGTATTTATGTAGAGGCCCTCCAGAAATCTGGGCCATATACATTAGACTGTACATACTATCAATATATATTTTTATGCCATTTGTTGCTTCAGCAACACAAAATAATATGGTTTCTTGCAGTCTGAGTTTTGAAGATTTTTTAAAATGTTTTGAAGATTTTTTAAAATGTTTTAAACCTTCAGCTAATAGTTTTTAGAATACAACTAGACAGAGTATTCTCTCATTGAGAAGATAGCATGTTGTATAATCCATGCTAGTCTGATTCTCTGTATAAACCAACATTTAGAGTTTTTAAAAGGAAGAACTTCAAACATGTTTAGCTCATTTTTATTATTTACAAAAAGAACGTATGCTATTATAAAATTTAAGTATGTACCTATCTATACAGTAAAAAGTGGGGTAATTCCACTCTCTAGAAACAACCACTATTAAAAAGTTTAGTGTCCACATGTCCAAACATTTTTTTCTAAAGCTCTGCAGACATTGTTTTTATTGTTTTTGTAATAGATTTGTGCTATTCATATTATCTTGCATCTTGTTTTGCTTCCTTAATAACAAAAATCATGGACATTTTTCCATATTATACATAGAAATCTAACTTGTATCAAGAGCCACCAAATGTGTGTGGTCTCAAAACAAGGTCAGCATGGTTATTATGTATATCTTTGCACATTTGAGCATATTGCTGTAGGATAAATTCCTGGAATTTCTACATGAAATGCTGTCAGATCTTTTCCTGGAAGATCACTTTATACTCTCAGTGGCAGTTATAAGAGTGTCTACTTCTCTGTAATGTCTGCTTCTCCAGAAGTAATAATCAATCTCTTTAATCATTGCCAATATTGATAAACTAGTATGTTTATTGTTTTAATTCATATTCAAATATTACTAGTTTAGTAATGTTACTACGCCATTCATATTTTCTGTGAACTGTCTGATATCTTAAGAAAAGCTTAATCATTAGATTATCTTTACACATACCTAACAATTGCTAGATAGCTCTTATTTTTCTGTCATAAAAATGTCTAATCAATACCTTAAACAGAAGGCAAAATTAAATGTGTGTGTTTTGTGTATTTTCTGAGACCATGGTTGGTGTTTTTGTTATTATTTATTTATTTTTGTAATCCTAGAGCAATGGAAATGTTAAGAGTGAAAGGTCAAAAATCCTGGTCTGTTGGACTGTCAGTGGCTGATCTGGTTGACAGTATTATAAATGATAAAAAGAAAGTGCATTCTGTATCAGTTTTAGCAAAGGTAAGTATTATTCTCATTTTTCATCGTATTTTAAACTTTCTATATTAATATCAAACCCAAAAAGGTACTGTTCACCTGATACCCAGGTGTCTTCAGTATAACTAGCTTTTAGAGTTACACATTGGAGGAGGCAATTTGGTCTAAGCCCTGTTGTACTTGGCTATGGGAAGTCTGGACTTCTATCTCCCTCATGTAATTTTTGGGAATCCCTAAGAAGCATTTATATATACCATAAACTACTTCTATTTGTCACTTATCACCTCAGCCAGCCAGGTCTCCCCAGACTGACGTGCCAGCTAAATCACCAGTCTGCTTCTCCAGTTCAGTTCATTCTTTACTTTACCCTAAGCAAAAATGACACACAGGAGGAAAATAAAACATAGAAACAGAAAGGAAAATTTTATTTATTTATTTTTTTTTTTATTAGAGGCATGTTTTTATTTATTTATTTATTTTTTATTTGGTTGTTTGTTTTTGCTTATACATGCACTGGGTACAGTCAGAAGCGCGGGAGGGTGAGAGAATTCACCAGAGCCAGAGCGGGGAGCAGAGCAGGCAGAAGGACCGAAGTACACTGCTGAGGGGAGCAGCGGGCAGCAGGAGAGGTCTGCGCACCATGTGGGACCCTCCTCTGGTGGCCGGGGAGCAGCCGGGGATCGAACCGGGGCCGCAGAGGCTGCGGGCAGCTTCGCAACCCAGCGCTCAACCGCTGCACCACCGGGGAGGCCAGAAAGGAAAATTTTAAATGGGTTACTGTATTTGACTGGCCCAGAGTCTATGCTGTGCCCTCCTGGGGAATCTACTCTGACAATCTTTTTTTAGCCCCCAGTGTGCAACCATGTTGCAGGGGGTTAGCTTACCTCCCCACAAAGTGGGTGTCTTTCACCAAGTTGCTCCCATTGTCACAAAAATTTTCTGAAACAACTTGAGTTTAGAAAATAAGTGAACAGGGCCTCCACATGGCACAGCGGTTGAGTGCTGGGTTGCGAAGCTGCCCACAGCCTCTGCAGTGCCGGTTCGATCCCTGGCTTCTCCCCGGCCACCAGAGGAGGGTCCCACATGGCGCGCAGACCTCTCCTGCCGCACTCTGCTCCCCTCAGCAGTGTACTTCTTCAGTCTGCCTGCTCTGCTGTCTGCTCTGACTCTGGTGAATTCTCTCGCCCTCCCGCACTTCTGACTGTACCCAGTGCTTGTATAAAATAAATAAATAATTCTTTAAAAAATAAAATAAATCAATCTTTTTTTTTTTTTAGAGGCACGTTTTATTTATTTATTTGTTTGTTTGTTTTGTTTATACAAGCACTGGGTACAGTCAGAAGCGCGGGAGGGTGAGACAATTCACCAGAGCCAGAGCGGGGAGCAGAGCAGGCAGAAAGACCGAAGTACACTGCTGAGGGGAGCAGCGGGCGGCAGGAGAGGTCTGCACGCCATGTGGGACCCTCCTCCGGAGGCCGGGGAGCAGCTGGGGATCGAACCGGCGCCGCAGAGGCCGCGGGGAGCTTCGCAACCCAGCACTCAACCGCTGCGCCACTGGGGAGGCCCAATAAATAAATCTTTAAAAAAATAAGTGAACAGGATCATTTATAAACATATAATTTGTGCTAAGACTACAAAATCAAGAGTACCTATATTTATAATTTTTTTTTTTCAGAGATTCAGCTATTGTAACCCCTTTATCTTTTTCATTTCAGGGATATTATGGTATAAATAGTGAAGTGTTTTTAAGTTTGCCTTGCATCCTTGGAACCACTGGGGTGTCTGAAGTCATCAAAACCACAGTGAAAGAAGATATACTGACTGAGAAACTCCAAAGCAGTGCATCATCAATCCATGGTCTCCAAGAACAGTTAAAATTTTGATTCTAGGGCCTCCCCGGTGGCACAGCGGTTGAGCGCTGGGTTGCGAAGCTGCCCGCAGCCTCTGCAGCTCCGGTTCAATCCCCGGCTGCTCCCCGGCCACCGGAGTAGGGTCCCACATGGCGCGCAGTCCTCTCCTGCGGCCCACTGCTCCCCTCAGCAGTGTACTTTGGTCCTTCTGCCTGTTCTGCTCCCCGCTCTGGCTCTGGTGAATTCTCTCGCCCTCCCGTGCTTCTGACTATACCCAGTGCTTGTATAAACAAACAAATAAATAAATAAATTTTAAATAAATAAATAAAATTTTGATTCTAAAGTTGTAGAGTTACATAAAAGGGAGGGTCAATTTAATTTGCCAACACATAGAGGGTTAAGAACTTCGTATCTTTTTTTTTCTTTTTAAAGATTTATTTTATTTATTTATGCATACAAGAGCTGGGGTGTAGGCCAGAGGTGTGGGGGTGGTGAGAGGATTCACCAGAGACAGAATAGGGAGCAAAACAGGCAGATCTACTGAAATACACTGAAAATCTACTGAAATACACTGCTGAGGGAAGCAGCAGGCAAGGTATGCTGTGAGAGGAGAGGTATGCTGTGCCCTGTGAATTGGTTCCCTACTGGGGATCAAACTAGTGCTGGAGTGGCTGTGGATAGCTTTATAGTGTTGACACTTAACCCCCTGCACCACCAGGGAGGCCCAAGTACTTCTGTATCTTGGTACTTACCTTCACAAACTGCTTGGTTAAGGTAGATGGGTTTTTGGTTAGCTTTGTAATTTGAATCCTTAGGGAATCTTCTTTGTTGTACTTGAGATATCTATACTGTTCTTTTTTAAACCTACACTACAGATAAACATTCATCTGTAATATATATCATTTAAAATTATGTGTCCTCAACTATAAGCACCTTGGGAATATTTCAAAAGTGTGTATTTTTAAAAGAAAATTGCTCCAATAAACATAATAAGCTGAATTTATAAAATCTGCTAGGTGTACATTCAAAGGATCCACAATTTAAGGTATGCTTTTTTCTTTAAAGTACAATTGGTAGTAATGGTAAAGAATTTTGTTTTTCCTCTTCAAATTAATTAGTCACCCAAAAATAGCAAAGAATTTTACTTTCATTTTAAAATAGTAAAAGGGGAAAGTCAGAGTTTTAATTTGTGAAGAAAAAGTATAGTTTAACTTCCAGTGGGACTCTCCTTTCTGAAATTTTTTGTACTCTTTTCTTGGGCTGTGTAAGATCTCCAATAGCTCATAACTCACTGTAATATTAATAGAGAAATGTGTGTTTTTAGTGGAAATAGCTTATGAATAAAAGCCAAGCAATTTAAGGCTAAAATACGAGGCTTTCATAAAAACTTCATATTTAGGGGAATATTAGGGGGCGAATGACCTGATTGTCCTGAACAAATCCTTTAACCACTCCTGCAGAAATGATCCAGAGTACATACACTTTCTTGATGGGTTAATACAATATATGTGAAACACAGCATTATTATTACTAATATGACACGATCTGGTAGCAGCAACTAACATCAGAACTTTCTGTATTTTAGGCAGTGTGATGAGCACGTCATTATTTTATAAAATCACCACAGTAACCCTTTGGGGTACATTTTATCATCACTTTATGGAGGAGAAAATTAAGGTTTAGTGCCCAAGACCTCATAACTAAGGGCTATTTATCCATACAGCTTCTGGTGTAAAAGAGGGAAAGCCTAACAGCCAAAATAGTTATAAGAACTTAAAGCTGTGAACTTGTATGCTGTGGAAGGATTACTTCCATTTTCTTGTAGAAGCTGACCTTTTATTCTTCCTCAACAGTTTTTAGAAAAATTGATCCCCTTGTTGACTTGACTTCTGAGACTTGCCCTGAGCAAAGAGCAGAGAGGAGTTTGCACTGAAATAAGTGTTTATTTATTTTTCAGGTGTTTATTTATTTAGTCATTCAGATTTTTTGACTGGGAGACTAGTATACACCAGGTACTATACTAGACACTGCAGATACAGTGGTGAGCAAACTTGAACCTAGGTATAAGCCCCAGTGCTCTGTACAGCCCAGTATGGGACAAATAGTAATCAAATCTCACAAACAATTTCAAGTGTGATGGGTGCTGTGAAGCAGTCCCAGGTGCTTTGAAAGCATGTATTAGGTTAATTCATCCTGGTCAGAAAAGCTAGAATCAGATTGTTTACCAGGTTAAACAAACAAATACTAGGTAAAAAAGAAACAATCAAACTAATGCTGATTTAGTATAACAATGGATGCTTTTTGATAATGAACTTAAATCATAAAGATGAAGTTATATTTAGTGTCATGGTTTAAGAAAGTAGAAAGGTAATGCTTGGAAAGTTTCATCAGAATTAACTTGAATTAAAAAAAAGTTGGACACTTTAAGAGATGAGCATTATTTCTGTATAATTTCACTACACAGGTAAATTTTTTTATATATTACTCTAATAATGTATCCTCACTTTCTCTTGTATGAAATATAAAAGTAAAACTGAAAGAACCATTTTTTGTGTTTTTCAGACTAGCCTTTTATGATATCTGATATCTATATCAGATGTCTATATAATTTGTATCTATAATATATAATTATATCTATATATCAGATATGATATCTATAAAATATTAGATATAATATCTATAAAGTTATAATACCTGATATACTCTTGAACAAATAACCTACACTGTAACTGCTATACAGTTGCAACATACTGTATAGCAGAGAATTCACAGCATTAATTGTTAAGAGGAACATGTCAATACAGCAAATACTTACTGAGCATCTACTGTCATTCCAAGTACTATGTTATAATTTGAGCTTTGAAAGATGAGTATAGTTCTTGCTCAATGGAAGCCTGCAATGTAGAATTCTATCATATATTTCCTTGAGTGTGGACCATTATCAGTCATAGTGTAAGTTATAAGAAGCAGTACCACTACCGCCAACTTATTATGATGTGTCTATTAACTTTCACTGTTTACTTTTTCCAAAATCATGTAATGTCTCCTCGTTATGACTTTTAATGGGGCTTGGATTAAAAGACTTATTTAATATTGTAGCAGAGATTAAATATTTTATTCTCTAATTTACATCATAGTTTTCCTTAAATATCAAGAATAATTATAAATAAACTTTGACTTTAAAATCACCAGGAGTTATCTAATTTATTGAGTGGAAGGAAACATTCAGATTGAAAAGAATGTTTCTTTTTTATAATTCATACAGTACCCAGGGTATTTCATTATTTTAACTGGCTTAAGTGCAAAATGAAGACTGAATTAATTTCCTTTTCAAATTTTTTAGCTATTTTTAAAAATAAAAAAAATAAAAGCAGGGTTGCTCTAACTGAAGGTACTCCTGATTAAACTGAGTTTAAAAACTGTTAGAAAACCACATCTAAGTGACATAAAAAAGGTGCAATAGTAGGATATAGATTGCCCTATAGTCTGGTTTGACCTGAACTGTATGCTTAACTAACATGGTGCTCATATATGAAAGAATGATGCCTATTGGGATAGCCTTTATTATGTGTTTTTGGCAACAAGCTATAAAGATTTCCACGTGGTTTCAGCTAAGCCCTCTGTGTATTGGACCATTATTTAGGTGCCAGTGTAGAAGGGCACGAATACAACTAATACAACGGTTGTGCTCAATAAGCACTAAAAATTATCCAAATACTTCACATCATCAAGCGCAAGCTTTACAATACCTTGAATGGCACTGCGCTTAGGAAACGTGGTGACATGCAATAATAGTAATGTAATAATACAAATGACCTTAAAGAACTTTTATATGTAGATGAAATTCATTTAAGCACTCTTGCCCTGTACAAGGCTCTGAGGATCTCACGGTCAGCCTGCCCTCGCATAGACTTTGAGGGTGGCCAGGCTAGTACAGGCTAGAGGAGAATCTGATTTGGGGGAATGGTTCCCTGGAGAAGAAATTTCTGCCTGGCTTCTGGTGAAACGAGGGTTCTGCACTTTACCCCAGATATTATAGTATGGAGATTTTTAGCAGAAAAAAAGAATATCCTGGGGCCTCCCTGGTGGCGCAGGGGTTAAAACACAGCCTGTGTGGCAATACGCAGCCACTGCAGCATGGGTTCGATTCCCGGCCCGCCGGGGAGCAGCCCACATGGCGCAGCAGACCTCTCCTGACTCGCCCGCTGCTCCCCTCAGCAGTGTATTTCAGTAGATCTACCTGTTCTGCTCCCCACTCTGTCTCTGGTGAATCCTCTCACCCCCCATCTCTGGCCTGTACCCCAGTTCTTGTACGCATAAATAAATAAATCTTTTTTTTTTAATCCTAATAGCAAGACCCTGGGTAACATCTAATGCAAGTCTCTCATCTTGAGAGTTGGAAAAAACTTTAGATCGTGCTACAAGTGCTTACGGCTGCTGCTATCACAAGGGCACGTCCGCGGCAGAAGTTCTCTGACTCCCCGTCCAGTGCCCTCCCCGTAGATGAGTCACTCGCAAGACCTTCGCGCTTCTCCTCCCAGTACCTGCTTCCTTAGCTTCATGCAACTGTGGGAGCTGCCTTTCTAATCCCAGCCCCCGGTTTCTGAGCTTCGGGAATAAGGCCGCCCCCATCCTTGGAACCAGATCCAGCCGGCCGAGCCCCGAACCGCACCAGCCGTCCGGGCGGAACCCGCGCCACGCCCCCCGCCTCTGGAGCATCGGAAGTGACGAAGCGGAAGCGGAAGCGCCGTCGCGGGCGCCGACTTCCTGTTGTTAGAGGCGGGGGGGTGGGTGGCCGGCTGCTCGGTGTGCGGCTTTGCGGGGCGTCCTGGGGCAGCCGGGAGCGGCTGACCCTCTGCCTGCGGGGACGGGAGTCGCGAGGCGGCCGCCATGGCGGTGTCGGAGAGCCAGCTCAAGAAAATGCTGTCTAAGGTGAGGCCGTGGCGCGCTCGCCGCCGGCGCGCGCCCACCGCTCCCTCCCGCGCCCGACCGGGCCTGGCCCGACCCAGACCGGCGAGCCTCCCGGGCCGGCCGGAAGCCCCGGTGCGTCCTTAGCCGCCTTGGCCACCCCCAGCCCCGAAATGGTGGTCGCCTGGCGGCGGAATCCCAGACAGGGTCCCCGGCAGTGTGGGGGGCGGCGACCGTCAACAAAGGCGCAGAGCGGAGGCCGCCTGGCACCTGCCGTCCATCCTTTCTTCGGGAAGAGTTTGGGGCGGTCTGTGGGCCAGTGTAGTTTTCGTTTTGTTTTTTATAGACACAAAGAGGGGGGCCGTACTTCTCGATCTGGGGCACGCCTCTTCCACCGTGCCCTATAGTGAGCGTCCGTCAGTTTTCGCCCTTTCCTCCCAGCCCGCAGAGCTTGTGTCTCTGCAGTTTGGTATTCCTCTCACAACTCGACCCCCGGGAGGTCAGTAACTGTTGGTGGAATTGCCTCAGTTATAAGTCAAAACGTCCAGAGAAGCCAAAATACCGGTCCCCCAGTACGTCTGGTGAAATAGAATTCCATTACCAATACTCTTTTTGATTGTATGCTGCTTATAATGCGATTCATTTGCTTTGAACTTCATGTATAATCAGATTTCAAAAACGGTGTAATTTTTTTTAAAGGCAGATAGATATTGTAACGCCGTGAATTATTTTGATAATTATGTCAAATGTAGCGCCTGATGTCAGAGTGGACTGGGTGGTGGTTTTGGTTTTCAGCTTAACACTTAATTGGAATAAGATGTGCTATGGTTGAAGGGTTATCATCTCCAACAGGTTCAACAGGTTAGCTTTGGATACTTTTGTTAAATAGTGATAGAAATCAAAGTTCAAGCAGTTTTTAATGGTCAGAAAACCAGCATGTATAAACATTTTTCTTTGAAATGCACACCTTTTTCCCAGTAAAATCATCCCCATAGTCCGTTGGTGAGGTATATATAATCTCTAATGAGAAAGCAAGTTTTCAAAGTAAAGCGTCTCTTGATTGTCTAATCATATATTCTAGATTTCTGTTTTTCTTTTTATAGAAAATTAAATTATACAATTAAACAGAATTTAATTGTATATAAGTTTTGGGTAGATCTAGACATTTGTGACCCTGTTCTGCAACAGTGTTTTTTAAAAACAGCATAGTGTTTTATATACTATAACTGAAGTATTTTGTTGTCGTTTTGATTTTTAAATTTACAGCATTCATTAAGGTTTACTCCTTGTATATAAGAACATTTAGATATTGGTGTTTAATTTTAGAAACATAACCTTCCTAAGCCACTTTTAGAGGACCCTGCTTTCAAAATCAGAGACATCTCATCTTTAGAAGCTATTTTATACCTACACTTTCATTCCCCTACCCACAATCTCTTTTTATCCTATGAACAAAAAAGGAAATAGAGAAGTGGAAGAGGGCACTCTACCTGTCTTTTGAGGTATTTGGTGCAATATCTGAAAAACTGAGTCACCTACAAGTGATGGTGTCAGTTCTGAGTATCAGCATTTTATCTAGCCAGCCTATGAGTAGATAGGAATAGTAAGTAGGATAATAAAAGCAGTTTGTGGCATTAATTCTCCTGGTGGCGTGTTAAGCCTTTCAATTAGATACAGTCTAATGTAGGAATCGTTAATGTGGCCCCAGGACACATTGCTAGCATGGTCCTTTATCTAATTGTGGGTCCCATCACGGGACTGGGCCACATGCCTTGACTATTTCTTTTATGTATTATTATAGGTAATTTTTTCCTTTGAGCATTGTAAGTTTCTACTTTAGATTTTTTATAGACAAGTACCTATAGTCATACATAGTATATCTACACCCTTCCAAAAGATGGAGTCACTACTAAATAAGTAAAAGAGAGCTGACACATTAAAGATTGCTACTTATCTCACACTGTTTTTGGTTTTAGGGATACAACAGTAAACAATCACAAAAAAACTATACTTCTGGAATTTAAATTCTGGAAGGCAATAAACTAAGTACATTAACTAGCATATTGGGAGAGAAGTGCTTTGGAGAAAAGGCTGGAAAGGGAAATAGTGCTGGCAGGGGAAGATGGGATGAATTGCAATTTTACAGCTAATAGTAAAGGAACGCCACTCTGAGACTGCATTTGAGCTGAGGACCTAAGGGAGGTGAGGAAGCAACCTGAAAACAACCTGCAGTAAGAACATTCCAGGAAGAAGGAAAACAGGTATAAAGGCTGTGAGGCAGAAGCTTATCTTGCTTGATAGAGGAACAACAGAGGCAGCCAAGGTGACGGACTGGAGTGAGCATGGGGGACAGTAGTAGGAAATAAAGGCATGGGAGATTTTGGAGAATCTTGCAGGCGGTTACAAGGATTGACATTTACTTGGAGTATGTGAGAAGCTAAATGTCTGTTTTAACAGTATTTCTTTAGCTGTTGTGTTGAGACTAGACTAGAAAGTTAAGAGTAGAGGCAGAGACCCCTGTTAAGAGGCTCTTGCAATAATCTGGGTGAGAGGTGACTTAGACCAGGCTTGTAGCTTTAGAGATAGTAAGAAGCAATCAAATTCTGGATATTTTTGAAGGTAGAGCTAACAGGGTTTCCTGACAGATTCACTGTAGGTATAAAGGAAACGGGCAACAAGGATTTTTGGCCTGATCACCTGGCAGGATGTGGATATGGAAGGTTGTAGGAGAACTAGATTTTAGAAGAAAATAAGAAGTTCAGTTTTTATCATGTTAAATTTGACATTAGCTATCCAAGTAGAGGTATCAAGTTGGTAATTGGATATACATGTATGGGTTCAGAAAAGAGTTCAAACAGGAATGTTTTAATTTGGGAGCGATCAGCATGTAAATGATACTTGAAATCAGGAGAGGAGGTGACCAAAGGAGTGAGTTTAGATAATAAAAAGTTAGGAGAAGAAAAGGAAGCAGCAGAGACTGAGAAGGTGCAGCCACAGAGAGGAAAACAAGCTGTGGCATCCTGGAAATCAACTGAAAAACATATTTGAAGAGGAAGAAATCAACTCGGTCAGATGGAGCTGAGAAGAAAGATGAAGACTTTGAGTTGGTGTTGCATGTAGCCATGTGGAAGTTGTTAGTGAGGAGAGATTTCACTAAAATTGCAGACACCTGATTGGAGTGAGTTTGAAGAGAATGGAGCCAAGCATTAAGCTTCTGTGGTTACTAATATCACAGAGATACCCCAAATATGTGCTCTATAATGGAAAAATACCATCATCTGTGAGATGATCTTGCCAGAGAGAGAAGGGGGCCAGGGGTTGGGGAGGAGTAAAGTTTAGGAAAAAATGATGAAAAAATCATAACTTCTGAATCCAATTATTAATTCACAGGAAATATAGAGGGCATAGAATGTGCATATGTGGCACCTACATGCAAATTCACCCATAGGAACGTGTATATCCAAGAGCATGCAGTTAGCAATATCTAACCCATGGGCATCTCTACAGTTGTCTAGGGTGAATGGTAATTGGAAGTGTGGAATGAAAGGTATGAGTTTCTTGGTGGGGGAGGGGGGGTGACATAAATATTCTAAAATTGCCTTTGATTATGGAACTGTGAGTTTACTAAAAATCACTGAACTTTATATAAATCACTTTAAATATGTAAATTATATATAAATTATATCTCATTAAAGCTGTTACCAAAAGGGAGTGGGAGAATTTGTGGATTAAAAGTAACCTAAAAAGACATTTAAGCAAATACAATGTGTATACTTTATATAAAACTTTTTTTAAAAAAATCATGTGACTGCATGTTTGATGGCATTTAAGGCATAGTAATTGCTTTAGTATGATAATAGCATTGTGTTTTCTTAATCTTTTAAAAATAAGTACTAAAATATGAGTGGTAGGCTATGATATTCCAATTTGCTTTAGAATATGACAGCAGAAGGCAAAGTGAGTGAAGATTCTATTGACACTCTTGTTTCTACTCAAATTTTTTATAAATTAAGATTGGCTAAAATTGGCGAGTTGATTATTGTTGGAGCTATGTACAAAATACGGGGCCTTATACTATTCTTAGTATACTTTCAGATTTGAAAATTTCCATAATAAAAAGTTTTTAAAAGAAAGCTATCAAAGACAGCAAATGTAGGCAGCTTCTTCAGGGAATTTTTGTTATAAAGAGGAACTGAGAGAAGTGTGGTTATAGCTGGGAGGGCAGGGAAGTCAGGAACATATTTGTCTGAATAAGATGGGAAAAAAATGTATGCTAGTAGTACTGGTCCTATAGAATTGAATTGGTACTTTAGGATAAAAGATGGCAAGAAATGCCTTTGACTAGATCTCCTGGATTATTCTCTAATTTTTCTTGCATTTTATCCCTTATGGTCTATCATTTTTGTGCACATCTCTATGAAATTTCTTTGACTTTCTATCTGAATCCTTCTCTTGAATCTTTTGTTTCTACTCATATTTTTTAATATCCAAAAGTTCTTTTTTTTTTTTTTTTGGTGTTCTTATTAGAGATATATCATTTCATCTTTCTTTGAAGTTATTAATGCTTTTGAAGTTTTCTTCTATTCTTGCATTATTTTATTCGTTAGTTCCTCCTAGTCTGTATGTTTTGGGCTCTGGCTTGCTTCTTGGAGTCTTAATGAATAAGAGAAAAGCACTGAAAGCTGATTGAAAGCTTCTGTGTGCGGATGGAACTTGTCACTTTGTGATCAGATGGGGATCCCCATGTCCTGATCTCAGAATCCGCCAAGTGTGTATGAATCAGGTGAATTAGGTTCCTAACTTTCCTGCTGTGGAAAGTACAGGTGGGGAGTGTAAAAAATACAATGTGGCAACAATACAGCAAGTGATAAATTGTAAAATATTTGGTATTGACAATGGTGTTGGAGTTTGAAGTAAAGAAAGATCTTATGAGCTAAGTACAAAAAAGAACTCATTAAGTGGGGGGGGGGGGGCTCTAAGCTGGATCTTTGAGAATCATTTGATTTGGTGGAAAGAAGGGCTAAAAAGGAGGTCAGTACAGGTTTGAATAGGTGAACAGTACAGGTTTGAACAGGTTTGAACGGAGAAAGCTACTGCCATTTTTTCAGGCTTAACTGATGTTATTGATTAGTATTGAGAATCATACTTTAAGAAGAGTGCTATTAAGAAAAGAAGATTTTAAGAAGATTAAGCTGGCAGTTAAATGATGTCCGTTGGTTTTAAACTAAATTCTTGTGCTTTTACTTTTCAGTACAAATACAGAGACCTAACTGTACGTGAAACTGTCAATGTTATTACTCTATACAAAGATCTTAAGCCTGTAATGGATTCATATGGTGAGTTTATGTAATAAAAACATCAATTATATTTAGAGTTCTCACTTTTTGTTAATGATTATAGGTTTCCCATTTCCCTTTTGTGTTTGTTGGTTTTTCAATTTTAAGAATTAACTTCAGCTAATTAAAATGTAGGGGGTAGGAAATAACAAGGTCGTGGTTAATAAATATACTGTATGTTGAGTTATTTTAAATTTAAAAAAGCACAGAACTATGCATAGACATAGAGGGAATGTTAACGATACTTTAGTCCATCATCTCCCAAGTATTTACAGATTAAACTAAATTGGTTTCTTTGCAGCAGTTCTCAGAGCCTTAAATGTACTAATATGTTAGGCCTCATCAAGAGACTATATTGTACAGTATATCCTAAAATTACTTAGATGCTGAACCCGCCTCCCCCCTCCCACCCCTGCAAATAAAAGCATCTCTTTATATTCTTAGGGAACACATTTTTACAAAACTGAACTCTGAACTATTTCATTTTATAAAAGAGAAAACATTTTTATAATGTGGTTCTAAATTCTATAGAGTAGATAGGTTTGCTTCCACTTTTGTTGAGGTACAATAAAGTTGGGTTTAAGTAAAAAATGACAATACCTAGAGTTCTTATTTCCTTAAATAATCTTTTTGTCCCCACCAATCCTAATACCTCTCCAACCTCACCTTCCTAGAAAACACCTGTTGTGCTGAGGCCTAGGGGAAACTCATTGCCTCACATCCATTATGAGGCCTTGCACACTGAGAGCAAGTAACTGGATTTTGTGGCAGAAACTCCAGTATGAATGCCACTCGCTCTCAGGGCTTTGAAAACATTAGGAGCCTTGTGAAGAGTGGTGGAAACAACAGAGGGGCAATTATTTCTGAAATTCATGTTCCTTAAAATTGAAGCCCTGCCTGTGCACACCTCTGGTATTACTGAGCTGGTATAGCTTTATATACATAAGCCAAGTCCAAACCATTATTATCAGCATGCTTTTAGCGTAAACAAAATCCTAAAAGCTGACTAATTAATCACATTACCCTAGTTATTTTGACATGTGTTGTGTAAGGGAACCAATTCCAAGAAAAAACAAAAACTAAAATGCTTTTGATGACAGAAATGCAAACATAAATTAGAGCTGACTTTCCTTTTTAACTTTTTATTTATGTAGGATGGATTAAGTAGTGTTTTTACTGTCGTGAAGTCACAAATCCATTATGCTATTCCCCTTACTATTGATTGTTCATTTTTATTTCTGCTAATTTCGATACATTTAAAATATGTTTTCAGTTTGCTGAAAATACTTATGATACATGCATATGTACAATAAATCCCTTTATAGGGCCAGTCAAAACTAGCATTCTTTTGTAACTTTCAGTAGTTCAAATTTTCAAGGCAAAATCGATTTTCAGCTATTTTGAGCTATAACTTGATGTTCACAAAATAGGTAGATCAAAGGTAAACATTCTGTTTATGGACAGATAAACTAGATCTAGTACCCGGTAACATGGAAGAAACACATTTTGTCTTATCCCCATTTATATCAGGATTAATGAAAAAAATTCACTTGGTAGTCTGTACCTACACTGCCTGGTGTAAATAAAACAAAGGTAACATTAACCTGGTGATAGTTAATGATCTAAAAATACCATCAAACTGCAAATGAATCCCAAAACATTCCATCTGGCTCCTGTATACCAATGCCATACTTTTTGGTTGTTTTTTCTGCCCAGGCAGAATCTGACAATCCCAGAGCCACCACGTGTTAGCTGGAGACTGAACCTGAGTCCCAGTGCTCTCACTTTTATTTTTTGGAATGTTTTATTTTGTTGTTTTTTAAATTGTCTCCACAAACCGCCCATGCCCATGCCCATACCCCATTTGCCTCCCTCCCCTATCCTCACCCTTTCTCATATTCTCTCTGATAACCATTACCTTCTTCCTCCACCCCCACCCTCGCCCTCCCCCACAGTTCCAATTTTTTTTCCTATTGTTTGCGTGTCATTTTCTGGATATTTATATTTCACAGATGATTGAAACCATCCAGAGTCTTTCACTTTTTGACTTCACTCAACATAATCACCTCAAGGTCCATCCATTTTGTCGCAGATGCTACCATTTCATCTTTCTTCACAGCTGTGTCATATTTCGTTGAATATATGCCTCACAGTTTCTTTATCCATTCATCTGTTGAAGGGCACTTGAATTGGTTCCATGAGTAGACAATTGTAAGCAAAACTGTAAATTTAAATAAAATGGTTTTAAAAAACAAAATCAAATAAATTACAGCATAGTTTATAATTGTCAACAGAATGGCCTCCCTGATGGCCTAGGTGTTGAGTCTCAGTTCTATCACCACTATGGCCTGAGGTCGATCTCCGACCAGGGAGCTAACCCACATATGGCACAGCAGACCTCTCCTGTCTCACAGCTGCTCCCTTTAGCAGTGTGTTTCAGTAAAATCTGCCTTTTCTGTTCCCCATTCTGTGTCTGGTGAATCCTCTCACACCTCTCCAACCCTGCCACCACCTCATGGCACCTCTGGTCTATACCCTAATAGTTCTATGCAAAGATGTAAATAAATAAATACAATCTTCAACAGTAAATAAAATAGGTTGACAGTATATTTCTGTGTTCTTATACTATATACTACACCTTTTCCTTATATGATAGTGTTAATTCCACATCATTATTACAGGTAGCAGTCTAAGATACACAGATTGCCTTAATCAACTAATTAGAAATAGAAAACGTGTACTATGAGAAATGTTTATATTAAAAGATGTCTGTATTTGTGAAAATTTTTTTTTAATATGATTGCTACATTGGAATTCAGAATGACGTAGGAATGAAAAGCTGAGGAATCTAAAATATAATGCTGTTAGGTTAATACTTAGTATGATGTCAGTTGATAGTGATTTTTAAGTGATTTTATGATCATGTTAGTTGGGAGCCCAGAGTTCATAGTTATTGGAACTGTAGTGCTCACATCCATTTTCCAAGTAACTCAAAGCATTTTTTCCTCATTAAAAAGCTAATCCCATTGAATGAATCAACAGAGGACACATTGTTATTAGACAACTTATATGATGTGTTAACAAGTTAGGCCATTTCAGAGGTAATGAGTTTCAGGCCTTGTTTTTGAAATAGTAACTTATGTGAGAGCATCTCTGAAAATGATCATGATAAAATCACCGTTCTTTCTTTTCAGTTTTTAATGATGGCAGTTCCAGGGAACTAATGAACCTTACTGGAACAATTCCTGTGCCTTATAGAGGTAACTGTCTTCTAACTTTGTTTCTATTATAGCTGCATTTTTTTTTTCACATAAGTTACCAAAGAGTTATAAGTAAATTAAATCCACTTTGTCTTAATGGTTTTCTTGATGATATAGAGATTCTTAACTTCTAACTGAACTTCTTTTGGTAGCTGCACTAAATATTTTCACCTTCTCCCTACCCTGCCCTTCCTTGCTAAGATATATCAACAAATAAGTGCTTCAATGCACTGGAGGAGTTTGATGTTTCAGCAATTAAGAGAATCATAGAACTAGAAAGGGATGTTAAATATTCAACCATCCAGGGCCTCCCCGGTGGCGCAGCGGTTGAGTGCTGGGTTGCGAAGCTGCCCGCAGCCTCTGCAGCGCCGGTTTGATCCCCAGCTGCTCCCTGGCCACCGGAGGAGGGCCCCACATGGGGTGCAGACCTCTCCTGCCGCCCGCTTCTCCCCTCAGCAGTGTACTTCGGTCCTTCTGCCTGTTCTGCTCCCCGCTCTGGCTCTGGTGAATTCTCTCACCCTTCCATGCTTCTGACTACCCCGTGCTTGTATATATAAATAAATAAATCTTTAAAAAAAAAAATATTCAACCTCCACCCCATTCAGACTTTTCTGACAGTGGGAAGCTATATATTAGAGTCACTGAGATAGAGGTCATCCTAAAGTCAGGACTAAGTTAGGTTTCACTTCTTACTGTATAATCTTATCAGTTTTGTGACAATGGGCATCTATAGCATTTAGGTAATTGTATCTAGCTCAAAAAAGAATTTGTTGTGAGAACGTATGTAAAGAATTTAGCACAGAGCCTGGTATATAATAAAGCACATATCAAAAGTAGATATATGGTTGTAGTGTTGGTGATTATTTTAATAATAGAGAATTATGTCTCCACTAGCCAATCAGCCACTCTCTGGAGGATTACTTTAAAGTGATAAGGGAGCGTTCGGCCTCATAACTACTAAAAATTCCAAAAGCATTGGTCAAGCTGTGTCCACCAGTCAGCATCTTCTTAACAGCTTGAACTGGGTCTGTCAATTCAAGACCCAAGGGTTTTTGGCAAGGGAATTTCAAGTCTGTCTTAAAATAATCACTTTCTGATAGAACACCTTAATCCATAGTCTTCCTTCAGTATACCTTCCCTGTGAACCTTATAAACTGAAATGCCAAGTCAAGTAGCAAAGAATGCATTGGGCCAAAAGATAATTCATGAGGAATATTTTTACAACAGCTAGCAGATACTGACAGAATAGTGATCATTTAGCCCCTTAATCCTGCTGGTGTATTTTACAAACTGAAAATGTAAGAAAACAATCTTAAATAGAACTTTGAAACATAAAATAGTTGTGTTTTTTTTTTTTAATAAGTGTTGTAGCTCTCTCGACTACCTCCTAAGCCATTAAAAAAATAGTAAAAGTGGATTAATTGAAGTTTCTCTTTCTCTCACAGGTAATAAATACAATATTCCAATATGCCTATGGCTGCTGGACACATACCCATATAATCCCCCTATCTGTTTTGTTAAACCTACTAGTTCAATGACTATTAAAACAGGAAAGCATGTTGATGCAAATGGGAAGATATATCTTCCTTATCTACATGAATGGAAACATGTAAGTATGAACAGTGTTCTGTGAATTAGTTGGATTTTATATACTTTTTAACACTAGCATCTACTTTCTGTTAACCCAGAGATGATTCAAAGAAAGAAAGATGAGTTCACATAATAGATTTAACATTGAGCTGTACATAATCAGAAAAGGCTCTCCAAGTAAATCTCATTTGTGTAGAGCTGGGTAAATTACAGAATATTAACTCACTAGTATTTTATTTGCTTGAGTTGAACCTGTAAGAATAGATAAAATTCACATAGTGACAACTGCATTTTTTAAGAAATGATATTCTAGTGGATAATACTGTGAAGCTGTTCAAATCTTATCAGAATGTTCCTATCAAGGATTAATAATAGGAAACTTCTGTTCCTGCCTCTGATAGTATAACGCTGGCAGGCCAGTGTTCCTGTCAAAAATAACTGGAAAACACAGAGTACAGACTGCATCTGTGGGGAAAGTTTTGGTGAACTATAAAAGCAATCAGGAGAAATTATGACACTAAATAGCTGATAGAGATAATGGAATGACCCTTTAGAACCTAATGAACTCATGACTGAGATACGACATAACATATACATAAAAGGGGCCTCCCTGGTGGCCCAAGGGGTTAAGCACAGCACTGTGAGGCTGTCTGCAGCCTCTGCAGCACGAGTTCGATGCCTGGCCAGGGAGCAACCCACATAGCGCACCAAACCTCTCCTGTCTTACCCGCTGCTCCCCTCAGCAGTGTGTTTCAGTCAGTCTGCCTGCTCTGTTCCCCATTCTGTCTCTGGTGAATCCTCTCACCTACCGCACCTCTGGCCTGTACCCCAGTTCTTGTATGCATAAATAAATAAATCTTTAAAAAAAAAAAATATATATATATATATAAAAATATGGAGTGAAAAAGAAACTATCAAATAGCTAGTTGGAACCACTTTGCCTACCATAGTTTGTCTTAAATTAGTGGTTGAAAGTTAAGAGAAAATTGAGCAATGCTTGTGGAAAAAGAGGTACTCTCTAACTATGGTACTACAAGGAAAGATCCTGTAACCATTTGTATCTTTCGTACAACATTGTGAATTCTAAGCCAGAGTACCTATAATTTTAGAAGTGCCAAATACTATCTATAATAATAATCTATGAATATATATTTCCAAGAAAACATTGTTTTCTTTCAAAGACTTTTTTTTACTACTACCTACATCCATCACCATTTGTACCAAAATACTTCATCTGTCCATTAGAAGTGCAAGTTTCAGTTAGCTGTAGGGAGTCAAATGAATAATAATATGATCTGATTTTTTTTATATACTGCTTTATTTAGCTAGTGCTGGTTTTATATACAGGAGGTAACAGCCTTGCTACACATAAATCATTAAATAACTTTAAATCACCTAACTTTATTAAATTTTCACATTTGGGATCCTATAGAGAAAATTGTCAAACAGAGTGAGAAATGGTCAGACTTCCTTTTTGCCTAAAAGTAAATCTGTAGCTGACTTAAATTTGTTTTGTTTTTAGCCACAGTCAGACTTGTTGGGACTTATTCAGGTCATGATTGTGGTGTTTGGAGATGAACCTCCAGTCTTCTCTCGTCCTACTGTTTCAGCACCCTATGCACCCTACCAGGCAACAGGGCCACCAAATAGTAAGTAGATTTGAGATCTGATTTTTAAATTTAATGTGAACAAAAGAAAACAAAACCTTGTAAAAAAGTTTTAATGACTTCATTTTTTTTATAGCTTATCAAATTAGTGGATATTTTGGAGATATCTTGAAGTCTCACATCTGCATGAACAGATTCCCACCAAAGACTGGCATTTGGGCTTTCATTTGTGGGTAGAAACCTAAGTATTGGTGTGCTGGATTCCAAAATGGAGGAGAAAGAATGCTGGAATAGAGCTAGAATTTTTTTTTTTAATACTGCATGCCATGAAATAGCCTTATTTGATCAACTTGGAAGCAGATATAAATTGAAAGGTAGTCTGACCTCAGTTTTATAGATAAGAATTAATTACAGAATCAATTAAATGATTCACATCCAGCTATTCTGGGTATACACAATTGGACATCTAGCTCTTAGCTTCCTTCTCTTCAGTACAGCCAATTCATTATTTTACCTGGTGTGTAGGGGATGTGAACATGGAGACAGTACCAGTTCTCTCTTAATTGGAAAACAGTATTTCTGGGTTTTTAAAATAATTCTTACTGATACCTTCAAATCACCTTGGATAAATGAGTTGGTTGTACTTGTTTTGACTACTAAGTCTGTGTTGATGTCATTGAGATTTGAACTGTGCCTTTTGTTTTAAACAAATTTTAAGATTATAATTAACCAAAATGTATTTATCTTAAATTATGAGCTATCATTTTTCTCATACTGAAATTTTCTCTTCTTAATCTCTGTCTTCAGGGGTATCTTGACTAACAAACTGAATAGGAATCAAAAAACTGAATTCTTTTCCTTCCCTACTCTCCTACAATAAGCTTGGTTTTAGGATTTAGCAGCCTTTAAAGATTTTAGTGATTCTTTTGGACCAGAGATTTGTTTTGATCTTAATAAATTCTGTTGACTCTGATACCTAAAATTGGAGTATCTTACTCATTTAAGTGTGAGACACCAAATATTTCTTCATCTCATTGCTTGTGTTTATTTGCTCAGATAATATAGGCAGTGAGCACTTGAGGTAATAAAGATAATCTTTTCAGAATCTTAGAAAGTCTCCTAAGTAACACTTTGTCCCTAATTTCTTCTAGTTTTATATTGGCACTACAAATACAACTTTCTAGAAAGAAATTATATTGATAATTGCAGTTCAATTTTGCGTTCATTCACTGTAAGTGATATTAAACATTCTAGAGCTAATTTAAATCAGTTACTAAGAGACCAATTTTTTTTGTCCATCCATTCCATTTTTAAAATTCATTTAAACAATGTTAGTATCAGGTACAGTGATGATGAAATGAAGGTCTGAATTCCATACCCCCCATATATACTAATTAGTAGCCCAGAAATTTGGATACATACTTAAATGGTTTGTTACCATTATTCAAAATATTTTCAGTCTTCTCTTTGGGGATGACTTTTGAGCTCACTACGAGTCACATATAAAAAGTGTTGACAACTAGCAGTAATAGTCAACATTTATTGAATGATAATATTCAGTAACATTCAGCTAAACACTTCATATTTATTCTTATTTATTCTCACAATAAAATCATTTGTTGTGTGTATTAATATCCCATTCAATTCTGGCCCTAAAGTCGTTTCTTCTCATTATCTGCCAAGTGTCTGAAACACACTTGTTGTTTATCAAAGTTAAAATTTGAAGGCTTTGGTATAATTATTAGCTTTTTAGAACCTTAGAAAAGGAAAATGGTTTATAACTGTGAGAAAATTGCTTATGACTAGGAGGTAATAGTTTACGTGAGAAACTAGCATGTAGGGGCAGTAGTTGACTATGTGTGCTGCTGACACTTAATAGTAGCCTCATAGTAGCTTTGTGCCTGGGAAGAAAATATGTTTTATGGAATCTAGCAGTACTATTTTGAGAGGGTTTTTTTTTTTTTTCCTTTCTGAAATAGCACTGAACATCATCAGCCTAGCTTTATTATACTTAAAATTTTTTTACTTGTGACATCTATAGATTCATCATAACAAGAAGACTGACCACTAGTACTTGGAAATCTATGCTCAGCAACTGTGGTAAAAACTTCTAAGGCCCTTGGTCAGAATCCAGCATACTTCTCCCACCCAGTTGCATTCTGTGTTCTAAAAGTTCATTCCTCGAGGCTCTGCCTCTCTTGCCTTTGAACCCTCATATTCTATTCCTTTACTAAATCACTTGTTTACTTCTCCCTCCTAGGTGTGGATGAGCTGCTTCCTTTATGATCCCATGCACAGCATTCTGCACTTCCCTGTCATAACATACATCATTCTGTATTATTCTTTGTGTGTTTATCTACCCTACTAGACTCTTGAGGCCAGGGATTCTTTTTTTTTCTTTCTCCATCAAATTTACAGTTCTTGTTACATTCATGGCACTAAAATATTTGTAAATTTAAGAACAAATTCATTGTTGTGTTTAGTGTGAAAATTTTCACTGAGGATGAATTGATTCTCAGACAAATCATTTACAACTGAGGCCAGAACTAACTATTCTTTTTCTTCTGGCCTCTGGCACCACTGACCGTTGTTCTGTCATTATTGGTTTGTTTGTTTTTTTAAAGAAAATAAAAGGCATTTTGAAGCTTGCCAGATTCATACCTTTTGTTTTTAACCAGTCTAATTAATATAAGTTTTCTATGGGACTTCTTACAGTAATTTGAAGTCTTTTAAACTCTCACTTAAGCCAACAAAACCAGCTGTGCTAAATGGTCAACATTGTCTTAAAAGAAATATCAAGGGATTTCTTAGATATAATAAAGAGGCCACTTTTTAGGAACCTGACCTTGCACATTCCATATTAAGCTCTGCATTCCATATTAAGCTGGCTACTGTCTCCAGTTATAAACTCCTTGAGAGCTTATGGAGCCCATCAGGTTGACCTGTTTGCCAGTTGCTCCTTGTTGGGATTATCATGAGTGTTGTTGTAAATTGTGTTTAATGAATTGAAAATTTTGTGAAGATATTGTTTGAAGGTAAGAACTAATGTATGGGTGGAGTTTTTGTCTTATTTTGGTGGTAGACTTGGGTCTTTACCTGTATAAAATTTTGCTGTTGTTTGACAGTGAGATATGTTTCATCTGATAACTTACATGTCTAGGACTATGCTTAGTTTTGTGTTTTTTTTAATGTTAAAAATTGTTTTTAGCTTCCTACATGCCAGGCATGCCAAGTGGAATCTCTGCATATCCATCCGGATACCCTCCCAACCCCAGGTAATAAAAAATTGTCTTTTGAATAATACTATTAGAAATTCTGTTCTAAAATCTCAATAATGAGTGCTAACTAGGCTGTTACAGTAAATTTGGTTGCAATTTAATGAAAGGTAAAAATTCATTTTATTACTGGAACTTTATAAACCGTTCAATTCTATTTTTTTTTAAAGAATTTTTTTTTAAAGATTTATTTTTTATTTATACAAGAACTGGGGTACAGTCAGAGGCGCAGGAAGGTGAGAAGATTCACCAGAGACAGTGGAGAACAGAATAGGCAGACAGATGGAAGACACTGCTGAAGGCAGCAGCGGGCAAGGCAGGAGAGGTCTGCTGTGCCATGTGGGTTTCTCCCTGGCCGGCTAATACTCGAACCCGTGCTGCAGAGGCTGAGGACAGCTTCACAGTGCGGTGCTCAACCTGCTGCGCCACCGCGGAGACCGAGTTCAATTCTATTTACAGAGCGGAATGGGGTGGAGTAATGAAAATGATCTTGATTGGCTTTGAACCTTGAATCCTTGTTTTCGAGAACACCATGTAGTGTAGATGGTTAAAAGGTTAACAGAATAGTAATGAAGATGAATGAGGCCAAGGAGAAAATATTTTAACACTTTAAAAAATTTTAACTTTTCTGTAAATTATGGGGATAGTAAATGATTTATATGATGGCATTAGTCTTGTTCCTATGATATTTATTCTTTCAATTCATAGATTATACTGCCAATCTTTATTATCCATTTGATAACATAACAGGTAAATTGATAATGAAATTAGCCTATAAATATAACACACACAGAAAAATCAATGAGAAATAATTATTAACCTTTGTTTTGAATGTGTACTATTCCAGTGGTAATTAGGAATACTTTGCAAATATGGTCTTTGTGATGGAATTGAATAAAGGTACAGCTGTCATAGGCATTACAGATCACCTAAGACCTTCCTTTATCTCCTCTAGCTGGTATTCATTTTCCACTGTACATCTCCTGAGCCTCTGTGAACATCTGTTATTTTCCTTGATTTGTCAAGGTTGTGTACAGGAATCTTGCCATATTTTTATTATTAGCATCATGAGGAAGAGATGAATTTATACCTTACCACCTATTTAAGCCCTTATAAATAATGCCTTAAATATAATAAATAATAAATTTTGAAAAGTGTATAAAGAAAAAGGAATGTGAGAATGCTGGAAAAAATTTTTAAAACCACTTAGGTCAAAAGGGACCATAATTCAAAAAAAATTTGCTATAATTGTTTAATAGTGTGCAAAGATAGAAAATGATACTGCTCAATTATCTTTTTACTAAAGAAAAATTATTAACCCTCACAGAGAATAACCATGAAGGAGAAATTGAGCATGCTCATTAAATAGAAGGGAATTTTCTGAAATTAATACCTGTAGGCCTAGAAGAGTTTATAACAGGTTACTGAAAAATTCAGCAATATGATCACAGATTTTCTTTGAAAAATGTGTGTAAATGGGAGGAACTTGAGAAAAAAAGAAATTTATCCCAGATTTCAAAAAGGTAGATTCAGAAATTTCAATAAGACATTGTTTCCTCTAAGCATTATAGCATGGCTTATTTAAAAAACAAACAAAAAAACCTAGAAATAAAAATCCAGTAGCCTTCTTTTGGCATGTGTCCACTAAACACAAAAACGCTTAATTTTTTTTCTTTTTTGGGTTTGCATTTATACTGCTAGATAAGAGTATCATGGTTACACTGAATTTGCAGCAAATCACATATAAAATTTTCTGTTGGTGACAAGTTACAAAGTGTGAACTGGTAGTACAAATACTGATAGAAGAGTCTTCGGGCCACTGTACTGAAGGAGGATTACTGGACTGACTCAGTAGTTTTAATGGACTCGAAGGCAGTTGTAGCTAAGATAGGATTAATAAGATTTATTGTCAGCTAGTAATCATTCTGTTCTACTTTTCTTCTCTATTATAAAGGAAGCACTGCTAAGCTAGTGAACATTCAGAGGAAAATGATTAGATCTGAAAATCATGTCCTATCAAGAATGGTTGAAGGAATTTTTAAAATAATTTTTTAATATTTCACTCATAAGACTGAGGGGGAAATGTCAGAAGTATTAAAATACCAAGTGATCGTCCAGAATGCACATACAGGTGGAAGTCACATTGACATAATTTCAGTGTTCGTGGAGACGTAACTGTTTATCAGGGTATTGTGACTGATAATCTGTAAGACAATGTTGAGTAAGAGATTGGTAGAGAATACTTCTGAGAAAGATTCCTTCAAGTTCTCATATGTCAATACATGAATGACACAAACTAACCGTAGACCAAGAAGAATTTGTTTTAACTATTTAAAGAGTATTTTTACAACAAATATTTGCAAAAGTTATCATTGAACCACAGTTAAAAATTAAATAGTGGAGCAGCTGGGCATCACTTGGGTCCTGAGGGCATTGTGTCCTACAGAGGGAAGACTTGAATCCAAGGTCATGGCAAAACATCTGAAGTTCATTGCCAGGACTGTGATGGCACAAGAAGGGATCATGGAAGGCTCACACAGGTCCCTCACTATGGATTGACTAATAGAGGTATTAAGCAATGGTGGTACTATGAGAAGCCTTGCCACCGGTGACAAAAGGAAAGCTATAAAACCTGCAGCATATCAAGAATTTGGAAATGAATGTCAATTTCTTTTTTTTTTTTTTCAAGATTTATTTATACTTTATTTATACAAGCACTGGGTACAGTCAGAAGCGCGGGAGGGTGAGAGAGTTCACCAGAGTCAGAGCAGAGAGCAGAGCAGGCAGACTGATGAAGTTCACTGCTGAGGGGAGCAGCGGGCGGCAGGAGAGGTCTGTGTGCCATGTGGGTCCCTCACCCGGTGGCTGGGGATCAAACCAGCACTGCAGAGGCTGCGGGCAGCTTCGCAAGCCAGCGCTCAACCGCTGCACCACCGGGGAGGCCCCAGTTTCATTTTTTTAATGGCAACTTCTTGATGCCAAAAAATCAGGCAAATCCATGGCAGGGCTGCTGAGGCCTGTGAATAGGTAGTGTAGTGTGTAAACCCTTATCTAACCCAGTCCCGTGTTCTCTTACAATAAATCATCTCTTACAATAAATTCAGTCATGTATATGCAAGAGGGCTTGCATATACTCAACAATGGACATTCTTTCATTAAGTCAAAGAGAAACTCAGTCAAAAGTAATGTAGTACAGTAGTGGTTACCAAAGACTGGTTGAGAAAGGGGGAATAGATTATTATTAATGGGTGCAGTTTTTTTTTCTTTTTTTTAAGATTTTTATTTTTCTGCGTAGAGGGACTGGGATGCAGGCCAGAGGTGCAGGGGGTAAGTGGATTCACCAGAGACAGAGTGGGGAGCAAAACAGGCAGATCTATTAAAATACCCTGCTAAGGGGAGCAGTGGGCGAGACAGGAGTCGTCTGCTGCGCCATGTGGGTTAGCTCCCTGGCCAGGGATCAAACACAGGCTGTTGCGGGCCTTTTTTAACCCATTTAACAATGGGTTCAGAGTTTCAATGAGAAGATGAAAGTTCTGAAGATGGGGCCTCCCTGGTGGTACAAGGGGTTAAGCACAGCACTATGAAGCTATAAGAACTGAGTGAAATACACTGCTGAGGAGAGCAGTAGGCGAGACAGGAGAGGTCTGCTGTGCCATACGGGTCACCTCCCTGGCTGGGGATTGAACTCGTGCTGCACTCTGCAGACAGCTTCATTCATAGGTTGCGTCTTAACTCCTGGCACCACCAGGGAGGCCCACACCATGGTGCTTTAGTTAGTGTTGCTTTGTAAGTCAAGGAGCCTTGATAACTCCATTTTTATTCCTTGTTCCTCAGGAGTGAATATGCTATTCAAGGTCTTTTGAAGTTCCAAATATATTTCATGATTTTTTTTTAATCTAGTTCTGTGAAAAATAGTATTGTGATTTTGATAGGGGGATGTATTAAATATGTATATTCCTTTAGTAGTATAAATTTTAAAAATGCTAATTCTTCCAGTCCATCGGTATGGGATACCTTTTCATCTCTTTGTGTCTTCTATTTCAGCAGAGTTGAATGGGTTTGTAGAGATACTATAATTAATGTTGGGTTGTCTGAAGATTTAATGTTTCTTGTTCGTTAGTTTCCCGGGCTGTCCTTATCCACCTGGTGGTCAGTATCCTGCCACAACAAGTTCCCAGTACCCTTCCCAGCCTCCTGTGACCACTGTTGGTAAGTACGGTACCTTCAAATTTGTTTTTTTCCACATAAGGAAAACCAAAGTCTGCTGTCAGGATCAGTGTACTTTTCTAGTCCCTGTAAAATGTTTGAATACCATTTATTCTCAGTGGTCAATATCCTAGAATCTAAAACTTGATGTGATTTATAATTATGAAAATAATCCTACCAGGGCATAAAAATAAATATGATTCTCTTACCACTCTTTCCCTATGGGTCACATTTATTGTTGAACTTTGTGTATGTGTGTTGAACTATTTACAAATACTTGGGTTTTCTTAGCCCAGTTACCTATATAAAAATAGATAAACATCTTTAGGAAAAGAAAGCAACGCTGGGTAATAAGACTGTATCAGGTAAGACAAATTATTGTGGGCAAGCACTTTCTTGCGTTGAATTTTAGAGTTGCCTATATCTAATTTTCTTCAGTTGCAAAAGTTAAAGCAAGATGAGAACATAAACAGACTCCCACCCCCTTGTGTGCCTTCTGCAACCACCTGTACCATCACAACTCCATATCCCTATTACCATAGATCTTTGCTTCCATCTAAAGCTGTTTTCGCTACTAGATTTTATCCTAACTTCGGTAACAAATTTTAGGAATGAGATTGAGATGTGGCAACAAAGTAGAAGTTTACAGTAGCAACAAAACATCTGGTAGAAAAATAAGATTCACAGATGGATCTTAAAAATGATCATTTTCCCTCAGGAGTCGTCTTAGACCTTTTTTTCTTAATCACCCCTTCCCCTACCCCAACTATTAATACCTTAGATTATATTACGTATCTGTTCAGGCGCCACATATATAAAAGTAACAAGATTTCATTCACCTCCTGAGAACCAGTTTTCATCCCTTTAGAGTGCTAGCACCCTGTTGAAAGTGTGCATGGATTGTAGTGATGTTGACTGAGACCCCTCCTGAGCTCAGAGGAGGTGTAGGAACTAGAGAGAATAGTTTCTCAGATTACCCAAAGCTTGGTGCCGGAGGCCAGCTCCAGCAAAATGTCATGTCAGGGTCCCTGCAAGGACGAGATGGTGTCGGAGAAGTGGAGGAATGAGGAGAGAGGGGAGATGAAGTAGATGAGGTAATAAGGAGACACTGACACTTGATCAGGGTGCAGACATCTCCCGCTTAGGGTCTTAACGGATCTTTATACATCAGAAATTGTTATTTGATCATTACATCATGCAGTCATGTGATTTTACTTTTACATTGTTTTAGAAATTATTAATGATCATTAACAGTGCACAGTCCTTTTTTTTAATTTTCCCAGTCTATGATTAACTTGGTAACTTGGTTACATTATTTCCCTAGGTAATGTATGTTATTCAGAAAATAGAAACAGGTGCTATAGACAGTGTGATTTATGTGGTCAAGCTAAAAGATTAAGCAGGCATTGTAAGATCGGGGACAGCTTCCTATTTTCTATAAGAACCAAGGTTTCCCGGTACCATGGGAACAGCGTGTGGTGTGTTTCTCTCGGACCATTTCACCTCCCAGGGCGCCTCAGGGCCTTCTCTAGTGGGGACTTTTACTGGGCTCAGTTCCATCAGTTCTATCAAGCATGGCTTGTTAAAAAAACTCTTTGTTACTCATAGTAACTGAATTACAAATTGGAGGACTGGAGAATTATTGGGAATTGTTTCATTATCAGTAATGTTAGAAAGAACTTTTCTCAAACTCCTGAAGTGTGCATTACTGGCACTAATGCCAACACTCATTGTGTTATTCTAAAGCTTATAGAAAATTTCCGTGGTTTCAATAACTGCCACAAACAAATGAAAGGAAGTAGCAGGAGCCAGCTACTCTCTGACTTTTCAGAAATTTCCCCCATGCTCATCAGACCTTGTCAGACAGCATGAGTAGCATGGCCCGCGCCATCTTGGGGCTAGGAATTCCTAGAGGTGAATGAATGGACTATTCTTTAGCCAATAGCAGAATGTAACCAGAGAACAAGAAAAGCAGAGGAGAAAACTATGTCCCTATGCTTAGAATTTGGAAGAGGGATATAGATGAAAGCTTAAAAGCATCTGGCCCTTCAAAGTGGTTTGAAGGCAAACAGTTCTCTTGCTGAAAATGGGAGGCTAGAACTTTTGAAGAATGTGGAGCTGGACTCGTCATTAAAGGGGTAGGATTCTTGTTACAAAGGAGAGCAGGAAAAGAGAATGAAGACTGCCAGCTCATGGTTTCAGTCATCTTTGAAGATATTGAGGATTTTTGCCTTTGAGGGCAGATAGTGAGAGCTTAGGGCTTAAGAGTCAAAAGATTTGAGGACTTTGGTTAGGTTATAACGAGGCCTTAAAGTTAGAAGTCCTGGTGGTCTGACAGATGTGAGTCCACCATGGGTAGCAGCCTGTCTACAGCACTCTTGTAAGTGATGGACACGGAGTGGGGCTGAGGGGGATGGTCCCTGGTAGTAGGAGTGGTGGAAAGAGAAATTGAAGGTGCCAGAAAGAATATGTGGAGATATGAATTGGTGAATGCAGGAAGGTTGCTGGTCATCTTGGTGTCTCCAGAGGAGAACATGAGTAAAAGAAACTGAGGGGAGTAAGTCGATAGGTGACACATTCACTGGTAAATTGGTTAAGAAATAGTTAGGTATTAGAGGTCAGGGATATGAAAACAAGGCCTCACAGGATGATCTTTAGAGGCATTTGGAATGTCCAGCATATGACAAACCGTCATAGGCCATCCTACAATGCAGCCTCTAAAGAAAGTAGGCTGTCCTGAACCTCTGGTAATAGAATTATTTACTTTTATACCAAGAAGGTTGGAAAAGCTCCAAATCTGCATGTAGTGTGTGCCCAGGCCAACTGCAGGGAGTTCATGCTATGAGACCTAAAGTTCTTATGAGGCTGTCTGAACCGAAAAACATGTCAGCAGGGCCTATGGTAGCCCCATGTGTGCTAGACATGTCCAAGACAGGCGCAGCTGGGCTTTTCTTACTGAGGAGCAGAAAGTCATTGTGAAAGTGGTAAAGGCACAAGTACAGAGTCAAAAATGAAGTTTTTTTTTAATAATTAAAAAAAAAGAAAAAGAAGGCCTCAGTTTTCATAAGGGAAATGTGGTGGTTCTCTAGCTTATAACTTTGAATTCCAAAGCACAGGCTATCTGAACGAGTTAAGATGTTCGGTTCTCAAAGTATGAAATAATCTGAAATAATTTTGTAAAATCGTAAGTGAATTGTGGAGACAGTGTACTCTATGGATTTGTATGTTAATAATCAACAAAAAATTGATTTTCTTTTTGAACTCTGTAGGATGGGTGCTAGTTGGGCTCACGTAAGTATGACATTTCTAGCAAGAAATAGGAAAACCCTTGTAGGAAAAAGAAGTGAACGTTGGGAGTTGATGTTGGGCTCTTTCACTCTGTACAAGTCTCAGTGCTTGGGGCAGATTTTGATAGAGGATGTTGTCCAGGAAAACTTGGCCATGGGAGACACTGTACTCATTTCATTCACAAGAAGAAAATCCAAGTTAAAAACAAGTATATGTAGTCCTTCTGTGGTAGAAAATGAGAGAGAAAAAGCAGAACTTTAGACTTAGACTCTTCCTTTTAAAACCTGTGGAAACTGAAACCACCAAGGTCTCCCAGTGCCATTTATTATTTTTATTTATGTATACAAGAGCTGGGGAACAGGCCACAGGTGCAGAGGATGAGAGGATTCACCAGAGACAGTGGGAGCAGAACAGGTGCGTCTACTGAAATACACTGCTGAGGGGAGTAGCAGGCGAGACAGGAGAGGTCTGCTGCGCCATGTGGGTTAGCTCCCAGGCTGAGGATAGAACTCAGGCCTCGGTGGCTGGCAATAGCTTGATAGCACTGAGACTTTAACCCCTGCACCACCAGGGAGGCTCACCCAGTGCCATTTAAAGAAGCTCAGAAAAGCCTTCAGGGTAAGCTCTATGAACCAGCTTCTGTGAGAAGACAAAACACAAACTAAAAAGTAGAGTGAGTCACCAGCTTACGGAATGTTCAGAGCTGTGATCAAATGGGATTCTGAAGATGAAGCCAGTGTGTGGACAGCATGATATCCTATTAGTAAGCAGTGTGCCTTGGTACCGGGAAGGGACTTATATTGGATGGAAACATGCGTAGTGAGAGTTCAGGTACAGTTTTGTAACTAGGTAAAGGTGCTTTTCTTTTCCCTGACAAGGAACTCACTGTCAGTATGATACAAGTTGTTATCTGAAGTTGAATTCCCTACATGATACTTCATTATCACATAACTGAAAATCAGAATACCTAACTAATGAACATTGATCGTCCTTGAGTTTCTATATTTATGCTAAAGGGAGGAAGATATCTACAGAATAAATTTGATTTGAAATGTACTAGGAAATTCCTTAAGACACTGATAAGGAAGAAACTTTTGGAGGGAAATCATGAAGAATCTGAGAGAAAACAAGTTCACCAATTAAATTTTTTGAATGTCATTTTCTGTTCATTCATGCTCTCCTGTTCTTTTGGTAAGAAGGAAAGGAGTGCAAATCTTGCAGAAGAGAAGCCTTCGTAACCTGTGCATTAGTTTAGGAAACTGCCTCCTCTCAGGCTGTCTCTTCCTGGCCTTTACAGTGGGCTTCTGTCTTTTGTAGTTTAGCAGTGGACTTGATCTGAATCAAATGTTATCCCTTGTTACAAATATGTTGTCCCATTTCTTGGAAATTTAGAATGATTATAATCTGTTGGGATGTAACCTTTGCCTCATAGAGAAAATAGCTCGTTGTTTGAGCTGTAGGTAGAGAAAGTGAGATGGATTGATAGTACCCCCTTGCAGGGAAAGTATTTGTGAACTAACTCAAATTTTAATGTTCTTTTTGATGAGATGGTAACATTTAACATACAATTTCTCTTTCCTCCCACTTTGAATGTATCAACTCATATTGCCCTGGCCTCTGAAGGTTCTTACTTAAGGAGTAGAAAGAGCTTGGGAAATCAGCAAGTGTTTTTTGTCTTTTTCTCCTGCAGGTCCTAGTAGGGATGGCACAATCAGTGAGGACACCATCCGGGCCTCTCTTATCTCAGCAGTCAGTGACAAACTGAGATGGCGAATGAAGGAGGAAATGGATCGCGCCCAGGCAGAGCTCAATGCCTTGAAACGAACAGAGGAAGACCTGAAAAAAGGTCACCAGAAATTGGAAGAGATGGTTACCCGTTTAGATCAAGAAGTTGTAAGTAATTCACTGAATAGTTATGATTGTAGCCATTACAGTGTTCTGTATGGGCTTTGGTTACCCTGGACATTATAGATACAGTTAAGAGTTTGGGAAATTATACATGTCTTTAAGCATTTGAATATAGAGATAGCTAAAAGTGGAGCCTGTGATTGTAATTGGTCTTTGATTGGAGATGAATGTATTTTGGGCAGTTTGGCTTGCACCTTCATCCAGAGATAATCATGTTTTGACTCAAAGGAGGACTGGTTGAATGCTTGATATTGCCCCAAGACTTAAGAATTTTACAGAGTGGCAAGCCATGACAAACATACCTTGGATACAGATTTAAGGGTCAGTTCTTTTGCTTCCAAATATTATTTGAACTATATTTAGACTATCTTTAGCTCTTCCTGTAAGTACCTTAGATGATCTCTAAAAATGGTTCCCTACTCACTTGGCCCTGAAAACCCTACAAAGTCATGCAAATTGGGAGACTCAGGTCTTCATGTTCATTTTAAGAACACTCAGGGCATTTTAAGAATCCCCAGGCCAGACAGTGGGGCTGAATTCAGGGTCAGTGGTCTAAAAAGACAGCTGAATTTTTACTGCACATGCTTTCAAATGCAGAGATCAATGCTGAACTGAGGGTTTAGATGTAGATTTCCAGTTGAGCACATCCAAATGAACAAAGTCCCCAAGATGCATCAAGAACTCACAGAGCTCATGGTCACATTAACCCACAGATGAACTCTCCCTGCCGCACTGAGGATCCTTGCTAAAAAAGAGCGGAATTTTCCTAATCCAAAAGAGGAGGTACACAGAAGAAAAAGATCCCAGAAGGAACTGAAAAAAACAAACTTAGGACCTTGGGAATTTAAGTAAAAAATAAATGCAAATAAATAAAGTATCTTCAGTGAACTTTCTGAAGTTAATCCAGAGATATTTGAGTGACTTAAGTGCATGCAGCCTTTTGCTGTTAAACTTTCTCCAATTCTTAACAGACTGCTGTGGCCTGAAGATTAGTGTAAATCAGCCCTGTGACTTTGGCTTAATGATGAAGTTGGAGATATTAGCATAATTTGAGTGCATCACATTCCACTTTCATTCCTAATGAGGGAGGATTCATCCCAATAAATGTGCATTTGTGATGAAAGGGTAAAGAGTTATTGAATGTTTGAAGGCTTTGGGGGAAGTGATTTGTATATATGGTGGCCTAGGGATTAAGTCTAAGCACTATCACCTCTACAGCCTGATGTCGATCCCTGGCCAGGGAGGTAACATGGTGCAGCAGACCTCTCCTGTCTCACCTCCTGCTCCCCAGTCTCTCGCTGGTGAATCCTCTCACCCCCAGCACCTCTGGCCTTTACCCCAATTCTATGCAAAAAAGAAAAGAAAAGAAAAATTTTTAATGATTCTAGCATGTAAAGTGTACTTTGCAGTAGTCAACTATTTTCAAAAATTGAGGAAAGTGAACATCAGTACAATTCAGAGCCTGCAACCACCACCTGCACTGTTTAAAGTTCAAGTATTTGGGATTCTGTGCATCAAGTCCTATAAACTGTGGCAGATACCCATTTGTTTGGAAGGAAGATCTCTCATTCACATGTAAGGAACTTCCTGCTGGAGAGTATCTTGTCTGATGTCTTAGTTTGCAGTAGCACTTGTCACTGATAAATGACAAGTTTATCACTGTCACTGAAGTGCTTAGCTCAGGGCATTCTCAACATCATCCTTTGTTCACTCTGCATGTTAGATCACATCTTTTCTTCTGCCTTTGACCAGTGTATTTAAAACAACTGCATCCGTGAGTTGTTTATAAGATCTTTTTTATTAGCAAGTCTCGTTATTTGAAGTTGTAGGTGTCTGAAAAGCAGATAATTATGTATAGTTACTTCAGAATCATCATGCTTGGACTGTTCTGTTTTCAGGCTGAGGTTGATAAAAACATAGAACTTTTGAGAAAGAAGGACGAAGAACTAAGTTCTGCTCTGGAGAAAATGGAAAATCAGTCTGAAAATAATGACATTGATGAAGTTATCATTCCCACAGCTCCACTATACAAACAGATCCTAAATTTGTATGCAGAGGAAAATGCTATTGAAGACACTATCTTTTATCTGGGAGAAGCCTTGAGGCGGGGAGTAATAGACTTGGATGTCTTCCTCAAGGTATGTCTTTCCCCACTCAATTTTCCAGGGTTTTAGATGTTGTGTTTTATATGCACTGACGTTGAAAATCACAAACCTAGAGGGTTCCCTCCCCTGAAGGTGGGTTAACATCCGTTGTCTTTCCAGAAGAGCATGGTCTTCTCACCTGTGGAGGGATGAGGATCATTCTGAGTAGGGGGAAGGTGGGCTAGAGGCTCCAACTCAGACAGCATCAAGCTGAATGTAATTCTTCTTACTATTATGCCTGGGTGGCTCAAAATGAGATTACTGGCTGCATCACCCTGTTTTTTGTTGACTTTTTTAGAGCTGCATAGTTTTAGACCTGTTTCCCATAACAAACAACCCTGCAAAGTATTGGGTTGCCCTGCTGGTACTAGAGCCTCTCTGAATATCAGGCTTAATGCTGTTGGACAGACATGAAAATCTAGAAGCCACGTTTGGCTGTAGTTGAAGCGCAGGGCTTTAGAAATAGCAGCAGCCACCCATTGAATCTTCAGTCCAGCTACAGCTGGTTTTCAGTGTACATGCAAAGCTGGCCATGTCACTTGCTGATCTTTCCTATCTGTGAGTGGCCAGATGATGCGAGCACATGTGAATGGCTGGGTATAAACTGGAGACCCAGAGGGGACTCCCCCCTCTGTACAGTTCCTGTACAGGTTCTATGCTTGGGTGGCGTAGCTTGGAAAAGATGCACATGCAAAGTCAAGAGACACCAAACTTAAGGGCTGACCTGGTGCTATTCATCCCTACCTACCCTCTTGAAGCCATTATTGGTTTTGTGGGTAACTTTTGTTTGGATCACAGTGCTAATTTCCCTGACATCTTGATTGTCTCAAAATGTAATTCAAACTAATGAGCCAGATCCTGCAGTGTGGTACCTTCCCTATGAAGTGGTAAGCTGGTAAAGGTCTGAGACCACTTTAACACAATCCACCAACATCTTCTGGTGGAGTTTTTACAAGCCACGTGTAATGAGGTATATTGCTTTCAAAGAAGGGTTGACATGAGTTTAGGACTCTTCATGCCGGGGTCTGGATTAGTCACTCTAATTCTGAACTCTTAAACTTTCCCCCCTCCTCCCAGCACGTACGTCTTCTGTCGCGTAAACAGTTCCAGCTGAGGGCACTAATGCAAAAAGCAAGAAAGACTGCTGGGCTCAGTGACCTCTACTGACTTCTCTGACATCAACTGGAGATTGAGCTCTTCTTAATGCATTCTTTTCTCTTCCTTTCTCTTATCAGTAGGTGCCCAGAATAAGTTATTGCAGTTTATCATTCAAGTGTAAAATATTTTGAATCAATAATATATTTTCTGTTTTCTTTTGGTAAAGACTGGCTTTTATTAATGCACTTTCTATCCTCTGTAAACTTTTTGTGCTGAATGTTGGGACTGACTATGCTAAATAAAATTTGTTGCATAATTTTTCTCTTCTTTATTCAACTTCTTTAGACAAAATCTGAATTTTTTTTGATTTAGCAAACAAAGCATAATACCCATCTTAAACTGATATGTGTACATACTTATTTTTACATTGTAGAGGAAGTTATATATTTTTTATAGCATATACATTAACATGGGTGTCGGCCAGCTAGAATAAAAGAATAAACTTGATGAACAGAATCAGAATTTCTGTAACACAATGTACGCACATCATAGTGTGTCGGACCAGATGGCAAGTACGAGGCAAGGCACCAAAACACTTCTAACAGAGTTGCTTAGGAATTGTACCAGTAAGCTATTATCCAATATCTGGATGCTAAATCAAAGAGCAAGCTAAGAACCATTCCCTTTCCTTTTTTCAAACTTTTAAGAATATCTCTTCCTCAGTAACTTTAGAATGGTAGCTTTAAGCAACTTCAAAGCTTGACCTCCTTCTGAATTTTCCAAAGAATTTCTGCTCTCTTTCAGAAGGGCCTCCTCTTCAGGGGTCAACTTTACCTTTATGACCTCTATAATGCCATTCTCTCCCAGGATGCAAGGAACACTAAGGAATACTTCATTTATTCCAGAGACCCTGAACGTAAAGACTTTAAATTATTCCTTTAGCTTTCTTCAAACATAGGTTTGCAATATAAAAAGTAATTCATTTTGCCTTTTGTAAATGACTAACAGATTTGTAGTGTCAGTTGGGGCAGAGAGACTACCAAGACAGAACAATTTAAAATAGCCCTAACGTTTAGATTCATCAACCATCTTTTCACATAGGCCCTGACCCCAACCCCAGCATCTTTGCTGGGACAACCTCATTTTCCTATGTCCTTGCCCCCAAAATTCTATCAGAGAATCACTTCAGCATTCCTAATACTTTATTCCATTTTGTTTTAACCTATCCCATGCAGACTAGCAGGGGGAACTTAGCCAGGTTCCCAACTTCGTCCTCCCCACAAGAAGAACTGCTAATAGCTTTGTACTAGAGCTTCTTACCTAAGTCTCTTCACTAGGCATAACTGGAACCATCTGAGAATAAATTATAAAGTAGCAAAACCTACCGACAATGGTTCCCTATGTTAATAGGTGTGATGAGTTAGTCCACTCAAATAAAGATGAAAGAATACTTGATAGTTGTATAATAAATACTATTCTAGGCTAAGACAAAGGTACACAGAAATAGGTTTTCCCTCCTCTTTGTTTCTCTTCAGCAGCAGCAAAGAATAGATTTTATGAAGAGATTCTTCCAGATGATCAGCCTCATTTTAAAAAGTCTTTCATATATGCTCTTTTACCCATTTATGTTAATGTTAAATAATTTTTCAAACATGAATATCCTACCTTATAGTAGAAACTGGATGCGCTCTCCTAAGATTCTTCAAAATACTTTCTGTTAAATCAGTTACAGATGAAGCAACACCCCAAGAAGTATATCCTTTCTTTTTAAGCATTTCATACCCACTGGGGGATTAATAAAAATCATAAACTATAAATTAATGAAGAAATAGTTATCAAATGTCCATTTTGTGGCAGCCCTAGCCCTTAGAATTTATTTCTGTCCACCCTATAGAAATAAATTCTTTTTAAAAATGGGAGGGGTGGGTGCATAGGGCAAAAGGGTCATTTTGTGACAATGCCACACAATGAAATGTTTTCATCAATAATTTCTCCTAGAAATTTCTTAGTTTGGTTTAAAGTAAATAGTTACAAGGTAAAAGATCTAGAAATTAATATGCAATCAGTTTTACCACTAGCAGCAAGGACTATAAAAACAGTTTAAAAGAACATACTGTCCGCAAACAAACAGGTGCCTACTGTGTGGTGAGCACGACAGGCTCTGTCCCTGGAGGTTGTAAGAATTTACAGTCTGGTGAATTTGATGATCCACAAAATAAATGTGGAAGTGCTAATGTAGAAGAAGTATGGAAAAAAGAACGGTCAGCATATATTTAAGGGGCCTAATCTTACCCTTTAGCAAAATCAGGCTCACAACCAACTTCCAAGGTAGTGAAGATGCAAAACTGTTACCTGGAAACTACTTGTTTATGAACATCTCCCCACTGCTCAGGATCTTTATCAGTTCCTACATCAGGGTGCAGATCTTTCAGTGGGACCCCAGCAATGTTCACTCCACTCCACACAGGAACTTAGAAAGGTAACAAAAAGTCCATTTACAACAAGGTACTATATAGCAGGATTTTTTTAACCTTGGCACAACTGTTAAAATTGCACTAAGAACAACTAGGAATGTTAACTGAACAAAAAATTCAGATGTCTATAACCCTCCCACCCCAAATCTGCTAAATTAAAATCTCCATGGATGAGGCAGACAATTCTATCATCTTAGCAGAGATTTTCCCAATAAGACAGTGACAGTTTTAAACTTTTTATCACTTCAAGTCCTTTTTCATAGACAGGGTATAGGTATTAGGTGGGTTTCAAGAGTTCTTAGCCAGAAGAAATGAAGGGGAAATAAAGAAGCTATCACCATGCAAATTAATTTTCTTGTTAATTTAAAGAATTCCTGTTACTTGAATTATACACTAGAGTATCCCAGTAAAATATAAACTGCATTATACTACTTAGGACTGTGTTAAGAAAGTCTTATCATTTTAACCATCATGTAAGATTATAGTAACATTCTCATTATTTCAAATTTGTATTTCTGGTAGATGATATTCTTATAAAAATGTTTTAAAAATTATAACACTACTAATAGGGCTTAAAGAAGAACAGAAGTCCTTTCTCCCACCCAGGAGAAATATTTTACTTTATGATTAAATATCTGAATGATCAATAAGGTCTAAATGTATTTCAGAGAGCATGTACAGCTGGTTGGTGTTTTTAGACTTACCGCTTGAGTCTCCGTGCTCTCCATGGACCAACCCATGGCAGCTTTCAGGGTGGCTACCAAGCCTCTGCCCAATAAAGAAACGGAAACGGGCAGTGTCCAGATTACAGCTACTCCCAATGACACAGATTTTGGGAAATGCACTCAGCTTCCAGACTATGTAGGTTAAGATACCCTTGAGAAGAAAACTTCACGTCAGAAAAAGTTCACATCTAAAATACATTTTTTCAGATTTATTTAAATTAAAACTGGTAAATCTGATGTGGTTTGTGTGGTGGAGAACATGGATCTCTATCTAACTCCAGCTATGCCACAATTCCAACAATATCCACCGTATAGAAATAAATTCTTTTTAAAAATGGGAGGGGTGGGTGCGTAGGGCAAAAGGGTCAAATGTATGGTGAATGATGGAAACTACACTTTTGGTGGTCATAATGTATGTATAAATGTGAAATTATAATGCTATACACCTGAAACCTGTATGTTACAAACAATTGTTACTTCAATAAAATTTTTCTAATTAAAAAACTTTTGTTCTTTTGTTCTTACATAGACTGTTGTGCAGAAACAGTAAGTTCAATCTATAAATTTTGACAATCATGAATAACTTTTTTTTTTTTTTTAAAGATTTATTTATTTATTTTTACAAGCACTGGGTACAGTCAGAAGCGCGGGAGGGTGAGAGAATTCACCAGAGCCAGAGCAGGGAGCAGAGCAGGCAGAAGGACCGAAGTACACTGCTGAGGGGAGCAGCGGGCGGCAGGAGTGGTCTGCGCGCCATGTGGGACCCTCCTCTGGTGGCCGGGGAGCAGCCGGGGATCGAACCGGCGCTGCAGAGGCCGCGGGCAGCTTCGCAACCCAGCGCTCAACCGCTGCGCCACCGGGGAGGCCCCTAAAATATAATAATTACTTTTTAAGGTTGTACTACATAATGTACTTTAAAGGCATATTGTTATCGTTATTACCAATGCTGGAAGAAATGCACTGGCTTAGTGTATGTGTACGCTTCACTAGCAGTGAGGACACAGCTGACAAAGGCACCATAGTTAGTAGGACATAATGAGCTGTGCGGTATTCATGATTGCCAGGAGCAGCCATCCACAACAGGAGAAACTTCTAGTGCTTTAAGGACACTTAACATCGCCTCAACATAAACCATGCCAACTGTAAATATTATAGATAGTAGTTAATAGAAATTTTACAGATATTCTTTAAAAGCAAAAATTCAAAGAGAATTTACTAAAAGATCATGGGTTCAGATTAGGGTAATATTCTTACAAAGAGATCAGAATCTTTGTAGCCCTGTAGCCATTATACTGGAAGCTCACTTGATCAATTACACCAACCCTAAGAACAACATTAAAACTAACCTAACATGAATAAAGAAGGGAAACAAACTAGGAAATTGAAAAGAGAGGTTTAAAAGAAAAAGGTTATTGCATTTGGTACTAGCAGGACACCTATCACACTCTTTTCTTCTACCACAATTTACGAAAGGGTTGCTCTGAGCTAAGCCAGCAGCCCTACCCCCACTCCCAGTGTAGGGTAAAGAAAATGTCAGGCTTTTCTGCCCTTCCACCATCAGGATAGATGATGGATCCTTGTCCTGAATGCATGCCTGATGGCGGGCACCTGGAGTAGGGTGTGGGCATAGGTAGATGGGATTCAGCTGAGCTAAGACTGTGCTTTTAAGGGCGGCGTCACGGGGGACTCCAGCAGCCCCAGCCAGCAGCAGCAGAACCTGAAGGAGAAGCCGAAGCAGAAGCAGAGAACGCCAGAGAGCCCAGATAGAGTGAAGACTTGCTGGGGGCTGGGAGGCTGGCCAGCACCCCTGCCTGCCATATGCCTGGTGAACCCCAAATAAAAAACCTGCAAAACTACTGAGGACTCTGACTCCTCCTTTACCCGGTCTGCATAGGATCGGAAAACCTGCCCTGTGCCCAGTTCTGCCCTTACACCCAGCCACCCCACTCCACCCGATCCCACCCCACCCCTCCGCCTTCTGGCATTCCCTGAAACTTGCACAAACTTACGCATTATCCTTGCCTCCAACCAAGAAAAAACTGGTTAACCCTATGTCGGGGCACAACTTACTTTTAATAAGATGCTGACTGCCCAAGCCGGCCCGACCGATCCAGTTCCTATCATGGAGATCTCAGGATGATGAACGGCCTTCTCTGCAGTGAGGTTCGTGACTAGGTGACGCTTCACGGTCGCCATCTTGGAGACCCAGCAAAGTGAAGGAAAACCCGCACAGCCGCTTCCCACTGTGGAATCGCTCGGTAGCGAGGAGCACATTGAGAAGTCCAGTGGCTGCAGACACACCAGGGAATGCCAAAGATGACTGGCAAAGAAGCTGGTTAAGTTCTTGCCAGCAGCGCAGCACCCAAGAGGCGAAACAAAGGGATGAGGAAGAGGGATACTGGTAAGGTGGGTAACGAGGGATGAAGGAAGGCAAAGGGGCTGCTCGGCCAAAAAAAAATTGATCACAGCTGACCCGCTCTCCGTCCCACACCCCGCTTGGCCATCCTGCCTCTTACCACCGTCCTTCCTCTCCTCCCCAACGATTAGCTCCAGGATCAAGCTCAGGTGCCCTGGGCCCAGGGTGGAGAGCCGCCGGGCGTGAGGCGCTTCCCACCGCACTCTCGGAGGGGTAAGGCCAGCCCAGGCGGTGGGATGAAGCCTGGAGGGGACACAGTCATCCTCGAGCAAAAGAAATTCACTCCCTTGGCACCTATTCTCTTGCCATGCTGCATGACTCCTGCAGTCCTGCTCATGTCCACTCAAGAGGCAAATGAAGAAAATGGAGTGAAACGGCAGGAAGCTGATAGAAACTGGGGTGGGGGTGGGGGGGTTCCGTTGACTGACGCACCCCGGCCTCCACAACCGCACCTGTGCAAGGCCACGCCCAGCTGTGGAGGCCCGTGGAGGCCCATCACATTTGGCGCTGGCTCAAGGCCAGGAGGCGGGCTCTGAGGCCTGCACCTGTGGCCAGTCACTCGCCCACGAGGGAGGGTGGAGCTTTCTGTGCTTGGCCAGGTCAGATGAATCCTTGGTCTGCAAGCATACCAGGTGCAGCAGGTGGACCACTGTTCTCAAAGTACTGCTTGCCCAGAACCTATCCATCCCAGTGCCAAAGTAAATTTATGTGTAACCAAACCTTGTCCGAATGTATCCAGTAAGGGCTTTTGGGCTTATGGCTGGGAAATTTTCGCCAGGGCTACAGGAGAAAGGGACCTCAAGCTACTTTTTACCACCCACAAATGGAAGCTGTCATAGAAAAAAATAAACATTTTAAAGCTCTCTATGCGAAGAGAAATTTAAAATAATGTATGAAACCCTAGAAAATTTTATCAGTGCTAATTGATAACCCTTTCCACAAGCGGAAGGAAAACTCATTAAGTCATTAAATGTAAAATCCAAAATTCTCCCCTTATCCCATAATAAACTGTGGTTTCTATTTCTCTTCCTTTCAGTTACATCTGTTCCCCCCCTCTTAAGGGGAGGTGCCATGTTCCCCATCTGGCTTACATTCAGCCACCCAGGCCACAAGTACCAGGCCACAAGTCCCAAGCTGCCTGTAGCAGCAGGAATGGCATAGAGCAGGTTCTCTAGGATCCGAGCAGACAGGTGATGGAGGAGTCCTGGAGCCCTCGGTGGCTTTTGCAGGCTTTTATTGGGATTTGCCAGGTACACAGCAGGCAGGGTTGCGGGGGGCGTGGGGGGGGGGCTGGCAGGAGGCTGGCAGGCCTCCTAGCCCCTGGCCAATCTTTATGCTTTCTGGGCTATCTCACATGTTCTCTCTTGGCCTCTGTTTCTCTGCTGGTTCCTTTCTCTCACTTGTTCTTCTGATGTTCTGTTTCGGACAACGCCTTATAAGTCTCGTCTCAGTCCAGGTGAATCTCACCTATGTATGCCCACAACCTACTCCAGGTACCCGCCATCAGGCATGTATTCAGGATCGCAGGGATCCATCATCAATCCTAATGGCAGTAGGGCAGAAAAGCCTGAAAATCATTTACCCTACAGTGCCTAAACCAGACTTTCTACCAATTGCTGCATAAAGACAGATGAAGCATATGAGAGGTCAAGCAGCCATACTTGGTATATAATTGAATATGTGTGAGGCCAGAGCTCTCTTGTTCTTGAGACTGGATTTGCACCCTGGTTCTGAGGGAAGAAGACAAGAAAGGAGACATGGAGGAGACAAAAGCAGAGACACTTGAGACACGTGGAGTCTGACAGTAGCAGCCATTATCTTGATGTGGTATCTCCTTCTGGCCCAACTTTCTGTGATCTGCTTCAGAACCTCGTTCCTGTGGTTCTCCACCAGCAGTCACTTTACACTTGTGGCAAGCCTTCAGGAATCAGCAGTCCCACATAAAGCCAACCCTATTTGGCTGGGTTATGTGATTTGGGGTGTTTTATTGGGAAACTAATATCCTTTCTTCTCTATGCACATATCTGACAAATTATTTTATGTTTAGCAGTGTTTTTTTTTTAAATTCTTTCTCCCTCAAGAGCCTTTTTAGGCATCTTCCCCCCAATCATTCGGCTCCCTCTTCCCCTGCCCCTCACTGTTAAGTATTAAGGAATAAGATTGTGTCTGGTAGGTTTGAGGTTTGGAGAGCCAAAACTTTGTAATATCTAAGTTTTTGTCACCTACCAAAAATGAATTTTCACTCCTTGGAGACAATGTTGCATTGCTAAGAATACAGGATGTAAAGCAGTTTTAAGTCCTATAACGTTCCCGTAAAAACTGTATTTTACAGTCTTTCAATCTCTGTAAGGGTTCCCTAAAATGAAGTTTTAACTTGGTGTACAAAAAGGAGCTATAAAAAAAGGCAAAATCCACAGAAAATGCAACCTTTCTCCTCATTCTAACTTAAATTTACTCATAAACCATATTTTGCACATTCAAGGGAAGAATTGAAAAACAAGGAAAAAGAACAAAATAATGGGAAACTAATCATCTTAAATAGAAGATGACTAGAAAGCAAGCTATTAAGACAGTAAGAATAGCAGAGGTGAACCCTGACTGACTGAATAGTACAACACGTCCACCAGTCCTGTAAAGTCTCAAGGCCTGCATATCTGCCTCTTATTTTTCCTACTGAGGCTATCTTGATGTAAATTTGTAAGTTACCTTGGTCCTGATTTCTTACTTGTTTCATTGCATATTTTCTGTAGCTGCCTCAAATTTTATGGAGTCAAGGAAATACTGCCTATGTGTTATATGTGTGTGTGAGATATTTACATGAACCCTGGACACCATAAAGGAGGTGCCAGTTAACTGTGACAAAGCACTCATCATTAATCAATTGATTGAGGAACCTTAAATACTCACTGGGAAACACTGAGGGCAGAAATCACATGGTACTGATCACATAACCATGCCACAGCAAGCATAGTAGTTTGCAGAACAAATGACCTAGAGGATGGTCGAAGCATCTCTGTTATTTCAACAGATACCAAACCAACTGTATTTGAATTTACATGAACTGGTATAATTCTTGCAGAGTTGAAGATTATTTTTGCACCATAAAGTTGTATTTCTATTTTCTTCCTGATATACTTGATGTTTAAAATAAGTACTTAGTCAAGATTATACCTACGCACATAAAATTAATGAAGCAATATAAACTGAATGTTGGTGCCCTAATGGAAAAAACACAAGATGAAAATTCAATATCCTAAAAAGTACTTATTTTGTGAAAATAACCATAAGCTCTATATTATAATGAATTATTAGACATATTCTGCCAAGCCTGAAGGCAACTCTTACATATATGATACACTCAAAAGTATACCTTACATAAGTACAGGCTGGGTTCATTGCAATAGAGCTAGTAGAGGACTCATAAAGAAGGGAAATCTCTTGCCATTTCACTTTTCTAGCTTTCAGAGACTGGAGTTATGTCATAGGTTCCAGTGTTTGTCTTTTATTTTTGACAGATTATATGCAATACTTTCAATGTGTAAAATACACAGTCTGCTATCTCATTTTAAAACAGTGGGACATTAAAAAGCTTTAAATTATCAGGTCTTTTTGGACATTCCAAATAGTGGTTGCACTCTTCTTAAAAAGATTCTCCTCCTCAGAATTCAGCTTAATTTTCACAATATCTGAGACACCATTTCGCCCCAAGATACAAGGGACACTGAGAAATATTTCTTCCTTTATTCCATATAAATCCTGAAAGGCAAAATTAGATTATTGTTCAGTACCCTGACATGACAAAGCAGCTGTGCAAGAACTTCACAATTATTTTACTTGTTGAATTGTCTTCATATCAAAACTAGAAATTTTTCATTGGACTATAACAATAAATGTATTAAATAAACAAAAACAAAAACAAAACAAAAAAAAAAGAACTTCACAATTAGAATATACCAGAAAGGGGGCCTCCCTGGTGGCGCAAGGGGTTAAGCCACAGCGCTATGAAGTTATCCACAGCCACTGCAGCATGAGATCGATCCCTGGCCAGAGAGGTGACCCACAATGGCGCAGCAGACCTCTCCTGTCTCGCCCCCTACTCCCCTCAGCAGTGTTGTTTCAGTTGATCTGCCTGTTGTGTTCCCCACTCTATCTCTGATGGAATCCTCTCATCCTCCTCACTTCTGGCCTGTACTCTAGTTCTTAAATGCATAAATAAATATTTTTTTTAAAAAAAAGAATATATCAGAGAAACGGTGCTGCTCAATAATAATTACTCAGAGAGCCGAAGAGTGATCATAGATAATGCCAAGAGCATCCTCATCCTGCTGTCCTATGAACATGTGGAACTTGTGCTCAATGACATGAAGAACATCAAAGGGCCTCAACAGGAACAAGGATAGCACTGTCTATCATTTACTGGGCCATCTTTCTGTCCAACAGAAAGGATATCGTGCAGTCCTTCATGATACTATTTTATCTAAGGAAGGTTGTGAAATCAAGCAGCCTATGTTTGGTGTAAACTTCACATCAACAGAACAGTGAAGTCTGAAGCAGGAAGTAATTGGAGAGGTTCTGTTTCCTACAGGTTGATCTCTAGAGCAGAGAGCACCATTGAGTTTGGGCAAAGAATGGTATAGGAAGCATCATCTCCCGTCTCCAGAGGTCAAGCCTATAATGGAGCCTATGGGTACACAACAGGGTCTGTGTCTATCTTCCACCAGCAGACAATGGAATATATTCCTTACCCTCTATTGTCCCCACCTGACTTCTATCCAGGACTTCCCATGATGGACAGCACCATAGAGTAGGTGCAGCCATGACCACTGCCCTATCCTGTGCATATGAAACCTTCGCAACCCCACTATGCTCCCTCCAACACTGTAGCTGGAGCCAAGGCCATACAAGCAGTTACCAGAACCTATAAAGGTCTGGGCACACAATGCAAACATACCTACAAGTGAGCCTTCACCCCCCTCCATATGGAAGGGGGAAGATAAGACAGCTCAGCAGTTCATCACACCTCCCTTGAGTCTAGGACTAGGGCTAGGGGAGGTGACTAGAAGGTAATGTTTTTTTCCAAGTCTGATTATAAAGTTGTCAGGAACTAACAATGAAAAAATAAAAGACTCTCTGAGTCTAGAACAGTGCTTCTCAGCTTCCCATGATAGCTCAACACA